GAAATATAATGTTTTATATCAGTTTTAAGTGCATATAATTGTTTATGATACTGCACAGTGTAGTTGTTGCATTACTGATGCATTATTTATGAAATTACTGCAAGTATAATTGTACCAAATTGCAGAATGATCAAAACAAAAACAGTTCGAAATTGTGAATATCCAAATTTCTGTTAATGTTCTTTTTCAGCTTTTATGGTGAAATAATGGAAATTTTCTCTAATAAAGAATGGATATTGTTGTCATTGTATTTTGACTATTAATATTTAATCAGGTATAATAGATTTTCTTGTGAACTTTCAAACAATTTGTGAAACAATCAGATGATTTAAATTATTATATTAGAAGTTGAACAATTAATAATTAAAATCTTTAAAGTTATAAAATACATAAAACGAAATAGGAAGGGTGTTTGTTAAGTCAGCTCATGAAAATAAATTTCTCATTACTCAGTTCCCATTTTACAATTAAATTAGCAGTCTTTATATTATATCATTTTGTTGAAACAAAAAATGTTTTGGATGCTACTGAGGAAAAATGTCAGAATGATTTGCTATGTCATTCTGTAATCCTCTTGACATTTAAAGTGATGGTTTGTTCACTGTAAATTGTATGGGAAAACATGAAATAATTTGTCTAACCCTGAATCATGAATATTTGTTGATTTAATAATTGACAATTCTTGAATGTATATGAATAAAGATATAAGTGGCACTGTCATAGAGAATTTGTAAATGAAGTAATTGTATGTTTGTCAACATATGACAAATAGTTATACAAAAGTTAAAGGAACGAAGGTATGACCTTAAAAACTTAAATGGCACCATCATTTTAATATTAATGAAAGGTTTGGTGATAAACTTTAAATCTATTGAAAATTAAGTATCTTTTATTAACATAATGACAGATATAGATATTTATACTTTTTGAGGGGCGTCCATGGCCGAGTGTTTAAGGTCGAAGACTTCAAACCACTTGCCCCTCACCACTGTGAGTTCGAAACCTGTCAGGAACTTTGGATTCTTTCATGTGAGGAAGCTATCTAGCTAGCATATGAAACATGTGTGGTTATTAATGTGCCTGAAATCACAGAGAGGGAGGTCTTCCTCCACCAGTAAAGCTGGAAAGTATCCATATGATCTATACTGTGTCGGTGCCACTCAAAACCCAACTAAAAATAAAAATTGAATATCTAGAATAATTTATGTATTTTCTGTATATATACAGTGGTAGAAATGTTTGCTACTCCTCAGAAAAAAACAAAAAAGAAGATTCTACATGTCTTGTGTAGCATGAAAACCAATCATTTCCAAGTGGCTGTCAGTTAGTTAGATGATGATGTTGTTGTTTTTGTAGACAAGAAAGAATTTACTATACATGAGATGATGATTTATAAGATTGACTTGTTTGTATGAACAGTCAAGCTGCTGAGTTATGTCCAGGTATGTTTGTTTTAGAAATGGTAGACCTGTCTAGTTATATATAATTACATCTGTGGTACTCTTCTCTCAATTTAGCAGTCAGTATCTGTTAAATAGTAGAAAAAGTAGTAATTGGCGCTAATTGGTAGGGAAAACTGTTTTCTACTAGTTGTGAATGATGATATTATTGTAATATTGTGAATGAAGTCATCTATATAAAGTAAGAGATGAAGATATATTTTGATATGTTATCTCTGTGGTTAGATATCATCACTTTGAAGTACTTTATGACGAAGTTACTCTGATAATTGTCTTAATCATGGTAAACTGGAATGTGGAATTACATCATGGAATAATCTACTCCTACATAAGCAATCTTCTTTGTTCTTTTGCACTATTAATGTACTGTATATAAGCCCTTGCCTTTTCCATTAAGCTCTGTATTAAATACTGTATGATAATTAATGCATCCATTATATTAAGCTCCAGAGAATTCCGATTATGTTGTCTTTTTTTGCATGGTGCATAAAGATGAAAGAAGCAACATTAATTAATATGGGCAACACCACTAAAACATCTTGCCAAGCTATTGTTGTTTTCTAAAAGTTTGGCAAGTTTGTTAAGTTATTGACTGAAACGTTAAGAATTGATTGGTTTAAAATATTCCTCTTGTTTATGTTCAGACAATAACCACAAATATATGATACTGTTTTGCCATGTTCAGGTGCAATTTGCATTCAGTAACTTTGAAAGCACAATAAAAACTGAACTTTGTGATATATTATATAGAATAGGAATAATTGGAACTTTTTTTCTTATTTTCAAAGTACACTTGGTACTATATGTTCTCTGAAAGTAGGTTATAAGTTTATTATGCTTAAATCATGTTATTTTTTGCATGAAATAATACAGTTTTAAGTTTAAAATGGGAGTTGACGTCCATATTCCTGGTAACATCATGATAGTCTTTGTATTTTAAAACATCATGTCTGTTGGTATTTAGATTCTTTTCAGCGTTATTCACAAGGCATTTTTGTGTTTGATTGTTTAAACTTGTTTCACATGTAATTCAGTGAGTAAAGTTGTTCCATGTATAGATAAAGCAGTTCAATATGTGGTGTGGTTCCCTAGATAAAGCAGTTCATTATGTGGTGTGGTTCCCGGCACTATACAGGGTGTAACCATCTTCCTTCTTCATGTTTTATCTACATCATGTAACGATAATCAACATCATTATGTATCATGTTTATTCATTAAATTTGTAAGTTGCTAAAATGATTATATCTCCAGAATAACCTGCAAGTATAAATTACATGCAAATATCATCTTTTGAAAGTATCAGATGTTTACAGTTTTTGTTTGGTTCTAAGTAGCACTTACGCTGTTCCAGTGGGGTCAGACAAGTCTAAAAACATAAAATTTGAAATTCTTGCATAGATAAAGATATGCACTTAAATGAATATAAAAAAAATACTTCTAAAACCTAGAACAGGAAAGAATCCAAAGTCCCTGATAAGATTCAAACTTGACAGGGGGTTTGGAGGAAGTGATTTAAAGTTACCACTGCCAAGAGGTGTCAGTGTTAGCTCATTATCATCTTGACCAGATACATAAGTTGTTATTCTTGCGATATGATAATCGTGATGCATTGATATTTTTACATTTTCAAATCCAGATTAAATTGAATGTGTCAATGACTTTGATTGACATGTGTTTTATTAATGTAGTAATTAAAACCAAAGAAGGAAATAATTGGATCAATTATGTTAAAGTATAACTTACTTGATTAAAGTACTGGTAATTTTACAAATGGGTGTATCTGATGTAAAGATGTTAACTGACCTGTATCCAGATTAGAATCAAGATTTCTTGAGATTCATTTAGCACACTATAAAGCTGTTTTAATTGATTTTAATGAAGCAAGTAATTGATAATGACTGACTGCTGTTGTTGGAAAAGATAAAATCAGGACAGAAATAAATATTTTAATATACTGGGTGTGTGTAGTGTAACTTCTACAGTCTCTCTACAGTCTTATATCTCTTATCTGAGACTTGATGGATTAAAAATGTCATTAAATTGATAATAAGATCTTTATATAGTCCCACACACGCCCAATTATAAGAATTGTAAAAAAAAAAAATTGAATGTAAGTGAATGACATAAAGAAAAGGATTTTGAAATAAGAAAATAAAATGATTGAATTAACTTTAATATGCATAATATTATAGATACGTTTATTATCATAGTTTGAAAATTGTTGAAATTATAATGATGTAAGTAGTTGGTAGTGGTAATGATGATGATGATGATGATAGTGATGATGATGGTGACAACAAAGATTGTAGTGGTTATGTACAGTAGCGGTTTTGATTATGATGATGATGATGATTGTGATGATGATATTCTGATGACAGTAATAATGATAGTGATGATCATAGCGATGATGATTGGTTTAAGTGAATAAATTATGTCAAGACAGTTTCCTTATGCTACTTTTGCTTCATCATTCATCACATTGTTGGACATTTCATCATTGATTTATACAACAGTAAAACATACATGTATATATAATATATCATGTATAAACAGAGACAGTCACACCAAGATGTTGTTAAAACTTTGCTCTATGGCTGCTCTCAATTTGTTGTTCAGTGAAAATTTTCCCGGAGAATGCTAGCTTCTTAATTACATGTTGTATATTGTTGGAAATCCCATTTATTTCTCTGCAATTGATACCATGTGTTTTAGATCAAGATTTTGACTGGTTGGGGGGAAAAAGTAAAAAGAAATTTTGTGAAACCAATCTCTGAAAACAAGGCATGCATATAGAAGATGTAGATTTGATAAACCTTTTGTAGTGGTAACAGTTTGATTCAAGGGATATAGTGGTGGGACTTTAACATTGTAACACATGGGAGGAGTGTTGTACATGAATTGTACTTTTAAAATTGTGTATGATTGACTGGAATGATTTGTAGTGATGTAAGGATTAATGAATTTAACTTGAATACTCGGGTGCTACTAGTCTTTAATTTTAGAGTGTCATAAGTTTTGGTGTATAACTTTAGATTATCATATGTTTTTGATTAAATTGTTGTGAAGTTGTTTTTTGTATAGATTTAAACAACAAGGATATTGTTGGGGTAAATTATTAGGTTCTCAGGGGATATATTTAAACAGGTCATATAAACTATAAGTTATGTTTGTTTCAAATTCAGTAATAATGTCAAACATATGTGTTAGATTACTGATATATTGTGTGAATACAAAGTGTGCTTTTTTCCAGTAATGCAAAATAAACAAATTGTATGAGAGTGTATACCAGGAGTGGGGGCTGGTGTATTAGGGTGTGGGAGAAGGGGGTGAGGGGGGCACAGTTAAATCTTGATAATACTTTTGGTATATTTTATATTGCTACAGAATGGAGAAGGACTCATTTTGAAAATTCATGTAATCTATAAACTAATTGATGTTCAAGAAACATTTATAGTTCAATTATTGAATGTTCTTTATTCTTAAATTGTTATGTTTTATAATCAGTGTTTCAAAAAGATTCTTTGTTTTTGTATTTTTCAGGAATTTTTCTTGGGATCAGTAACAAAAGTTCCAGAAGTAGAGGGTGTATTGTATTTGAAATCAGACGGTAAAAAAGCTTGGAAAAAATACTTTTTTGTACTGAGAGCCTCGGGTCTTTACTATAATCCAAAAGGAAAGATCAGCAAGGTATAAACATGTACAATATTCTTCTCCTTATCTTTAAACATTATTTTGTGAATTTATTTTATCATTTTATAAATAAATATATTTACAAGACTTGTTCAGATACAGTACTATACATGTACCAAGTGGTTATTAGGTCGTGGACTTCAAACCACTTGCCCCTCATCAATGTGGGTTCGAGTCCCAACAGGAACTTTGAATTACTTTATGTGAGGAAGATAATCAGCTAGCTTACAGAACTTCTGTGGTTCTACTAAGTCTAAGGTGCCCGTTCGTGCCTGAAATAATGCACAGAAGTACACCTGAAGTCTTCCTCCACCAGTAAAGCTGGAAAGTCACCATATGACCTATACTGTGTTGGTGCATCGTTAAACCCAACAAAAAACAAATACCGTACATAAAAAATTTCATTGAGAAACTGACTGAATTATATTTCAAGGAATTGTATTTTTATTGTGCCCCCACGTTAGTGGCGGGCATTTAGATTTACCCTTGTCCGTCCGTCCGTCCGTCCTTCTGTCCGTCCTTCCGTCCGTCCTTCCGTCCGTCCGTCTGTTCACTTTTGTGTCGCACGTAACTCAAAAAGTATTTGACCTAGAGTCATGAAACTTTACAGGAATGTTGATCAGCATGTGTAGTTGTGCACCTGGGTATTTTCGTCTGGATTTTTTTAGTATTTTCAGAGTTATTGCCCTTGACTTAGTAAAATTTTGCAATTTTCAACTTGTGTCACACGTAACTCAAAAAGTATTTGACCTAGAGTCATGAAACTTTACAGAAATGTTGATCAGCATGTGTAGTTGTGCACCTGGGTATTTTCGTCTGGATATTTTTAGTATTTTCAGAGTTATTGCCCTTGACTTAGTAAAATTTTGCAATTTTCAACTTGTGTCACACGTAACTCAAAAAGTATTTGACCTAGAGTCATGAAACTTTACAGAAATGTTGATCAGCATGTGTAGTTGTGCACCTGGGTATTTTCGTCTGGATATTTTTAGTATTTTCAGAGTTATTGCCCTTGAGTTAGTAAAATTTGGCAATTTTCAACATGTGTCGCACGTAACTCAAAAAGTATTTGACCTAGAGTCATGTAACTTTACAGGAATATTGATCAGCATGTGCAGTTGTGTACCAGGTATTTTCGTCGGGATTTATTTAGTATTTTTAGAGTTATTGCCCTTCACTTAGAAAATTTTTGCAATTTTCAACTTAAGTCGCAAGCTTCTCAAAAAGGATTTGACATAGTCATTAAACCTTATTGGCAGGTTGCCTAGCATATTTTAGATTTGCATCTGGGGTTTCACTTGTGGATTTTTCCAGTATTTGTAGAGTTATTTCCCTTGACTTTGTAAAAAGATTGAGAGAACAGTGGCGCGGGGGCACCCGTGTCCTATGGACACATTTCTAGTTTAAATTATATCTGAAGACATCTGGTACTGGTTATTAGACAGCGATGTAATGACATGCTAAAATTTTTTTAACATTACCACATTTAGCTATGACATACTTTGAAATATCCATGTTCCTCATGTTCCTTACTGGGTTTCCTTGTTACGAAAGTGTAAGAGGGATTCTTAAGTTAAATTTTGACTCATTGGAAAGATGGTAATAGAAATTAAAATGAATTGAATCCTATATTGGGTATCAAATCAAACAAATTACTAAATAAAGGTGATTGCAAGGGAAATAAAAAGAGTGGATGTTTAAATTTTCAGCAAAACTTTCCCAAGAAACTATTGGAAATTACATTTCCACATAGGTTTTTCTCTTTATGTCTGCTGTAAGAAAGGATGGTCAAATAATTGTCTAGTCATAGGAAAAGATATAATTTCTGATTTGACCAACTTTCCTTGAGAAAATGTTAGGAAAATAAAGATGTTGTTGAGGAAAATAAAGATGTTGTTGTTGTTGTTGTTTTGTCTGGGGAGTATAGACAAAGTATATAAGATATATGGCTGCTTTGTTTGGGGTATTTATAAACTTGGAAACCTACTTTCTAATGATTTATTTGTCTGAACTTAACGAAGCGCTGTCTAATTTTACTTAGAAACTCGTTTGTGTCCTGAAGGAAATTGAACTTGTATTATTATACTACTTTAACTTAAACTAATTAGAATGTTGTAAGAATTCTAAAGTGATGACAGAAAGGCAATCAGAAAATTAAAAAGAATAATATTATATTTCATTCCTAAACTAAGCAGCTTTTAAATATTGCAGATAAATTTGAGTAAAAAATTGAAGATAGTAAATTATTTCAATGTGAAGAGGCAATTCAACTAGTAATGTAATGATCGCTAGCCGCATGGGTTCAACCCCGTCAGGGACAAATTGTTGTTTCCTTGAGCAAGAAACTTTACACTCATAGCTCAGTACCGGTTGGTTCCAGGAACGGATTCCAAAGTGTGTCTTTAAGCTTATAGCTTCCAACACAATGGAACTAAAATAAATTCTGTATAAACGAATTCAACTTCATTTTCACTTGTCTGATTGCTTGTTCCTTAAATCTTTCATTCATTTTATCATCCTCCTTTAATGATTATTGTATTATATTATATGTAAATACTAGTCTGTAAAGACAAAGTTCATTGTCTTCCAGTCTTTGATCTCTATAGACAACATATTTCTTCTTAAATGCTGTATTTTACTTTAATCATGACAAGTATAAATAATGACCACCAAGTATCAATAATGATCACCAAGTAAAGAAAATGATCCCCAACACTCTATAATAGAGAAAAATCAATAATAACACACTGTACCCTGGTCACAGGAGATTTGTCTAGCCATTTCCTTTTCTGTATTGTATGAACCAAAAATAGCAAGCAAGAAAATTAAAAGAGATTTTTCCATTAATTCCTCCGTTCTAAATTTAGATTATACTGATATCAGCCATTAGATATCTTTAATGACATTAATTGTTGGCATTTAGATCTAATTGGAAATTGCATATAGATTAATTCTGGATTTGTGACTTGGCAGTAGAACTGAAGCAAAAATTCCAGTATAAAAATCTGCTAGTCTGCTGTTTGTTGTGAGAAGTCAGTGTTAAAATGTAGCTATTGTTATTTCCTTTACAAAATTATACATTATAACAATAATGAAAATACTTCTAACATGAATGTTAGAAATAATATACATGTATGTTGAAGACTGGGGAATTGTTTTTCTGCAATATTTTTATTTACCATATCAAAGAATTTAAATACAAGACTGGGTAAAGATAAAATAGGTTGTGTGTTAGAATCCCTCAAGTTAGCATTAAATCTACCGTATATGACTGATTTTTGACTTGACTATTTGAAGAATAGGGAGAGCTATTGGACTCACCCTGCTCCAGCACTTCAGAAAAGAAAAGAATAAAAAATATAATGCAGTGTTTTACTGTTCAAGTTGAGTATTATGAACAAATACATACATCTGCTCCATGTTTAAGAGTAAAATGCCATGTAGTGTAGACAAAACAGATCAAATTTGTATAGACCATGATGAATTTTGTTTCAACACTTGTATTGTCAGTCAGTAAGCTCAGCCTCTATTCATAAATTCATGAAGGACTAGAGCTAGGGTTTGTTATGGATGCGTTATTTGTCAAGGGAATATAAATAATTCTATAATAAGTAAATAAGTATATCTAATGATAATTCAGAAATAATACATGAATATAACATTCAGTGTGTATATCATGTACTGCAGAAGCCATGTTCTCCATCTTTGATATATCTGATCGTTACACAGATCATCGACAGTATGCCTATACTTGCTGAACTGTATCTAAAGTTCTTACAATGTAGGTCAATATTATGCAAAAAACAAACAGACATTTCAGTGAAAGTAGCAAAACCATAGAGTTACTGTAAATTTCTCATTTCTAAACATTATCAGTTGAGGAACAATCAGCTGTTAAATGTCAAAGCCATTAAGTTAGGAAGAGAAGTTTTAAGAACATTTCTGGGAGAAGATTTACAAAATTGTAATATTTATGTATTTTTTTCAGTCACCGAAGGATTTGACATGTCTCGTGCAGTTTGAATTTGTAGAATTATATATTGGACTGCACTGGAAGAAGAAATATAATGCACCGACTGATTTCTGCTTTGCTTTGAAGGTAAGTGGGGGGAAATTGGTCTGGAAATGTTTCATAATGTATTTGCATAATATAGAACGCAGACAGTTTAAAGTCAGTTAATGGTTCTTTTAGTTTGTCAGTTTAAACATTGTAAAAAAAATCTTTTGACATATTAGATGAACTATATAACCATGCGTGATTGTAGAAGGGGACTAAATAGGTTAGCATTATTTTGCAGTCTATGCATCTCTTAGCCCCTGCAGGTGAGCCGGTTTTAACCCCTTGACTTGCATGGTTAGCAAAAATCATCTTTCCTGTTTGTGTGCCATATGACCTACACTGCGTTGGTGTGCTGTAAAACCAAACGAAACAAAAAGATGAAATTTAGCCTTTAAAGATTAAAAGTGTCACAGCCGTGAGAGGGGCAATTTGGTGCAAAATATATTTTGAATGGTCAAAGGGTCTACCAGATGCTTTTGAACATGTGTTTGAAATAGGGTCCCCAGAGGGCCTCAAATGTATTCTTTCATAAAAAAATCAGCTTTAATAGTCTATATTATCTTTATTCATGACAACTTTGACTGATTTGAAATTCAACAGAATGATAACTTTTTGTTTTCATTTTTATATCATTGTAATTTTGAATCATGCACATAGAATTCTTTAACTTAATTGAAATGCTTGTGTGGGTTTAATTATTTTCATTATTTTTGTAAAAGATGACATATTATTTTATGGAAATTTTGTAGCATCCACAAATTCAGAAGAAGACTTCCAAATTTATAAGATATTTGTGTGCTGAGAACAAAGCTGCTTTGGACCAATGGATCATGGGAATCAGAATTGCCAAGGTAAATAACTCTCAATGTAAAACAAATAGAAAGGGAGATAATCCTTAAGGTAACCTAGATATAATATTAAGCTGATCGGCCCTAAACCTAAACAGTAAGGAATAAAGTCAATGACATAATTATGTCAATATTCATAAGAAACCTGCTGTCTAGAGTCGGTTGCTTTGGTTTTAAGAACCAGTGTATTAAATGAGACAGTATTTTCTTTAAATGACATTGTTGTAACATCAGTAATTAAGATGAAGTGGTAATACAGTAAAATGTTTGCTAAGTTACAGCTTTAAACATAAAGAGGCTGAAAGGTTAATATAAGTGATATATGCATGTATATATAAATACTGGACTTTGAGCAGTAATGAACGAAAAAAAGTCAAGCACTTATTCCTCCATTGATGATCGTAAATATGAGATTGTTTATTTCTACAACAATGTTATAATTACAGTAAGTGGGTTGTAATGTTCTCACTTTAAGCTTTCCCTGATGTTATAGGGGGTTTAATCTATCTCACATAAACAATTATCATACATAGATACTGGAGACTGTATACATGAGTTAAAGTGCTTTCTCCTTTATACAATCAATTATTGAAATTATTGTCATAACATTGACAAAGATAATAAATGAATTATGTATGAGATGAAAGTCTGAATTGTCTTAGACTATATAAATAATGTAAATATAAAACTATTGTCTGATAGTTCTAGTAAGGATATGGCTATGTTATTGGTTGTAAAGATATTTTGACAGGTTATATGGCCCTATATAAACAATTGTTAACATAGATAATGCAAGCCACTAGGCAATGGTTATATTGCAAACAGCTGTTTTTATATGGCCATATAACCTGTCAAGAATCTTTGTAACAAATTTATAATACAGCAAACTTTATTTTTAAGAGAGGGAAAAAAAAAGATATTATTTCACAAATTGACATAACAATTATCCAATGAAAAGCAACACAGTTTAATAAAACTTTCCCACGACAGTTTTTCTCAATGAAATTTTATAAGTATTTCTGACCACAATAACAAGTTATCAAAACTGAAGTGTTTATTAAGATCACAGTTGATTAGATGAATTAATGTCAAGTAATGCACTTAAATTTTGTTTATTTTTGTTGTTGTTTACTTTACCCCTATGTGCAGTGAGGCAGTGCTCTATTTGTTGTGGTTAATATAATGTACCAAAATCAGAGTTCATCTGTAGATTTGATTATTTAGGGAAACAGTTGTATACCAAATAAGTTGAGTATATAACTAAATTTGGAAATAACTATTTATAAATAAAGTTATAATGTATTATTTCTTCCCTAAATAAGATGTAATTAGCAGTAAACAATAATTAACAAGTGAGAGATAGATAATAAACAACACATATTATCAATCCTTCTCTAGGGATGTATCTTCAAATATTTCTCAATTTTGAATTATTCCCATGCCCAAATTGGTATATTGAATAATAAGTCTTATGCCCTGCTTTGTATATTGAATAATAATTCCTATGCCCTGCTTAAATGTACATTGAGCAGCCCACTGAATAGTTGAATTGCCTTGAAATTTTCAAACTATAAAATTAATTTGGCCAACAATTCAACACATATGAGTTTGGTCAAACAATGCATATGCACAGGCTGGTTTGATTTTATATCACAGTGACATATAATTCTGTTGTAATTTTCATACATGATTTCCCCCCCACCAACCACACCCCAACCCTCTGCTTCCTCCCCCCTCCTCTAAAAAGCAAACAAAAACTCTTTACATCAAGAACATCATTTAATTTTATCAGTTAGTGAAATTTAGTAGCAAAACAGATTTTTTTCTTCTAAAAAACCAACATTTTTTAAAAGATCATTTGTATATTGATTATTAAGCTGTCATACAAAAATGTTTACCTGACCTAAGCACATTTATTTTGCTTGTATTTCCATTTAAAATGAAGAAAAGGGCATTGAAAATAAACACAAACTATTGATGCAGATAAAAAAAATTGTATAAGCATGCAATAGTATGCAAATAATACAGAAAGATCAACAAATAAAATCTGTTATAAAGTCAATAACAAAGAACATAATTTCTTTTCACAAAGGATGTTTAACTGTAAGATTATTATAAGATTACTAACACATAGACATATTGGATAAATATGATTTGTAAATAGCCCCCTTTGTTGTTAACCCCTTAAGCCAGTTAAGTGGTAGGGTAAGAGGTGCGGCTATTTTTAAGGTTGGATTTAAGATACAAAAGATTTAAAGGTGAGTCATACACATGTTTTTACGGCCAAGTTAAGCTTATAAAAAAGGTTATAAAAATGACTTGTTATTTCGTTTTTTTGTCTTTCAACTTGAATAGGTTTTATTGAGTAGGTCATGGCATTAAATATCAATGATTAATTTTATTTCGTTTTCACACTTGCATTGCTGGTGAATCAGTAGAATTTTGGATTTAATGTGTTAAGAAGATAAAAGTTACAAAGTTTTTGGAAATAATTAATTTAAAATTTAAAGGTTACTTAAAACTTGCTAGAATGAAGGTAATATTTTTTATTATTTTATATATCTTAAATTTTAATTTATTTTAAATTTTAATTTATTTATTTAATAATTATTTTCAGAAGTTTTCATGCTATAAATGTTGACCCTTAAAAAAATGTGAAATTTTAGTAAGATGAAAATTGAATTTTAAATGATTTAAATTTAAATTGGAAATTTGAATAAATAACATGAGATGCTTTGATAAAACCAAGGTACGATTTTAATTGTTACTTTGAAAATTGATAAGTATGCATAATTATGTTTACCTTTAAAAAAAAAAAAAAACATTGCCAGTAGAATTTAGAATTGGATATTACTTACAATATTAAAATGCTCATGGATCATGTAGAATTTTATTTCCTGTAATAAATTTAAACAGTCATAATAATTGATACACTTAAATTGAATAATATAGAATTTTGTTTTCTAAAAAATAAAATATTGAATGTTATAATTCTTTGGAAAAAAATCAATAATCAACATGGTGGTAGTAATTAAGAATTAAGAGCAAGTCAATAATTTATTAAAATATTGATTACGAAGTGAGCCCTTCTTACAAAATTATGTAAATTTTATCATATTAAAGGTTAAAATATTTGGAAATATTAAACTTCTTTTATATCTTCTAATGGGGGAAAATTGTTTTTGAAAAGCTTTCTTAAATGAAAATGTATGCAGAAATTAAAACAAGTTTCAACTTTGTACATTGAAGCTGAAATACAAGCACTTTAGTTAATTATATAGAGAACTAAAACAGTTAATTATAGATCTATTCAACTTGTAGGTATAAAGATACCTAGTTTATAGGTTCAAACATAGGAGGAATTATTTCATGTATGTCGGCTTAAAGAGATAAAATTATATTGTAAAAAGTTTATTTTAGAGTGGATTAAAATCAGTTAATAAATATGATATACTTTAATATTCAAATTTGATTTCTGGATGATATGGTATGTTTGAAAAAAGTTAAAAGATTTCAATTTTACCAACTGACCATTTTTCATTAGGATTTAACATGACTGTAGATATAGACCTATATATACATGTAGATTAGGGTAGACAAACCACATAGCATAAGACATTATTTTTTTAGGTATCAATGGCAACGTTTAGAAGAAGAAAACTTCTGTAAATAATTAATTACTCACTCAGTAATCAATTTAAATGGAATCAAGCTCTGGTAATAACATTGTTCTCAATCCATAGATTGTCATATATAAGAAAATGTTCCTAACATTTGGGAAAATCATCACAACAGCAAAACAACAATCAGAAATACTAACAGTTTTCTCCGAATGTTAAGAAATACAAAAATCAATCAATAATACTTATATGGTCTATTACCTCACGATATTTTCAGCTACTTTGGAAATAAAATATGCAATAAAACAATGAATTTATATTGAAAATTATAGAGACAGTTAAAGTAAAGTATTATAGGTTTTGTTTAAAATTGTCATTGGTATATAAGAAAACACACTTGTAACAGCATTAGAATAACTTGTCTTATGTCACAATTTTATCATGAAGTTTCTGAATTTCTTTAATAGACTTGTCCACCTTCCATATTTGGAATTGTCCATTGACAGTTTTAGGGAAATCAAGATGAAAAATTGAATTTTGGTCATTCAACAGTATAGAGCCTGGTCAGAGCGCACATATGTACAGACTGTGTGACCTGGCTGTATACTGAAGGCAACGGCTATTTTCTTTCAGTTCCAGCAGGTTAAGGGTTTAAATCTGTTACTTACCCCCTCTGTTTAGGTTCATATTGTATAATGAAGCTTTATTCTTAACAGTGAGATAGATTCAGGTCATTAAGTTCAGCTCAAGTGTCCAACTTTGTCTAAAATATTACACATGGTGTCTTCTAGAAAGTTTTAAGTTCTGCCTAGGTGGCTTTTATTTAAATATTGTATATTTGGATAGCAAAGGTCTTTCACAAAGAAATTTCCATTCGTGTATAATCATGTAAGCATGATAGTTTGCAAAAAAAAAAAAAAAATGATATGTAAAGATTTCAAAAAAAAAAAAATATTAAAGTAAAAATAAGTATATATGATTATGACAATAAAGAGGAAGTAAGGTCAGTATATAAATGTGTATCTATATATATAAGTGGTTTCCTGTTAAACATCAGCTTGTTAGTAATTCCTCTCTTCTTTAAACCTTTAATCTCTGCTCGTGACTGATGGAATATTGTTGTATATGAGAATAGAATTAATAAATACATTTGTTAATTGTTTATCTTTCATAACCATTTCATATATATATAGCAGGAAAAATATTCTTGACATGTGTAGCACATATGCTATTGTTTAAATGATTACATTTCTTCTTTTTTTTTCTCATGAGTGCAAAGCTTATGAAAGTTTTATTGAATAGACATTTCAGTTCATTTTGTTTAGTTTTGTAGTGATCATACATTTTGATTGACAGAAAAAACTAATGCGTTTTTTGTTTATTTGATTTCAGTTTGGAAAACAACTTTTGACCAATTACCAGAGTTTAGAGAGAGAAATTCTAACTTGGGATACTCGTGATTTACGGACAAGTATTTCTGATCAAAAGGACGCTGCGGAGGCTTTCGCCGGACTTAATCAACAAGGCGACCTGACTGATAGTCGTATGTCAATGCCCGAACCTGGTTCCCGGCATTCTATAGTTAATGTAAAAAATTCTATGTTAGTTTGTGAATCATCTACAGGTTCAGTTACACATAATGTTACGTGCTTAGAAATAGACAAAGTGGATAAATTACCAGAAAGAAAGTTGTCATTAACTGGCGCACAAATTAGTGAACCAATACGAATTGAGAAAGCTCCGGTTAAAAGAGTTTCTTTTAGTAATACACATAGTGTTATCCATGATTCCGGTGAGGAGGTGTTACCGGTACGTCATCGCGATTCAATAACAAGTGCTTCCACGGATTCTAGCGAGGATTCTGTATCGAGTGGTGAAGGCAGATGTGGCGCGATGTCAACACATAGAAGTAGTAAATTACGTGCTAAACTTCCGGTTACCACCGGAACTACCAAACATTTGTCGGAAATGGTGCAAACCTCGTTAGATGGAGGCAGTATAGGTTCTATGGATAGTGCGACAGATGAATGGAGACAAAGTGTTACAAGTCCGAATCAAAAAGAAATCGCAGAGCGGCGAAAGAGTGCTCCACTTTGTGGAGACATATATTCAGATCGAAGGTCAGAAGGTCATGTTAAAGATCATAGGTCAATGTCACAAACAATTCCATATGATCAGCTTCCTATGTCACCTTGTTCACCTGTGACATCTAACCAGTTTCAGTTTAAGGGATCAAAAGGCATCATGTCTCCTCCTCCCCAGAAAGGATCTAGAACACACTCAAGGTGTTCTTCAATATCATCTGTTGATTCCTCAGACTCATACCAAGGTTATATTACCAGTCCAACAACTGCCATACCTAGTGGAGATAGTTTATATATAGATCACAGTCAGTCTCCATGGTCAAAACCTGAGGAAAATCAAAAAATTCAAGGTCAATCTCCTAAACAAGGGCCTCCAACAGCCCAGAAGCCTGCTAGTATTAAAAAGGGGAGACCTCATTCAGCCCCCTCTTCTGGCCCTTTAGAAATGGGACATAGACGAAATACATCAAAATCTAGTTTAGAATCTGTGGAAGAAATTCCAAAAGAAATGGAATATCAAGGTAGTTTAGGACCAATACCAGTGTCATCTCCGATTCCTCCTAGAAATGTAGGACCGTCCCCTCCTATCCCTCATTATAATCAAAGTAGGACTCAGTCTCAGCCCAACACTCCCACGGTGCAACAGTCAGCACCCAAGTACCCAAATCAGCATCCTAGGGTGGATCTTACCCAGGCCAACATGACAAAGGGGACACATTCTGCCCCTGCAACTCCCCAGCCAGCTTCTCCAGTACCCACAAGTGCTATTGGGTGTCTTTCCCCTCGTTTATCTGGCCATCGAAGCTCTATTCCCAAACCTGTGGCTCCACCTATGGTCCCAGTTACAAACCCTAACCCTCCACCCCTTGTTCCCCCTGTCCCTAGAAATCCAACAACTACAGTTAAAACACATAAGAAGAGACCTTCAGGCGGGAATATTGTTGTCAATGGCAACCAAGTAATGACGGGGTCGCTGGGTGCACCAGACATTGTTGCTACACAGAGGTCAAATCAAGTGATGACTTCAGAATCTCAAGGTAATAATGCGAATAACAATGAAGATAAAAACTATGCATCTCTACCATTTATGGCTGAATTAAACCAGCATATGCATCCGTCTCACATTAATAGTCCCGAGACATTACCACAGCAGACGGAAAATAGAATTCCACCTCAAACATTGCCAAAACCAAGTGACCAAAGAGTGAACGGAAATATAAGTGCTTGCCAAATGGATTATAATAGTAGTTCATATCCGTATTGTTACGCTTCTCATCAAACTGATACTGCGAACAAATCTTCATCGTCATCACAACATGGTAAAAAAAATATGCCGCCACCACCACCAAAACGAAGTCAAAACACAAAGTTATCAACATCTATGAACTCACAAAATAATTCAGTAGACATTTCCAACGTGCCAAACGAAGAAGATCATATAGACCCTATTTATGATAATTGTGAAGGTATTTTAGATATTTCTGACCTTCCGCCTCCACCACCCGAACTTTTAGAGGACTTTGCTGGTGAAGGTCAGTGTCAAGAGGAGGGTCAAAGGTCAGGGAGGGTTAAAGCTCCGCCTCCACCCCCGCCCCCTAAAAGAAACAAAGAAACTCATCTAACTTCCTAGTCATGAGTGTTGTGATAGAGTTATAGCCCCTTTTTCTACAAATTTTTGAAATGTTTTTTTCTTTACATTATCTTTATTTTTATTTTGCTGATATTGTGTATAATTATTCACAAATTCTCATTGTCACAATGTATTTGAAGTTCTAGTTTTGTTGGCTAATTTTGTATTTGTGAGGATTACTGTTGGATTAATTTTTAGAAGATTTAAGATATAACTGTTATAAATTGCTGGTTAATTTGATCAAGTTAAAACAAAATGTTTAATTGATATTTTAATTTAGATTTTAAGTATATTCTTGTGAAACAAGAAAGACTGTTAGCTTGAAATAAAGCATGATTGTAGGTTTTTAAATACAAGCTGAACCTTGTTTTCGGGGATTTTTTCTTTTCATTTTCTAATAAATTTTAGGACTACGTTAGCTAAGGTACATGGGACAGGGATGTTAAAGTACTGTTATATCTGTAATTGCATTTATGTAGGATGATATATGTGGGCATTTGTTAGGGAAGTTAATTTGAATATTAATCTTTCCCTTGCTGAAACTGAAAGTAAATTGACATTACCATGGGTGTAGAACTGGCCCGTCATTATATTCATGTTGTATGGCCAGGAGATGTACTAATTGTAGCTTTTTATTATTGACTGTTACAAATTCAAATCAGGGCAAATTCTGTAAGTGAAGGATTAATATGGACTCCCTTAATAATTGCAGTGATTTCAGTATATTAATCATTCCTTGCTGAAATAAAGTAAATTGAAATTAACCATGGTTAGAACTGGGTTATTTCAGTACAGGAGTGTACTAATTTAGTTTTATTATTGACTGTTACAATTCAAATCAGGAATTCTTAAGGAGATTATATGGACTCCCTTAAAATCAGTGATTTTCAGTAGATAAATTAATATACATGTAATGTCCTTGAGCTATTTAGAAGAAAGGGTAAAAGTTTTGATTTTGCTAGAAACCAGTTTTTCCTTAACTTAATTTTATTTTATTATAGTACAAGTCATGCGCTTTTAATTTCCCTTTTATTTTATATTTGAATTAATTTGAAAATCAAAATATTTTTACAAGTTTTGTAAAATCGATATATCTTTTACATGATTTTAAGTGACGAAAACAAAATCATTCATCATTCAGTACATCACACACAAACGTTTACAAATATTTTAATTTCAAAACTTAGAGTGCCCACCTTTAAGGAGGATAATCAAAACATCATTTAATTTCATTGAAATATGTCACACTTATGTCCCAAAATTTGTATTTACATATTTTATAGATTGATAGAAAAATACTCAAGTAAATGATAAAATCAGCTGATCATCTTCCATGTTTTGGTTATTTTGTTCTTAAAAGTATATTTTCCCAACTTAATCATAATCAAGTCTACCCAGTCAATAAGAAACTTGACACATAATTTTTAACAAAGGGCCAATCTCTGAAATATTTCATTACTTTTCCATTTGTTAGTTATGAAAACATTGAAGGAATGTTTGTAATATATAACAGATTTTGACAACATTAAGTTCTGCTTGATCATATTTTAAACATTGTGCATTTGATTGGCTCATATCAAATTTAAATATTTGAAATTAACCAATGGTAGTTACTTTAGAAAATGGTACTCATTCTTTATTTTAATACATATATCAAACCAGGTTAAAAATTTACACACAGTCCAGTATTTTGTATTTGTGCCATAAGTTGATTTTAGCTTTGTATTCTTATGAGATCATAGCTCGAAAGTGCAATAACATCCTTTGTGTATATACATGTATAATCTCATATTTTACCCATATTTGTGAATAAATTGCTGAATTTTTATTCTATTTGGTTAGTGGTGTTTATAAGTATTAAGGTACAAGGAAATCTACAGTGGGTCCTTTGCAGAATGTCCTTTTGTAGAGCAAAAGTCTAAGAACTGTATTATTTCTTCCCAAGATTAAAGTTTACAATGAACTTAACCTGTCTAGAGCAATTCACTCCGTAAAAGTTTGGTCTCCCAGAGGGTGTTGCACTGCAGAGGTTGTAATCTGTTAAGTTTAAAGATAAATCTGAATGTTATACAGATAAACAGTTCCATTCTGACCAAACATTACACCTCATTGTGTTAATGAATGAAACATTCTGACCAAACATTACACCTCATTGTGTTAATGAATGAAACATTCTAACCAAACATTACACCTCATTGTGTTAATGAATGAAGCATTCTGACCAAACATTACACCACATTGTGTTAATGAATGAAACATTCAAATAGAATGACAATTCAGCAATTAGATTAACCCTAAATCTGCAGAATTTGTGTATTGAATAACCTACCATTGAATTAAGAACAGTCCATTCAAAGTTTAAGGGATTTAAATATCAAAACACAGTCATGAGTTACTTATAGTGTAGAGTATGGTCGGATTCCATAAACATGCCAGCTGACCTAACTATACTGGTTCTAGCTGGTTAATCACTACCGGTTCTAGCTGGTTAATCACTACCGGTTCTAGTAGGGTTATCACTTCTGTTTCTAGTAGGTTAATCACTTCCAGATCTAGTAGGTTTATCACTTCCAGATCTAGTAGGTTTATCCCTTCCAGATCTAGTAGGTTAATCACTTCCAGATCTAGTAGGTTTATCACTTCTGTTTCTAGTAGGTTTATCACTTCCAGATCTAGTAGGTTTATCACTTCCAGATCTAGTAGGTTTATCACTTCCAGATCTAGTAGGTTTATCACTTCCAGATCTAGTAGGTTTATCACTTCCAGATCTAGTATGTTTATCACTTCCGGTTCTAGTAGGTTAATCACTTCCAGATCTAGTAGGTTTATCACTTCTGTTTCTAGTAGGTTTATCACTTCCAGATCTAGTAGGTTTATCACTTCTGTTTCTAGTAGGTTTATCACTTCCAGATCTAGTAGGTTTATCACTTCCAGATCTAGTAGGTTAATCACTTCCAGATCTAGTAGGTTTATCACTTCCAGATCTAGTAGGTTTATCACTTCCAGATCTAGTAGGTTTATCACTTCCGGTTCTAGTAGGTTTATCACTTCCAGTTCTAGTAGGTTTATCACTTCCAGATCTAGTAGGTTTATCACTTCCAGATCTTGTAGGTTTATCACTTCCAGATCTAGTAGGTTTATCACTTTCAGATCTAGTAGGTTTATCACTTCCAGATCTAGTAGGTTTATCACTTCCAGATCTAGTAGGTTTATCACTTCCGGTTCTTGTAGGTTTATCACTTCCAGATCTAGTAGGTTTATCACTTCCAGATCTAGTAGGTTTATCACTTCCAGATCTAGTAGGTTTATCACCTCCAGATCTAGTAGGTATATCACTTCCAGATCTAGTAGGTACATCACTTCCAGATCTAGTAGGTTTATCACCTCCAGATCTAGTAGGTTTATCACTTCCAGATCTAGTAGGTATATCACTTCCAGATCTAGTAGGTTTATCACCTCCAGATCTAGTATTTTTATCACTTCCAGATCTAACTGGTTAATCTGCCAGTTAATCACTTACAGTTCTAGGAGGTTAATCACACACGGTTCTGGCAGGTTTATTACTTCTGGTTGTAGGAGGTTTATCATTTCCGGTTCAGGTAGGTTAATCATTTCCGGTTCTGGCAGGTTTAGGGGTGAGATTTATCCATTTTTATCACCATCATTCACATAGATCAGTATTTACAACATTTTTTTAAAATCATAGTTTGGAAAAACGATATATGTACAGTGTATAAAAAATCTTTGATGAAGATCTAGTCAGGTGTGAGTGTCAATTTTTAACGAATATATGTTGATATTTTATAAATTAAATAAAAATGTAAAGTATGATTTCTGTAGAATTTATACTAGAATGCTTCTACATTTTATTTTGGTGAAAAGAAAAGCTATTGTATAATAAAGTTTGTTGGACAGTTTGTTGATTTTGTAATTTCAAATCTCTGAAAAAACTTAACTGGTAAACTGTCATTTTGAATTTTATAGCAGGTCTGTTTTATTTTGTGATAAATGCAGAAACAAAATTTTAAATGTTAAAATGTTCAAAATATTATATGAAGGATGATGTTTTATTAAGAAGGAAGCTCACTGTTCATGATTGAGTTACTTAGTTGCTAGTTGTTTATTGCTGAACTTTACAACAATAATTTGAGATAAAAGATTGGTTTTTAACATTTTTTTTCCTTTTAAATTAATGTTTTGCTTACTTGATGTACTTTACTTTTGATTTTAGGGAAATTAGGTAAATTTTATTATTATAATGCTTATACCCCCATCACATAAATATGGAGGGGGTTTACTGGAATCACTTTGTCATGTATGTTAGTCCGTCCATCCGTCTTAGTGTGTCCACTCTGTAAATCCTATATCCTTTGAAAGACTCTTTTCAAATTGGGGCTGAAATGTTCACCTCATCAAGGGGAGGTCCAAGGTAAGGTCACCCTTGAAGGTCAAATGTCAGACAGTTTATGTTATAAAATTCCATAACCTTTGAAGGTCTTTCTTCAAACAAGGCTCAGACATTCACCTTAAGAAGGAGATGTGCTTAAAGAATGACACCCTTGTGCACTCATTTTAGGTCAAAGACACATACGAGTATGAAGGTCAAATATTAGGAAATTTTGTGTCCTTGCTATCAATTCTTTACTTCTTGGACTTTTCTTTAAACTAAGTTTAAATGGTCACATTCAATACAAAATGATATTGGACTATATAAAATCAGACATCATAGAGATTGTGGGGGTATCGGTCATTCCTGTGACAGCTCTTGTTTATTTAGTGCTTACTAAAAACAGTTTAAAGATACTTTTTAATGATTTGTTTGAACAACTTCATTCAAAAAATTTGTTTCAGTTGTTTTAAAAATTTATCTGTAATAGCTTAATTACATAATGCATTATTTTTAATTCTTTTATATTTGAAAAAAAGTTCAAAATTTTGAAAGTTATAGATTTTTTATGATTTCTTTTATCTCAAAAGCTGGGGGCTTGCACTGTTAATGATATATGTTAAAGTATACAATGTATAAGATTTTGCTATATAAAGTTTGGTTTTATTTTGTAATTTTGGATGAAGACTTGTAAATTAATGATGTACTGATCAGTTTTGTTGTTTTGTTTAAACTAGCTATAAAATAGCATAGACTTAAGTTAACATTGTTTATACGAGCAGAATTAATTTTCAAATGTTTTATGTATGAGTTATATTTGCAACTTTACTTAATAGCTAAATATATCAATGTCAATAAGAGATCAAAATATGTTCATTTGAAATATTTAAATAGTGAAAAACCCAACGAATAGATCAAAATAAAAACCTAACAAAATGTTAGGTATAAAAAGATTTGATAGATATAATTATATTTCAATGATAATTTTTCACTGTACATTGTTTATAAAATATTTATAAGGAGATATTATCTGTCATACTGTAAATTTCAATCAAGCTGTTAAATTGCTGTAAGCACATCAGCATGTACATTGTAACAAACATATGTTATATAAATCAGTTTCTGACTAGAATATACCATATGTTACCATAGTAATACTTTGCATCTCTAAGTCTTGCAACTTAACATCTAATCAAGTATACAAATATCAAGGTTTAATCATGTAATAGAAGAAAGCTCTATATTTAAAAGATATTTCAAATAAGTAATAATAAACATAATAATTAAACCTGTTCGCTTTTTGTTATAGTAAGTAAAATTCTTTAAATTGGAGTGTACATTTGTTAATACAACAAACAGGTGACTTCTAATGAATGTTAAACAAGTATTATGTTAAGTTAAAGATCTGGGAAAACTTATTGACTTCCCAGGAGGGATTCAGACTGTTTCTATATATTGATGTTTGACTTTGTATAGAATATACATTATCAACAAAAATAATGATAAGTTGCTAGACATTAAACATAATAGTATAATATTCATTACAGAAAGTATATGTTGACATGATGACTGTATAGTTATATAGAAGCCTTTTTGATATTTATTTTGCATAGATGAATTCCAATACAATGGTTTGTTGGTAATAAGGTATTTGAAATTTGTATAAATGTTGTTTAAAGAAGATACTTTACGATTGATAAATGAAAAATAAAGTGAAATAATTTCATGAAATATGGGTTTGTTATTGATTTTAGCTGAATTATACACAAGGTTAGCTTTTAAAAAAGCTAGTAGCGACTCGCTTCGTAATTTTTTTTCCAGGGGGTGTGTTTAAATGTAAAAATGACAGTTCTGTTAGCTGAAGAGACTTGAGCAAACATCAAAATAAAAGTGACATAAAGTTATGGAAGCCAGTTCTCTCAGTTTAACAAAGAGGAATATGAGTATATATGAAGATGCATGTAAACAGATAGAATGAAGCCCCTATGTCTATGCACATTTACTATATGGCCTGTTGACCTTGCTTCCGAGGGATCACTTTGCTTCCAGATTTTTGACCAAATAAATGTTAGATAGGTAGAATTCATAAATATGTATCTTTATACGAAGTTAAGTTGTAATATGATATTTAGTATTGGAATGAGTGACAGACATAAGTCCTAAAGTATACACAAGTTGTCAATCAATTCAGCCAGAAAAGCCGGGATCCTATTAAAGATATAGGGATCCCGGAAATTGACTAGTCTAAGATGTTTTTCAGATAAGCCGGGATCCTATTAAAACATATAGGGATCCCGGGAATTGAGCAGTTCAAGAATATAGTTTTCAGAAAAGCCGGGATCGTATTAAAATATAAAGAGATCCCAGGAATTGGCCAGTTCAAGAATATAGTTTTCAGAAAAGCTGGGATCGCATTAAAACATAAAGGGATCCCGGGATTTGACCAATTCAAGTATGTAGTCATTGATTTTTCCAATTAATTAGGCATATAATTATAAGTATTGTGATTTCCGCATTTTAAGTGTCTTAATAAATAGCCGTATATATATTTATATCCTAAGTTAAATTAATTTAACGTTCATTACATACAATAAAAAAACTTTACGTTTAATGACCTTTCATTGCGACAATTATCAACACAAATATAGTTTATTAGTTTTTCCTCTATATCTTATACGATCCCGGATCCCGGCCAGTCCGGGCATCCCGGATCCCGGCCAGTAAAAACATACACTAAATACCGGAAAGGATACAATGACCGGAAAAAAAGGAAAAAGAAAAAAATGCACATAACCAGATGTTCACTTATGTTTATTAATTAACCAAACGAATACATACTACAGAGAAAACAGGTGAAATCGCTAAACAAAGTCAGTGTAAATATGATTTATTGAAAAGAATTCATGAAAACAAACATTTTAATCATCCTTATATCTTTGCGCTCAAAATATTTCTTGCTGCTTTTTAAAAATGGCGTGAAAATTGAAGGTTTTTTGACGCTATGTAAGATTAAATTTGATTGGCTAAATAATTTTGGATCCTAGCCCTGATAGATAAATTTTGAAGAAAGCTGGAAGCCAAGCTTCGATTAAATTTTTGGATGGATTCGGAGTTTTAGGTTGTTTCTCAGTAAAATCCTAACGTAATACCGGCTCGCCGTGGCGAGCCGGCATAAAATGGCTGCATGCAGAGCTACCGTACTGACATGAATGCCTCAGTGTCCAAGCTGGGACTTAAAATTTTTAAATCCCAGGTCTAGGTCTAGATTCCTGATATAACTAAGTTTTTGAACATTAAAATATGTTTGACTGTATCAACGTTATAATTTAATAGTTTATAACTTTAGTTCAAGCACGGATTTAAATTACAGTCAATTAAAGTCCGTGGTTCAAGTCCCAGGTCCAAGTCTATAATTCTGATATAACTCATTTTTGAGCATTAAAATATATTTTACTACATCATAGTTATAATTTATGGGGTTTACTTTAAACTTCAAATATTTGTTCTTTATTATCACTCAAAGTTTATAACTATGTAATGTATTTGTTCTTTATTATCATTCAAAGTTTATAACTATGTAATCTTTATTTCATGTATTATCTCCCTTTTAAAAGTTAGAATAATTCAATACATACATATATACCAAGAAGATATATCATTTTCCAGGCAGCTAAAAACTGTATTAATAAACTCCATAAATGAATATCTTTTAATGGAAAGTGATTACTAAGTTAACATGGAGATTTAAGCGGTAACGTCCACCCACGGGGAGGTCAGATTAGTAATCCATGGGTGGCTGTATATTTACTGTCATAAAAAAAATCATGTCAAATTGTTAAAGTTGCTCAGATTGAGCGAGCTATCCGGCTAGTTTATGTAATGTCGTATGTCCCGCACTGGTCTTAAATAATAACCAAATTGAAACCTTTGGTATCCACCATCAGTGATGACGAATTTCAGCAACAACAAAAAAATACACTGGTATTAAAAGGAGTACGATGCGGTATATGTACAAAACAATATTCAGAAGGGAGTAATAAATATATAATTAATATCTATCACAACAAATGAACAATTCGAATACACTGTCAGTCACATTGAAGAGACTTGTAGTTCTGACACGCTAGACAAGTCTAAGTCTAGTTATTCGAAGTTTTAAACACGTGGGAAAAGTCCGTGAGAACAGGCCGACTCATATATTGTATCTCAGACACTTAAACAAGCACACATTTTCTCAAAAGTATGTTGATACATACTATAACAAGTCTTACTGCTAAAGTCCTTTAAAGTAATGTATATTTTGAAAGTCACGGATTTAAAGCCGTGTTAAGAATAAATCGGAAAATTAAGACTTAAATGTAAATTGCTTATATTGCTTTTTAGAACTCTTTTGATGGAGTTTTTAAATCGCCTAGCTCCAGTGACCAAACATTAATATTTTCATGTAATAGTTTTAATAGATATGCACATTCGCTATAGCGCGATTCATCAACTTCCCGAACGCTTTCAAGTTCATCCAGTGCCTCGTCATAGAAACGCTTGGCATGGTCACGTGCCTCCTTGGTGATTCCAAGCATTTCCTTCATAAACACGGAGTAATTCATAGCGAGTCCAATACGAAGCGGATGGGTAGCGGCCAAACCATTCTGTGAAACCTCTGTCGCACCTGAAATTTAAGTTATATCTCTTATTCCCTGTAAGTATCAAATCGCATGAACTTAATTTTAATATACATGTACAATACCATTTTAGAACGATATTCAAATATGTATTAAAAAGGATCTAGAATCAGGGTCAATGACTCTGCTAGAATGTATAACTGACCTATCTTAATATTGATACAATGCCTTCATTTTTCTTCATTGATAAATTCGAAAAATAAAACCTCGCTTTTCAATTACCTGCGTAATTTTCTTTCGCTTTTTCAATGTAATCAGCCGACTTCTGCTCATCTTCCTCCACTTCCGCTAAATACCGGAAGTAGTCAGCCTTCATTTTATGATAGAAAATATCATCAATCGGTTCCTTTACGGCAGGCAATAGTTTTGAATCTAACATCCAAATAAGGTCATTGCACAAAAACTCCAATTCGCTTAAAATATTTGCTTTGTAATCATGAAATTCTTTTGTTCTAGAGGGATTCACTATTTTTGTTGAAGAAAAAATCTTTTGAAGTGATTTTAAAGCCCTGCGACGAACGCCAACCTCATTTTTGAAGGCTACAGCCAGTAGATTTCTTTCATCTTCAGTGAGACAATTGTTTTTAGGTAAAGCTGTCACCATATCTCGGACGTCTTCAACCATTTCGTCATATCGTCCCGCCGCTTCACTCAGCTGTGCTTTGACCACATAAGAATCTCTCCCTTTAGCAGGCATGGTTTTACATACACAGCAAAGTATATACAGTATAACAGTCAAAACGATATTATAAAACAAACCCGTTTAAAAAGTAAATAACTGATTAATGCACACTTATTTTTCAAGATTTAAATAATTGAATCCTTATATCCATGAATACAAATTAAAACATCAGATATCACTTATTACGTATTTCACACAGCTTGTCCTATATGCATATTATCTTGATGTTCAGTAGTAGGTACAGAAATACGTTTCCAATTTGGATGAAATTTGTTTACTTTCCATTCAATATTCAATTTGAATGGGAAATACGTATTGGGTATAGACGGGTGTATATTGATTTTTAAGAATATTTCTATCGTATTGAAAAGCAAAAATTTGAAACGTATTAATAGAAAAGAATGACTTTTATAAATTAATCTATTCATAGCTTTCATCTCATTCACTGAAATATTGAAAACGTAAAATGACATCGGACATGAAATATCATTGTTAGTTTCGCAGACGACATGTTATCAGAGCAATCGGAATATCTTGGCTATTATCAATAAGTCTTTATCCGAAGTCTGACGGAAAGGGCCGAAAAGTTGTGATTGGTTATCAGAGGACATTAAGAGCACGTGACTCCATGATAATGTCGACGTCTGTGATTCTAGCATTCTATGTTGTATTTGTAAGGCTATACGCACAGCGCACTAAGATAATGACGTCAATTGTTACGTCAAATTACCAGACCTCAAGTCAATTAACGCTGAGTGCTGTGCGCTTTCTACCAATAAGTAAGCTAATGTTCCATTTACATTAAAAATCTCCATCAGTTTTTAATTTTAATAATTCAGACGCCCTCCTGTACCCGTGGGCTCACCCGAATACCCCATTACATGCATGATTTATAATGCACTCCTGGTTGGTTAAAAAAAAAAACACGTTATTGGTTTTGTGTTTTATACATTAAAAGGTACTGTCTCACAGTTTCATACTTTATATGTCATTTGAATATGTTGCTACATTACATGCATAACAGATATATTAAATCCTGACAGTCTTTGTGTTTGTAAAGGATTTATACTCTTTGTTTCTGCAATTAGTTTACCTGTTATAGGTCACCCTTTCCTTCGATAACAGAACGGTAGAATAGCGTTCAACCTCACGCGCGAAAACCACCGACGTCAATTTGTGCATTCTAGTTTAAAGACTATGGGAAAATGCGCCATCATAAATTTTTGAAACGTTATAGCCGGAAAAAAGTTGAACATGGCGAATTTAATGTTTCGTCTGTCATACGTCAGTCAGTTTCAATTCGTTTACCAATCACAAAACATTCGTATGTTAGTATAAGAGATTACAAGCTGCCGTCTTATGATTAGCGGATATCCAACAAATGAATTACATGACGGTTGAAAATGGTTTACGTGCATACGATTGTACACGAATCATTACGAAAGGTAACTTTAAGATTTTCGTCCTTTTCAGAAATGAACAGATTTGGACTTATCAGTATAATATTAACGAATTCTCTCAAGCGTCTTCACCAATAACTCTTTTTGACGAGGATACGTTGAAGGTCTCTTTCAGATTTTTTGATACTGACGATACTATCCGCTTGGAAGCTTTCGTCCATCTACGGTAAATACAAGGCCAGGGTCATTGATCATTTGGAAAAATGAATATAGGGTCGGTGAAGACGGAGCTTCCTGCTTCAGTAGTACCCGTGAATCATTTTGTCAGCTTATTGTTTAGACACACACTAGCAACAGATCTCGGATAAATGCTCTTAATGGTTGTGATCATTTTCCCGTCATTTTACAATGTACATGTAGTATCAATTTGTATAACAGCATATCAATGCCGATAAAATCAAAACAATTGCGAAAGGCAATAAAGGATGCAAATACTGTATTACTGGTGAGAATTACGTAATATACTATTTAACGAAAAGCCGCGTTATGTTGGATATGTATAAGGAATGAGCTAACATAATAAATAAGCTTTTAAATATTCGAACCGCGGAACGGTATTCCAAGGTCCTGGGTTCTAGTCCAGGTCCAATCAGACGGCAGTTACCTCTGGTTTCTGTACCATTAAAATAAAGACGCATACAAGTTTGTGAGGTATGACCTTTTAATTATATCGGTTCATCAAACTTTGGAAAGCAATTACAACAAATAATTCCCCTGCGTTAAATTTCAACTAAATTTCATTAACCACTTTATCCAATTTTCAGACTGCGTTTAACTAATTCGCTTAAGTGTGAGGACCTTTTGTTTACTGTCACAGTTCGCCAAAATAAATAAATTTACAATCAAATACATGACATGTGCCGGTTAATTGATAAATTAATTGAAAAATAAAATTAATTAAACCTTGTGCACATAAAAAAACGCATATATGTTACTATTTCTGATTTATCATGCATTAATTATGTGTAATATTGGATTAATTGAAGTCGAAAGTACGAGGCGTTCAAACAAATATATAAGTATGTAATGTGTCGGGGGAGATAAATCCTGTGAATTGTATTTCTGTTCAGTTTGTCACCATATTGTTTTACATGTAAGATATACGGTTTAAAGCATGGTGACAAAATTAACATCTTTCATTACACATTTATCCTGTTTGTTAATGAATAATTAATTGTTTATCTGTAAATATAAACACTTGTGACCAACTATAGAGATGTGAACCAAACTGCATAACACAGCATCATGCACGGCCTTTATATGAACAATGTTAACTAGAGATTGGACAAGTTAATTCATGTAACCAGACATAGAGAGAATGTTTTTGCGTGACAAATTGTTGATATGTGTTCACTTATTTTAAAATTTCGAAAAAAGGACTGGCCGAATTATTTTAACGGTTCAACGTAACGTGTACAATATGTGAACGAATTAGCCTCTGGCAACTAAGCGTTAATCTCAACAGTCAAAAGGTCATTGACCTGTTAAAAATAACAAAATGGATTTATTTGACTCTTCAGTGACTACACAAGACGTTAGTATTACTACAGTTATTGACACGTCAAACGTCACGCACGATTTTCACGTGCCTAAGATTTGGAATATGAAGCATCTTATAATGACGTCAGTTATTTTAGGAATTCTGATTCTGTGCACAATTATCGGCAATGTGTTTGTTATTGCAGCTATTATTGTAGAAAAGAATCTTCATAATGTAGCTAACTATCTCATCATGTCACTGGCTGTCTCAGACTGTATGGTCGCCATTATAGTGATGCCTATCAGTGCTGTAAATGAGGTTTGTTATATTTTAAACAATTAAATTTCTTTATTTGTGTACAGTAAAACCTGTCAATATATACCGGTTTCGAGGAACATGGTAAAATAAATTACTCAAATTTTGAACATTATTGTCATTGCAACTTTAGTAATAACAGTTAGTTTTGAAGTTATATCAGTTATCTTAAAGGCACGCTATCTATCAGAAACGAATACAGTGTACATGTACTTATTGCCATTCTTTACAAAGAGCAAGCATAAGTTTTTATATCGTTTAAATAATGGTGTTACAATATATTTTAATTAGAAGCTAATTACCTGGAAAAAATATTGAATATGAAGTAATTTGTAACAAAGACATATTTTGACTTCCATAGAAATACGGAATAACTATATCTTTATTAAGAGTTATTGATTCTTACAAACAGAATTGGTACTGTGAAATAAATAATTCTAGTCGCTTACATTTTTATTCAATATACAAACACGATTTTATGTTGGAGAAATATTTTTCAGATGTTTGTGAACAAAAATTTAGAATAGCTTTAACTTAATACAGAATATCAGCACATAATTTACGTATTGAAACTGGAAGATATGACGACACACCCCGGCAAAGTCGACTATGTACCTTTTGCAATTCTAATCCAATATCATTTCTTGTTGGTCTGCCCTTACTATAGAGATATAAGAATAAAATATTTGCCAAGTTATTATTGCCATTGGCCAACAAACACAAAGTTTGAAAGTATCTTATCATCTAATTCTAGAAAAATGACTCAAAATTTATCAAGATATTTATACTTTGCCTTTAAAAGAAGAGGTAATTAACATTTTTCTCTTAATTTATGTAGTAATCTTTATGTTTTTCATCACAAAAAAAAATCAAATCAAGATTTATATTTTTTGTCTTATAACAAATATCCCTCCGCTAACACAGATTTCATAACATTTTGTTTTACATATTGTTGCTAATAACTATGCTACCTGTCTATTATAATGCTAGAAACGTTGTTATAATGTTTAAAGCAAATAAACTGTATTGTATTGTATGTTTTGCTTAAAACACCGGAAGCAAAACTGGTTCAGGTAATTTGCCATTTAGAAACTATAACAAGACACCGAAAATGACAAGCTTTTGAGAAATAAGAAATAAAGCATTTCTGGGGCATGATAGGTCTTTGTTATTATAATAATATGAAAAATATATATTTACATACATGTAAAACATGTGTGGAATTTATTCAATATAACAATCATAAAAGTATGTTAATTGTTAGTATACGTTCAATCGGAATCAATTCCTGTCATTTCCGTTATATTTCGGATTTTTTTTTATTAAATAAACGTTCTTGATCAAATGGCAAATGCTAGTAGAAGATGACGTAAATTTGTTTATGAATATGAAAATATTCTTCTATTTTGTGTCATATAAAATAAACAAAACCAAATAACACCTATATTAAAGATCTACAGGAACTTATTCTTATTAAGTAGACGCTTTTAAAAAAAAATAAATGTTAAAACCGGAAAGTGACGGAAGTTGCCGAACATTTTACGAGTCTATGATTGATGGATCATGTAATATTGATCGGATAGTGTCTCCCATTTATATAACCAAATTGTTCACCGATCAATGCTTTTAATATCCATTAGAAAACATTGAGTACTGTATGAAATGGTTTATCTCTATAACTTGTATTATTAATTAACGTTTATAACTGTGTGAGCATCACAATAATATGTGTAAACAAACTCGCCTGTGATTGTCACAAACCACATGTTTGTTTATTGTAGTCGACATTTGCATTCTTGCTCTGCTGAATTAATTAAGGTATTGTGAAAACTTAACAGGTACCGACTATGTTTTGAACCCAAGATCTCTGATTACTATGCGGTCACCGAACCCCATCACTAAATGTAATCCCAACAGCAGGGTTGTTAGAACTAGAAAATTCCTATAACCGCTACAAAGTATTTTATTCAATAATGGCATATTTGTCTTTTATAGCAAAATATGATTATTGCTTCATAGTGCAAAATAATCATTTCGTTTGATTTCAATTTTGATATGTCAAACTTAATGCATTTCATAATTTTTTCATTAATGATTAATCCCTCGATACCCATATAACAATAAAAGCACTCGAGTTTCCTCTTTTTATAGATTTCTTCGATCAATGTCATTGCACGGGTTTACATTTTACAATACAAGATTTACGTGTCTCACACGGGTTTGCTGTAAAGATTAACACGTCTCACACGGGTTTAATGTACAAGATAAACACGTCTTACACGGGTTTAATGTACAAGATTAACACGTTTTACACGGGTTTAATGTACAAGATTAACACGTCTTACACGGGTTTAATGTACAAGATTAACACGTCTCACACGGGTTTAATGTACAAGATTAACACGTCTTACACGGGTTTATTGTACAAGATTAACGCGTCCCACACGGGTTTACTGTACAAGATTAACGTGTTTCACACGGGTTTACTGTACAAGATTAACGTGTTTCACACGGGTTTACTGTACAAGATTAACGCGTCTCACACGGGTTAACTGTACAAGATTAACTCGTCTCACGCGGGTTTACTGTACAAGATTAACGCGTCTCACACGGATTTACTGTACAAGATAAACGCGTCTCACAAGTGTTCACTGTATAAGATTATTGTGTCTCATGCGGGTTTACTGTACAAGATTAACGCGTCTCACACGGGTTTACTGTCCAAGATTAACGTGTTTCACACGGGTTTACTGTACAAGATTAACACGTCTCACAAGGGTTTACAGTACAAGATTAACGCGTCTCACAAGGGTTTACTGTACAAGATTAACGTGTTTCACACGGGTTTACTGTACAAGATAAACGTGTCTCACGCGGGTTAACTGTACACAAATTAACGCGTCTCACACAGGTTTACTGTACAAGATTAACGCGTCTCACACGGGTTTACTGTACAAGATTAACGTGTCTCACACGGGTTTATTGTACAAGATAAACGCGTCTCACGCGGGTTTACTGTATAAGATTAACGTGTCTCACTTGGGTTTACTGTACAAGATTAACGTCTCTCACACGGGTTTACTGTTCAAGATTAACATGTTTCACATGGATTTACTGTACAAGATTAACGCGTCTCACACGGGTTTGCTGTTCAAGATTAACGCGTCTCACACGGGTTTACTGTGCAAGATTAACACGTCTCACACGGGTTTACTGTACAAGATTTACTCGTCTCACACGGGTTTACAGTACAAAGATTAACGTTTTTAAGATTAATGTGTCTCGCACGAGTTTAATTTACTGTACAACATTAACGTCCCAGTTTCTATACACGGTAATAAACGTTTTCCCATGACAATTCTTCCTTTTTATAATCTTCATTAAGTTTCGTAATAATCACTGACAACAATCGTTATTTAGACCTTGAGAATTTCGAAATTACACCCTTTAAGGTATAAGTTAACGAAACTAACTTGATAATTAGTAACTGTGCTGAAATAATTTTATTTTTTATGTTTAAAGCCAAAACTTGTTTTTTGTTTAATCAGGTACATGTATTTCAAACACATTTGCTATAATTACATTTTCAAGTGTTTACATATATTTATCAGTATAAATTACAGTATTGCCCTTATATTTTATATAACGGTTGAAACTCATTGAACATTACGACCATATGTCCTTACATGGCACCAGTACTTATGTATTCTATGAATCAGGATCGAAAGTGATTAAAGGCCCATAATGCCTCAGAAATGCTTTGTTTTCTATTACTCCAAAATCTTTTATTATCGCTGTCCTGTTATAGTTTCCAACAAGTTACAAATTGGCAAATTACCCGAATAATATTTTGCTTCTGTTGCTTTTAGAAAGAAAATGAAAGGTATTTTGTATGGAAGTCAAATAACTATTTTGTTTACATTTTGATACTTTTAACACCAAATATTTTATATTTAGCACTTCTTATTTCCTGTTATGTTCTAAAACCATTATTTAAACGTAACAAAGCCAATGTTTGCCCTTTCTAAGAAAGAAAAATAATGTTACTGAGGCATAATGTGCCTTTAATATAAGTTTACAGAACTTGTTTCACAAATGTATATAGTTAAGATAAAAATGTTTAAACTAAACCCTTTCTATATGGTATATGAATACAAACGAATGTTATCTTTATTGCAGGTGACACAGCACTGGTTTATGGGTGCGGAGGTTTGTGATATGTGGATAGCCATGGACGTCTTGTGTTGTACAGCCTCTATTTATGGTCTTGTGGCCATTTCTATCGATAGATACTGGGCTGTGACTAATATAGATTACATGAGAAAACGAACAACTAGACGAATGTGCGTCATGATAATCATTGTATGGATGGCAGCCTTATCTATATCAATACCATCCATTTTGTTGTTTAAAGACGACAACGATCCTGATCATACTGGTATTTGCATGATTAGCCAAGACCTTTTCTACACCATCTTCTCGACTGTTGGCGCCTTTTATTTACCAACGGTTATTTTACTTATAATTTACGCGAAAATATTTACTGTTGCCAGGCAAAGAATTTTAAGGAAAAAGTTTTCAGAGAAACGTAAAAACTTGGAGGTGCAACTAAACAGAAGACTTTCTCCACAATTTAACAATGCACCGGAAATGACGTTGTTGACAGTACCGCATCATGGGTACACGTCTGCCTCAAGATCGGATATTTCTGAAACTCCATTTGATGACAGTGCTAGTAATTGTGATAAAAATTATCCAACAATTGAACAGATTTATTTTACCTCTGTTGCAGGTGTAAATAACACCCGTGATGAAATAATGAAAGCTAAAAAGGAAAAAGAAAAACTAAAAAGGAAAAGAGAACGAAAAGTGGCCCGTACACTGACTATTATTACTGGTTCATTTATAATCTGCTGGTTGCCTTTTTTCATCATAGCAATTTCGGCACCATTTATAAGGTCAAAGGTAAACATACCCCGACTTGTTGAGAGCATTACGTTATGGCTGGGATACTTTAACAGTTTACTTAATCCTATAATATATACTATGTTTAATGTAGAATTTCGAAAGGCTTTCAAAGATCTTCTATGTAGAAAATGTTTAAGGAAGGACATGAAAAGAACATTAGATTTGTGGATTTGATCAAACTTAAACATAAATATCTATTTCCGGATCTACTTATATGTGTGCTTTGTTTATTAAGTAAATTTGATACATAAAATCTTTGTTTACAAAAGTGGTTTTTATTATCTATGAGCAATTTCTCAACGCTTCCCGCTGTCTATATCATATTTCTTGATGAATACAATTTGATAGAAATGCAGATCTGTTTTATATAGTATTTATAACAAGCTAACAGAATTACAAAGCCTGATACTGCCAGTATTGATAGTGAAAAAGGACTCCATACTTCAGCTTTTATTTATTTCCCAACTTCGCATTAGAAAGTCCATTTTTTACCCCATATGGTGTTTTGGTTGTATGTAGTTTTACCACATCTTCGATACTGCGACGATGGTAATTCTTAAACAAATAGTGAAGCTGAAAAAAATGCCAATAATGTTTGAAAAAAGAAGATAAATTCATTTTAGAAGTATTTTATATACATTCATGTTTAAAGATATCGTAGTGCTACTGTTATAGACATGTTAAATGTATAAAGAATAACGTTACCCTCTAGGAAACTATTTACTTCTTATTTAATATACACGACCGATTTAGTTTCAAGTTAAATTGAGAACAAACTGAACTCACCCAGACATCTAATGTCATTGTACCATCTTGGTTTAGTTATATGTACCATCTTGTGAGTTTACAGAATTCGTTTTAGAATTTGGAATACTTGATCATGATTAACTTTTTGTACACTAAACGATTTGAGACATTGATTTTATATCCATTTCTTGGCAAGTGTAAAGTAAGTCTATCATCGATTTAGACATAGCCTGATTCTATCAAAAATTTTCAAAAATGTTGTTATTCTTCCATGAAATACTGAGAAATATGGTGGCTGATTTCTGCCATTTCGTGTCTTTGCCCCTCTAAAACTATGATATGCTCATTTGTCAACGACATGTGAGGAATACGATATATCTAAGGCGAAATAACGATATTTTCACAGGCGAAGACACGATATATCTTTCTGTAAAGTTATGATGTCGACGGGTAAAAATATTCGTATTGGCATACGCATTGCAAATTTTGGCATACCAGAACCCACGACGGAAAGAAAAATATTTCGATAAAGACTGCATAAAAATCCGAACAAAGTGGGTAAATATAGAGGAAAGCCAGGAGGGTAGAATCACATTTAGATTTTCTTAATAAAAAGCTTTAGATTTTATATAAATGTTTAAAAAGTTGAAAACTTACCCTGTGACTGACCGATTTTCTCCTTTGCATATCGAGTTAAAGTGCACATCTGGATCAGCGGAAATTCACATACATTTTTTACCGGTGCTTAATTTTGAGATCAATATGGGGTTCCAACCCCGTGGTTTCCTTCTTCTCGTAAATTACTATAAATGAGTGTCAAAATTTCCTTATTCTAATGCGAAATACACCATGATTTTTTTCTATCAGGTGGAGATATCACTGATAATAAAACTAAAAGCTATTGTTGATATCATTGCTTTGATTAACACAACTGATAACATTATAAAATGAGTAAACCAATATATTTCCCTAAATGATTTTGATTTTCTGATTATTACATAATATGATTTAGAGTGGATTCCTGTTTCGAGGATTAATAATTTTACTTCAATGGACGTTATTGAATATTGGTATTATCTATCATTTTCTTTCATAAGAAAAAGGAAATTTAACTTGAAACAACAATATTACTAATCATTTGAGAATTAAAGCAGACACTGTAATGGAGACAAAAAAGCTAAACGAGCAAGTCATGATGAAACGTGTTCACGATCATGAGGTCTCTAACGAATATTCAAATTTAACGATAACATCAAATGTTACTGGAGATATTCATAAAGACAATGAACTAGACGAATCTGGTCTACAAACTTATGCTAATTTAGAGGAGAAGAGAAATACTACACAGTATAGTAAATTATCCAGCAATAGTAAACGAGATACAAAAGTTCATGAACATTATGAGGAAATAGAAATTCCAACTGCCGGAACACCCAAACTTAACTGTGACATTAAGGAATCTAAAGAAGTCATTAAAGAAGAGAAAGTGGCCGAACCGACACAGATACAGAATGCACTTCTAAATATCAACTTCGTAAAGATCTGTGTGTTGGTTCAAGTGGCCTTGACTCTGTGTTGTTGTGGCATTGGTGTTTATGTTCTAACAGTCATAAATAAAGACGAAAATGATGGTATTTATTCTTTATTGAACATTATAATAATAATCATGGTCACAAGATTATTTTACCCGGCTATCTGTCTTCTGTCATTCCTCTTCTCCATCTGTCATAATAATATGGCATTTCGTGGTTGTTAAATATCATTCTAAGATATTTAGCCGTGTGAGCACATTCATTTTTTATTTGTTTTGTCTGTCAGTCTTTTGTCAGTCCTTACTTTAATCCGTAAAGATCGCACAAAACGACAAATTGAAAATGCTGCATGCTCGGTTTGATGGAAGCAAGCCTATAGTTATAGTAGGGATTCGAAACAACCTGTTTATATGGCTTTTACATAAACCATTTTTAAGTTTATAAGTAAGAGAATGACAATACATGCTGATCAAATAGTTCGGATTCGAAACCGTCTGTTTATATAAAAGTATTTCTAACCTTTTTCCACAACAATTTTTTAATTTATGTATAATTATGAAGAGAACGACAATACATGCTGATTTAGTGTACGTAAATATTTGATTAAAGCTAATAGGTGGCATTATTATTTGGTATGATTGGAAACATATTTACGTCCTCCTTTTTAAACAAACATTGATATCAAAATTTATCACTTGCTGAAATATAGTAAATACAATTATACTTGAAAATAATTTCCTGTATTTATTTATACAAGAAAACAATTTAGTGATTGGTTGAAATAATATTAATAGAAACTTAATGAGTTGTCTTTGTGTGTAAATTAATTCCGGTACAACTGACAGATTATAACAATGATTCATGTCCATGTCTTGCTGTTCATAAAAAAATGATGTCCAATTATGTGCCCATCCACGTTTTCCAAGTCAATGTTTAAATAATAAATATACACGAAAATTGAATGCTGTTCTATTGTCCAATCACTAAGTAAAGACATATTGAACAATTAATATCGTGAAACGTTGCATCAATATCCAGGAAGACGGATCACTATTTACCTAATTATCTTACTGTACACTGAGATGTCATATCAGCCTACCAAATGTTTTTGTGTTGTTTTTTTTATGTAATATACAAACAGAAATGATTTTAGTTTATGTTTACATACATAGCTTTACAAGGTAATGGTGTTTGGGATGTTTGGGGACAGTGGGAGTCGTGTTCTGTTACATGTAATGTTGGGCTGGAAATAAGACATCGGCAGTGTTCAAACAAGGAAGAAAATAGTTATTATTGCAGCGGTTCTACAACAGAATACAGACTTTGTTTGCTACAACCGTGTTCAAGTGAGTATTACGGCAAGTTTGAGAATTTACTTAATATATTTTTATGTATTTTTATTTCATTTGCCACATTCAATATCTCAAAGCGTATCACTGGATCGAGAAGAAAATGTTATTTGCTAATACTAATAAATGACAGTTATACATTTAAACATTAGTAAAGTGAAATTTAAACATATGTCCTGTTTAATTTTTTTATGATAACATTTAGTCTATTACTGATCACAACAATGTGTTGATTATAACGTGCCTTCGTATCTCTTTTTTTATTGAAAAAGTTAGAGCCTGGTTGGATTGGGGACCCTGGAGTGGCTGTAGCGCTTCTTGTGATGGTGGACTAAGGTCAAGATCGAGAGACTTTGACTGGAATGGAACATCTAGTGTTGGTCAATATTGGCAAGGTGGTGAATTCACACAAGTACAGATATGTGGTCGAAGTGCATGCTCAGGTATGTTCACGATAATTATACTAAAGAGACACATGCTGCAAAATTGTATTAATTGCACATTAAGTTCATTTTCATACAGAAAAAAATGATAACTGAATCCATTTTAAGGTAAAATGAACAACATTTATATTGCATTTTTAGCTCGACGACTATTCGCAAAATAATCGAGCTAATGCTTTCACCCATTTGTAGGCGTCTATGTGGTTAAGTTTTTGCGTGTAAGCATGTATCTCTATATCTACTGAAGGGAATGGATTGAAACTTCACTCACTTGTTTTCTGTAATTATCTAAGATGGTTGACACACGTCCCATAACTCTGATTTGTTTTTTTGCATAATTATGCTCCTTTTCGGCTTAGAAATGCTTGGTAAAGTTTTTGCTTGTAAGCTTGTATCTCCATAACTACTGAAGGGTTTGTGCCTTTTTGGGGACAATTTTATGCATTCATAATAATAAAGCTGTGATTTACTCGATAAAACATCTTAGTAACAAGCCTTTGTACCTTTTCGGACAATTTTATGTATTCATATAGGTAGGCATTATTATACTGAAATAAACACCCTTGTAACAACTTTTACGAATAGTCGAGCGTCGCTTTCCTCCGACAGTTCTTGTTATACTTTGTTGTCCTCTCGAATTTTATTAAATGTTATTGTATTTGTAAATTTCAAACAGAGAACATCTATTAAAATTTGTTTTGTTTTAATACGAATTACATAATTACCTGAGTTTTGATAAAATATTGATGATTGATTGAAATTGATAATCGAAAGTCATGAAAAATATAATTTTCCCTCTCTGAGAGTGTCATATTTTGAAGAAAAGAAACATTTATATTTTTGGAAGGCATTATCAAAACATATATAATCATTTAAGTGTATGCCATATGCAAATTTTTAAACAATTATGATAAAAAATGTATGATACGATTAATAACTCTTTGTAATACCTTATGTAATATCAAATGATTGAAAAATGCATTATTTTCAGGGAAGATCTTAACGTTTATTGGTTGTGTATCATATATCCTATTATTTAAAGAAATAATGATTAAACTTTAAACTTGACTTTATTAAGAAGCTAAAGTTATTCACCGTCAAACGGTGCAAATTGAATGCTATCAAAATGGACGGATAAAAAAAGATTATAAATAAATCAAATGAGGCCATAAGAATTATTTGTACCAGAATATTATCTTTAAAACTGAATGATAGTAACGTCCCTTTTCATGGGATATTTGTCATGTTTGTATAAACTATATACACAGTTAAAATTATTGACATATATATATATACGGTTGTTTACAAAATTCTTAATAACTAATTATATATCGTAAATTACATTATCTTTATAGACGGAGGTTGGGCAGTATGGACATCGTGGGGAAATTGTAATGTGACATGTGGACGTGGAGTTCAGACTCGAACAAGAACTTGCTCTAACCCTAGCCCATCTAGTCTTGGTCAATATTGTAAGGGTGACTCTTTACAAGTAAAAACATGCGAGACAAGATCTTGTACAGGTTTGTTCCGATTTTTTTATGTTTTAGAATCGTACGGATATATAATAAATTTGGATTTTCTAATTATGAGAAATACCAATATAAGTTATATGATGGTTATATGACAATTACTGTCAGATTAGACAAGACACCGACCAATCAGTATTTACCCTCCAAATCTTTCATGATGAAATGAATAAATAATTAAAATAGAAGAAACAAGTTAATAGTTTACGAATAAAAGTTTAAATAAACGGTTATATCATATGTGATACAGGAACAAAAATGTCTTACAAAATAAAGGTCAGTGTCTGTAGATATTAGATAATTTAATCACATATGATTGATAGAGAATTTTGAGCAAAGCTTATTTTATATTTCATGATGATTATCAACACTTAATAAGACTACACGTGATATTCTATTGATCTTATATCTAACCTATCAAAACTTTAATTTTGTGGGTGATTTAGTAGGTTTCAATGTTAACCTGGCAACTGTACAAGCTAGCAGTAATTTGACGACGATGATATTTACTGACGTTCTATTTAACATCGGTAGCGCCTACAACACATCCACTGGCATCTTTACAGCTCCTATGGCAGGACTTTATCAATTCAATGTTCATATTTGTACCCAAAATAGTGGTAATGATATAAAATATGCTTTCATAGTTGAAGGGAAACAAATATATCATGGCGAGTTGAAAATAGTGTCCAACGGAACAGAGTGTATGCCATTTAGCACCGTGGTGAACGTACAGCAAAATGGAACAGCGCTTATACAAGCAGCTTATTCAAATAAAGTATCTGGTATTATCAACATGTTCTCGGGATACCTTATCTATCAGACATAAACTTACATTTTGTTGACATGTGATAGTCTAATTTATTTTTATTTTTTTTATTTTTTTCAGCAACATAGGTTGCCCATTTATTTTCCCCGTAATTGGTGCAGTGGGGTCGGAGAGCCATCCTCTGCTGTACCTTACATTATCATTTCATGGCATATACCATCATATTATATTTAAAACATTTCAGTGACATTAAGCTCATTTTTTTTTCAATGTCAAGTTGAGTTTTATTGACTATAAATTTCAATATTGACAATAATAGTGGTGCTTGACAACATTTGATATCAGAAAAAGTTTTGGATAAAATATATATCTGCCTAAAACATAAAGACTGCCCCATACTTTTATCAAATATAATTTTTCCTTCTACAGATATTTCCAAAATAGTTTAATTTATTTATTTTGACAATTGTACCACGTAATGAAAATGAAATAATTATTGTGACCACATATTTCCGTGTATGACCATTATGCTACGATTGATTGTTTTCTATTATTTGAAGTAATATTAATGTGTCGCTAACTTCCAACCTTTTGTCTGTTTATTAAAACAAATTACTGTGTGACAAAATGCAATACACTTAAAACCATTTATTTAATGACTTAATTGATTTTAGAGCAAGATTACCATGGCACACAGTATTAAACGTTGGTCTGATTTAATTTCCTTGTGAATAAAAAAATCTTAAGGTCACATTTAGTAAGTTCTTATCGATAATGTTTTTAAAGTTTAAAATTTTTAGATGGTCTCATACACCCTCCCCACACACAAACACTTCAAGTTAAAATTCATTTTCAGATAGATTTTTAAATGCTTTAATCAGTTTAATTTCATTTTGATATGATTCGTGCATTTCTTTCAATAATTTAGCATAATACTGCAAGTTAAAACGATAACAATGTCATACCATTTTAATGTTGACCGACTTTTACTTTTTATTGATGCCAAATGCAAGCAAACTAACTTAATGTAAAGCAAATGTTCTCCTCAGATTTCAGTATGTCAATGTCCTACTGAGCGCCTTATGTCAGAACTCCATGCCAAAGTAACACAGTATATTTTACAGCACATAGCCTTAAACCTTCTCAATTATTCTAAAAGATTAAATGAAAAATGAGTGTTACTGTTCGTTTAAGTTTAATTATTGGATAACGTTTTATCTTTTAATATTTATAATTGTGGTCAGAATATTATTATTGAGAAATTTTCCTGACATACATGTTAAAGATGTAAAAATATTCAGAGTTACTTCAATAGCTAGTGCCTCAAGTTGCTGGAGTCCAATATGTGTTGGTGATTTTGAAAAAAAAAGAGTGCTGTTGTTCTGCGATAAAAATTCGCAAAATGAAGAGCATGTTGCAAATCAGTCTTATTACTAGCTTATTCTAAAATATGTTAAATATTGTATATAGAAAATTATCTTGTGCAACAAAGTACCAGCCAACTAGGTTACGTGTTATATAAATACGTATCGAATAAAAGGGTTTACATTGTTATATCTCAGTAAATGGATCATATAAAGAATATGAATTTCTCTAAATAACATAGATACAATTTGTTTTACGTTTTTTCTTTTATTTTCTTAAAGTGTATTAAACATATTTTTACTTCGAGTCCCTCATCCATCCTTTATAACTGTGTCTAGTTTGTCGTTTGTCCCCACGGTTGTTAGTTCCTGCAAATCGCTTCGATTTACATTGCACAGTGATAAAATCAGTACAGTAAAGTTTATTTGTTTCTTAAGGGACATTACTGCTAATATCATGCTTAGAATATTAAAGCAAGTTATTTCCTTTACAGACAATGTGAATCTACAAAAATATAAAGTTATATTATCATAAAAAACAATATCAGATAGAAGAAAATGCATACAATCTATTTCAGTAAAGTAGAACGTTTCTCAATAAACAAAATTCCATCTGAATATCTACCTTGATTTATCAATTATAAAATAAACTTTTAATATTACCATTTTTATCTTTCTTTTGAGCAGAAATGATATAACGCATTAATTGCCTGGTTGATAACTCGCATGTATCGATCTTTATATATAGTTACGTGTTTGTTAATCTTGGCATTATTGAAACTTAATCTGTCTGGAAGGGCGCAGCTGCTTTGTGGTTGATGTTATATTTTGAATCTTTACACAGTGCAAATATGGTATGTTAATTAATTGATATCGTATTAAATGATCAATTGATGCTGATATAATCGATTGAATATACCAAATAATTTGAAAAATGGAACGATCTCATTGGACAAAATATAATTGTAACCACTAAATAGCTTTTACATTGTTATTATTACCTTTTATAACTGAGTAATAATTCATTCTGATCAGATAGGAAAAAGTGAAAAACAGGAAAATGAACATTTAATTACCTTCGTCAGAAATATCTTTAACATAACGATATCTTAAATTATATTGTTTGTAATTGATAGCAGGTCGATATTTATAATGTCTAGTTGTCAATTTGGACTTGTTACAACTGTAAAATTAGTTACATAGGAATTATGGAAGTAACAGTAATGAGTACGTGTACTCTTCATATGACTTAAATATTATTCAAAATATCGTATATTTGCAAAGATATCATTTGTGGAATTCTGTTGAAAATTGTGACAATTACTTGTCAGATGAAAGCTTTTCAAATATAACATAATAGTCAGACATATTAGTCAATTAAAGTTAAAACAGATTCAAGATTCGAGTTTTATTTATTCAAATTCTCATAAACGCCAGTTATAATGATGATGAGAATATATCGCAAAGAAACTTTACATAATAATCATAGCAAGATATGAAATACAATAATGCATAATAAGGTTGGCTAGTAAATTAGAACATTTTTCTCTTAAACTAGGAGACATCTATATAAGGCAAAAGTAGATTACTGTGTTTAACCTTCGGAGATTATACAGGCAACGTTCGTGACTGACTGCTGATGTGTGGGTGTTTTTATTGCTAATATATACATATACACAATAATAACAAGTTTTCGAATTAATAAATAGCAAAATCGGTTGGGCCCAAGTTCTTGCAACATAATAGGACAATCCCTAACATTTTAAATCCGACAGAAACGCATATTGTGAGTGAATGATAACTAATATGAATAGAAATGTATTTTTCGGTCGAAGTCCGTCTGAGAACAGTTTGACTTCCTATGAAATATTCACGGAAGAATTGAATATAGGAAGGATTTCCATTGGTCATTCTAAAGTTACGAACTGAAATCAGACAATGTCATTGGTCATTTTAAAATTACAAACTGAAATCAGCAAATCTCTTAGGTTATTCAAAAATTACGAACTGAAATCAACGAATTTCATTGGTCTTTCTAAAATTACAAACTGAAATCAGGGAATTTCATTGGCCAATATAAAAGAGTAAAAGAATTTTCAAGGATCCACATGGTACCAGTATCGGTTTTTCTACGAACCCTCCCGAGGTGTGCACATCGTGAAGAAGGCACACGGCAGGTCAAGGTCAAATCATCTCAAGTACCAGAGTTGATTGGTTGACCTGCCGTGACTAACTCAGGGGGGTGGCGCTAGCATGAACCGATTTTGTTAGATGATGCCGTCTGAAAAGTGATGCCTTGGAAAGTATTGTCGTCTCCTTCAGTCACCAACGAGCAAAAACATGTTCCGGGAAAGTATTGTCGTCTGTTTCAGTCGCCAACGAGCGAAAAACAGGTTCCGGGAAAATATTGTCGTCTCCTTCAGTCACCAACGAGCGAATAACAGGTTCCGGGAAGATTCTGCATGAAAAGTCGCAGCTGATGTGGACAGTACCGTCGGACCAGCAAGTGCGCAGACAATCTGGCCCATATAGTAATTCCAGCGGCTAGTATAAATTAACATATCTAGACACACACTGTACCGGCGCTCAATGGGTAGACGATTGGACTGTGAATCGGCGCCGGTCACTTTCGTTGGGATGGATAACGATATCTTTTCTACGGTAATTCACACTGTACCTCTGATGTGGCATGTACAAAAGAAGTTGCAGTTTCTTGCGGAAGTGAATGCAACTAGTACTGGTAAACTGCGCGACAACCTGCCCAGGAACGATGCGGTGGTTGAACTGTGCTCTGGTTAATTCAATCTGGCTTACTGTCGTGATTTGGAGTGAAAACTACCAACACCACAACCATCTGTGTAGTTTAGTAGCGGAAAGTGATTGATACATAAATTGAAAACATTTGTTTCATAACCGATCATAAAAAACTGGAATATTCTTACACTGAAGAAAAATACATGTGTTATTTTTTTTAATATTGGATCTTTTAATTGACCAGGAAAACCACCCATAAAATAATGTGTCAACAAACATAGACAGACAGACAAACAGACAGATAAACAGACAGAAAGGTTGGCAGGCAGACAAAAATGTATGTCAGACCTTCATTGATTTTACATGCTACAATTTGTAACCACATTATGCTTGCTGTAATGTTCCCTATTACTGGCTTATCATTTAAGTATTCTTGCGGGAATTTATAAAACGACAAGCAATTCCGAGAACAGGGTTAACGTACATGTATATACATGTAAATAGTTTGCTTTATAAGGATAGAAACTTACATAAGTCAGATGTTTACAGTTACGAAACAGATTATGTAAATGTTTGTAGCTTGAATGTCTATATTTCAATCTTAAACCATCGCTAAGGTTGAAGGTGTTCCAGAGACATGTAAAATAAAAATGTAAGAAGTCTATACCATTATTTATATAATCATTATTATAATTTATTATTGTTGTTGGAATGGTTGTTGTTTTCGGTAATATTTATGATGATTTTTGTAATAATGAAGGTGACCAGGATTAAAAATGATGATGATGTGGATGATAGTAGTTTTGATAATAATGGAAATAGTGATGATTTTAATGATGATGATGATGATGCATATGTTGATAATTTTATGTTATCGATGAAGATAAAGATTGAAATAATTTTGATGATAATGATAATCGAGGAGACGATACACGAAAATATTATTCTCTTTTTTACTCCGATATCAAAACCGATTGGTCACATCCCAGCAGTCGGTCCACCTAAAACCAACTTTCCCGGATAACTAACCAGTAATTACCAATTTCACCCGCAAGTGGCCGACTACTAATCCCTTTTGATTTTTTATTAAGTGATGAGTGATTAACTGCAATATCAAAAGTCATTAATTCTTTCTTTCTTGGAGGATTTCTGTGTAGCCTGTAACCAGGGATTTCAGGAACTTTGTCTTTAAACACTTCACAACAGCAGGTGTCAAGTGCTGTGTGGCAGCTGTAAAAAGTTGCCCCGTACTTCACTTCAGTGTTGTTATACTTTTCTGGTCCTTCGGGATCATTGATGCCAGCACTATTAAGTGTTGAGAATTGAGTACCGCTCAAGCCGGTGCTAGCGGGCGTGAGGGATGTTGCACTTTTAATTATCCCTCATGTACAAACTCAATCGAACCGAGTCTGCAATTCTTATGTAATTTTGTTGTGATTAATGCTTCCCAGGGATCACTTTGTTTCCAGACTTTTAAACAAGTGAAGAATTTATTGCCTTTTATACACTCTACAAGCAAACACAATACATTATAACTATTAATTTAAAAAGTAGACCTTCAGATCCGTAAAGATCATTCAGCACGACATTATTGTTGTGTTTGTTGTATTTTTGGCATTTTTGGCATAACTATTTAGCATTTTCTAGTTGGGTGGTTCCAATTTTCCTACTTGAATAATGTTGAATTACCCTTGGGATATGTTGCCTGCTTTTTAACTTTGTCTTTTGACGTCTTTTCTGTGATATGCAGGCTTCAAAACCTCTGATCCCCTTTCAAAATTCCATTTTGTTAATTTCCGCACATTGTTTTCTCGATTAGGGCACACGCTTTTTATTACTTGGGGACCCTATGCCGCTTTTCATGGAATGGCACTTCTGTGTCACATTGAAGGTTCCATGATAACCGCTGTATCTGCGGATGTTTCTAAAAATTCAAAATTCTACCTTTTCATGTTTAAATGTTGAATTCTGCTTTAGCCGGTGCTAGGGGGCATGAACGGTAACTTTCACTTTCCAGTCCGTCCATGAACAGGCTCAATCAAACCGAGCCTGTACTATTTTCAATTTTAACGTGTTGGCCTTTTTTTTTAGAGATTCTGTTTTCTCTATTCTCTATTAACAACATAATTAACAAAATACAGTGCGTTTACGTGGGAAGGACTGTAGTAAGTTATTTGGAGTCATTTATGGACAATTATTTTGTGTATTACATAAGGTAAAGTAAGTCAAATTGATCAGACACTTATAGATACAAACATAATGAGCCTTTGTACAACAATACATTTTGTATCAAATCTTAGTAACAGAACATACTCCGGTCATATACGGCGTGCTTTGACAACTGAAGCTCTTATATTTTTTCAATAACGTTTAGTTTAAGGAAAGTGGGATATCTTGTGAAATAACGGAATATATAATTGTCAATATAAAATCTAGGTACTTAGTCTTTCATTTATTCATGAAAATATTTCCATAGAACAAGATCATGTTGATAGTTAAAAAAGGTAAATATCTAACATAGATTGAATAAGATACTGGTAATAATGTATTATATGAATGTATATTGAATCAACATTTCAAACGTAGAAAATTAGCATATTAAACAAAGATTATCATTTTTTCGCAATTTAATTTAATCTTTACTGAAATCATAATGGTGTAGTTTAATCAGCAAGCTAAGTAATGAATTACTGTAATAAACAATGTATCTATCTATGATATTTTAGTACTTAATTGATTGACTCTATTTTCTGAGACATTTTCTACAAATATGTACATGGTACATAAAATAACTCTGATCAAAGATAACATCACCTGGTAACAGAATATTTGCGGTATTCTAAAGTTAAATTTAAAACATTATTGTGCAGGGATAAAGAAAAACAACACAATTAACTAATACTATGGTTGTTACAACATCTTTATTATTAACATGAATGTAAAAAGCCGATTTAACGTGATTATTTGGTTGAACATTGCAATTATAACAAACCAAACTTGGACATGTACATGCGCAATGACACTAAATTTACTGGGAATGGTCTCGGAGACGGGTGCCAGTTATAGGAGTGCTGGATCATGTTTAACAGCAACCAGGATGGCCGTGGACGATGTGAACAAGTGCGACACAGTTTTGAAAGATTATGATCTTGTTTATAAATGGATAGATAGTAAGGTATGATCTAATTCAACTTTTACAGGAAATAAAATTCTGTTCTTAAAAGTATAGTCATTAACGTTTTGCAGGGAATGTGTTAATTGGTATCTAATCGTAATATATCAGATTGATATATTAGTGGTGTCTATACGTTGTGCCTCAAATTGATATATTAGTGGTGATATTACATTCGTTGTGTCTCAGATTGATTAACAAGTGGTCTCTGAACTTTGTGCCTCAGATTGATTTAAAAGTGGTCTCTTTACTTTGTGTCTCAGATTGATTTACAAGTGGTCTCTATACTTTGTGCCTCAGATTGATTTACAAGTGGTCTCTATACTTTGTGTCTCAGATTGATTTACAAGTGGTCTCTATACTTTGTGCCTCAGATTGATTTACAAGTGGTCTCTATAATTTGTGCCTCAGATTGATTTACAAGTGGTCTCTATACTTTGTGCCTCAGATTGATTTACAAGTGGTCTCTATACTTTGTGTCTCAGATTGATTTACAAGTGGTCTCTATACTTTGTGTCTCAGATTGATTTACAAGTGGTCTCTATACGTTGTGTCTCAGATTGATTTACAAGTGGTCTCTATACTTTGTGTCTCAGATTGATTTACAAGTGGTCTCTATACTTTGTGTCTCAGATTGATTTACAAGTGGTCTCTATACTTTGTGTCTCAGATTGATTTACAAGTGGTCTCTATACGTTGTGCCTCAGATTGATTTACAAGTGGTCTCTATACTTTGTGTCTCAGATTGATTTACAAGTGGTCTCTATACTTTGTGTCTCAGATTGATTTACAAGTGGTCTCTATACTTTGTGTCTCAGATTGATTTACAAGTGGTCTCTATACTTTGTGTCTCAGATTGATTTACAAGTAGTCTCTATACGTTGTGTCTCAGATTGATTAACAAGTGGTATCTATACTTTGTGTCTCAGATTGATTTACAAGTGGTCTCTATACTTTGTGTCTCAGATTGATTTACAAGTGGTCCTCTATACGTTGTGTCTCAGATTGATTTACAAGTGGTCTCTATACTTTGTGTCTCAGATTGATTAACAAGTGGTATCTATACTTTGTGTCTCAGATTGATTTACAAGTGGTCTCTATACTTTGTGTCTCAGATTGATTTACAAGTAGTCTCTATACGTTGTGTCTCAGATTGATTAACAAGTGGTCTCTATACTTTGTGTCTCAGATTGATTTACAAGTGGTCTCTATACGTTGTGTCTCAGATTGATTTACAAGTGGTCTCTATACTTTGTGTCTCAGATTGCCACCGCTTTAAAAAAAGAACTATTCGTAAATATTACCTATCAAATGATAAAGTTTTAGTATAGAAAAATTATATATCTTTTTATATTTTTGTCATATCCTCTCGAGGGCGCACCAAGCCATTAAAAAAAGTTAAAAGAGAAAAAAAAAGAAGATATTATATACATAAAATAACAAATGGGAAACATTAAGGGTTTGTTAAAAGTAAAAAAGTCTGGCAATTGGTTATTATTGGTGATATGCTAAATAATAGCTATCGTAAAGAAATATTGAATTTTATTCGATTATCATTTCTTACATCTATAATGTGTAATATCTATATATATCCATTAGTTGCTATAAAATATTCCTTGAATATCAAGGTTTTTTACCACATATACATGTATTACATGGAAATTATTTCCCGTACAGATTATATCTTTTTCATTAAATGTCACAAAACTTAATAGATTTGACTGTAATCGAGCAAAGTTACATTTATTCATTAATTTTGTGATATGAATATAAATGGAAAATGAATTTTTTAAATATCTTTTATATATATAATTTTCAACGAAATTGGACACCACTATTTGAAAACTGAGCTAAATAACAATGTGAAGGAATTACGAAAACAGCATTTGACAATATACTGTAATTGCAATTTTAAATTGTTATATCAAGAAAAGCATTTGTCATTAAAATACAAGATACTATAATTGATAATTATGATGCTGCTTCACTGTTGCTATGGAAAATACAATTAAATTGCCTGAAAACCATAATTACTTTGTTTATTCTTTGTTAATTACTCTCCTTATTTCCCAAACACAGAATAACGGTTATTACCCTTATACATGCATTTAAAGATTTTGTAAGCTTCACCTTTTAAGTTAAAACATATTTCATACTGTTTTTACATGTAAAATATTTCCTCAATTAGCGAGTAGTCGCGTGTTATGTAATTTACTAAACTTTAATGTTACGTCACGAAAATCATGTAACATTTAAACAATGCATCCATAGATAGAACTTTGTTCATGGAATTTATATGTCGATGCAATAAATAGAGACTGTATTTTTTTTTACTTTTAAGAGATAATCTCATGGAACTTATTATTAAAAAAATTATCTTTATTAGACGTACTTAATTAAATAACATGTACTGATACCTAATGAACACTTCTAATAATGTTACGTTACTTATGATAAATTATAATTCTAATTTATTAATAAAATCATTTTTTTGCGATTATTTGTCACTTTATGTGTATTTGATTATCTTTTAACTTCGCAAGTGTGATCCTGGGACTGCGTTAGATAGAATGTTTCGGCATCTATATCATGATCCTCCTTATATCATGTTGCTAGGGGCAGCCTGCTCGGTGGCGACCGAGGCCACCGCCCAAGTATCTTACTTCTGGAATCTTACACAGGTATATATAAACATGTATTTACATCTCTTATCTACCAACCAGACATAAACAATTCAAGATATCTTATGAAACAACATTAATTTTGCAGAGTTATTGTTGATTAGCCAATACCATTGAGTACATTTAGATATATAATTATATCAAATACTCACCACCATAAGAATAGACATAATTGAAATGTTTTGATTCAATTTAAAATGGCTTTTAATTTGTTTTCTTTACCTTTCAAAGAATATAACTATGCATCTTACTTTCTTGTTGTTTTATTTTAATTCCATCTTTGTTTCAGGTATCGTATGAGTCATCGTCTCCAGTCTTATCAAACCGAGCAAGATTTCCACGTTTCTTCCGACTTTACCCACCAGACCAGAAGCTAAACATTGCAAGGATAGCTCTGATGAAATATTTTAACTGGACAATGGTCGCTACAATAAATGAAGCTAGGGAATATTTTTCTGCAGTAAGATATACGTGTTCTTGTTTTTTTTCTCTATTTTATGCCGCATTACATTGTTACTCAAATCGCTGGAGCAATAATTTTCAAAGGATAGTTTTCAGCGTGTACATTAAAGCACTTTGGTATTTGGACTCAAATGTATTGTCCTTCAGTTAGCTAATTTTCCAGTTATAAAGCTCACTTAAAAATACGAAAACAGAAAAATAACGAAACCAATTGTTACTGATGATGTTGAATCTTGCTTGTATTAATTTTCATGTCATGTAATTGTCATACATTTGAAAACAAATACTTTTAAAGAGGCATAATTGTACACAGAACAACTATCATATTTCTGGCAATTAACAATAATTTTCTTAAGGATTGTCAGAAGATTGAGATATAATGAAATAGATATCTGTTATTGAAAACAATGAAGCTACACTGACAGTGAATGGAACGGAAATTAAATTAGATCGTACAGTATTGCATACAAGAAATTATATATTTATGAAAATGATGTCATAAAATATATATAGAAGATATTCAAATGTTTTCAAGAAATATCGGATTTATTTTCGTCGAGATGTAAGATATATGATAATTTTCATACCATATCTCGTATTTATAAAAAAAAAAGCTTTCATTTTTTCTGTTCATTACTTTTTTTCTCTCCTCTCTTATGACCTCATGACCTGAAAGATTTCCACTTTAAGTATGTGTAGACTATAGACTGAATCAAGAAGAAAATAGTTCGGCAAGACATCAGGCTTGAGCGAAAATACGAAAATTCGGAAAATATGTTTCATGGCCGTGATTACTAATTTTTTACAGTGAAAATACGGAAAGGAAAACACGCATTTTATCCCCTTTTTTATTATTTCAATTTATAAGTATAAAATAAACATAGTTCCTAAGACATGTTTACCTTTTCATGGCTGAAATAATTGTTGTTATCAAAGATTATACAAATTATTGCAAGCTTAATTAAATCATAATTATACAACTATCTTTTTATATAGTTACATGAACAACTTTATGTCTGTTTTCATATTTCTATGTTGCTGTTTATTGAAAATCAAATAAAGATTAATGCCTAATGTGATTTCAGGTGATTGGAGATTTTGTTCAAAGACTTGAAGGTACAGGAACAACCGTTATCTCTCAGGAAATATTTGTAAATGAGCCTTATAGTAGAGTCCAAAACTTAAAAGTAAGTTCTTCTTATTCTTATGTGCGTGCGTGCGTGAGCGTGAGTGCGAGTGCATATTTTTCACGAATATTGGAAATACAATAAAAAGGCTGTTTTTATATTGCTTACGGATCTTTTTGATCTATCTTTTTTTTTCGCTATCAAATGCATATACGAGTACTATAAGTGTTCATTTATTTGAGAGACGTTATACTACACTTATTATAAAATATACTATAAGATTGTTTCTCACAATGTTCATTTTGAAATGACGTGATGCTAGAATTATTATAACATATTCTATAAGTTTGTTTATCACAATGTTCATTTATTTTAGAGACGTGATGCTAGAATTATTATAACTATAAACTTGTTTATCACAATGTTCATATATTTTAGAGACGTGATGCTAGAATTATTATAACATACATGTATACTATAAACTTGTTTATCACAATGTTCATATATTTTAGAGACGTGATGCTAGAATTATTGTAAAATATACTATAAACTTGTTTATCACAATGTTCATATATTTTAGAGACGTGATGCTAGAATTATTATAACACATACTATAAACTTGTTTATCACAATGTTCATATATTTTAGAGACGTGATGCTAGAATTATTGTTAAATATACTATAAACTTGTTTATCACAATGTTCATATATTTTAGAGACGTGAGGCTAGAATTATTATAACACATACTACAAACTTGTTTATCACAATGTTCATTTATTTTAGAGACGTGATGCTAGAGTTATTATAACATATACTATAAGTTTGTTTATAACAATGTTCATATATTTTAGAGACGTTATGCTAGAATTATTATAACATACATGTATACCATAAACTTGTTTTATCACATTGTTCATATATTTTAGAGACGTGATGCTAGAATTATTATAACATATTCTATAAGTTTGTTTATCACATTGTTCATTTATTCTAGAGACGTGATGCTAGAATTATTATAACAGCAATGTATGAAGACATGGCCAGAGAGACGTTATGTGCGGTACGTAAATATACATATAAAACTAAACTCTTAATAGTGTTGATGATAAATATTAATGACCACTGTCAGCTCGAAAAATTGAATTTTTGCAAATTGCAAATTGTTTATCTTTCTTTTATACTCACAACCGTGTTGTGTGTCCCGTGTGGCGGCTGTAAAAATTCTCCCCATGTATGCAATTAATGTTGTTATATTTTCATCACCAAGGGATTGTTCGGCGTTCAGTGTTGATAAGGGTCCGCCTAAGCTCCTTGTCACTGGTTCTTGTTGCTGGGTCGTATGGGGTTGTGTTCATTGGACGCCGCCTTTCCTTGTTCATGTTGTTTATCATTTTTTTTACATGTACTTGTTTGTCTCGTTTTAACGCCACTTTGGATATTTAATTTGGCCATATCTCGACGGTCGGTCATCCTAACCGACTTTCCGGAAAAAATATTACCAATTTTTCTGTTAGTGACCAACTACTAACCCCAAATGATTTCTAAATCAGCTGTGAGAGACAAATGACCATTAGACTCAATTTCCGAGATCACTTGTCACGGGGAGATTTGCCAAGTCAAAGTATCGAACCAGTGACCCCTGGATTAAAAGATCCGGTGCTCCCAATATTGGGCTCAACCCTAATTCTTTATATATGTTAGACATTTATTTGTAGACAAAATATGTACAGTATCGTTCGTTACTCATGTTCTTATTGGTGTATTTCTTATCTAAACATATACTATGTATATCACTATCATTGTATGTCAAATTAACGTGTTATTAACGTAAAACATGGAACTTATTATTAAATCAATATCACTATATTTGTTTTTATTTCGAACTTTACAGGCCTTTAAGATTGGTTTATATGGACCTCATATTGTATGGATGTTCACGGGATGGTTTTCAAAGACATTTTGGAAAGAAGACCTGGATAGATTGGATTGTAATGAAGAGGAAATGGCGACAGCTGTAGAGGGAGCAATTCTTACAGGAGCTGTGTTTATGAACCCTGTTGAGGAAAGAGGGGCTGCAAATATTACAGGTTATGATTAAACTGTAGCCGCCGAAAAAACTTTTAAAGTTTAAATCTCAGATTATTCATATTTTTATTACGGAAACGAATGTGTTAATTTTATTAATTTCCAAAAATAATGTTTTGAAGTACATTTTGCATTTTGTTTTCCAAAGGATCATAATTATAAGTTAAAAATTAAATTGCTTATAATTTTCTCGTACTGTTTAGATATAAAGAAAATTGATCTGTTTAAACTGTTTGCCTTCTTTAAAATACAAAATCAAGACCTGGCGCTTGTTACAGCATTTCCTATCCTTTAGATGTTAAATTGTTAAAGCAAAAATCGATACATTTTTTCGTTGTTGAGACAAATTTATTTTAAATGTTGCTATACACACGTATTTCAATTAATTCAACTTCGTTTTAAAGTTTACAAATATTTATATGATAATATATGTAACATGTTATTTAGTCTGCAAGTATGTTATTTTCGAGTTTTTATGTAAAATGTCTATTTAACAGTTTCCTTTATAAACAGCAAAGGAGTTTGAAATTTTGTACAAGAACAATTCATTATATGATAAAAAGTGGGCGTCAACAGACACTATAGCACCGTTCTGTTACGATCATATCTGGGTCTCCTCCATGGCGCTAGACTGTGCTGATAAACAATTGCGGGAAAATGGTGTGTAATAAAGTTAACTTTGTTAATTCACATTCTTTTATACAAAAATTTCAATAAAAAAGTGAATATGTATAAAAATGAAGAGAAATAAATAATTGCTTTATAGTTAATTTATCATTTTGTTTGTATTGTTTTTTCTTATTTTTTGTATTTGTAAGTTATCTGGATTCGGCTGTAAGTGTTCTTTGTCATGAAATTCAGCTTAAAAGTTGCAACAACATTTATAATTAGGTTTACTAACAAATATAAATGTACATCTCAGTAAATCAAATAAGAAAATACGAACATGAATAGAGCAAGAATAATATTATATTGATTGCTTTGTTTTGTAGTTTCTGGTCTTTAATTAGTTTTTTTTCTATGACAAGAAATGAAAAGTCCAATGACAAAGTTCTGAGTTTAATCTATCCTGAATAATATCTTTAAAAAACTAATCAAATTTTTCTCTAGAATATCGCTATAAAAATGACAGAAAATGTGATAAACAATTTCTTAGAAACAGATCATTATTGTTCAGGATATAACAAAACATTAGATGGGTTTACCTACAGTGATGTAGTCATCGGTGACATCGTATTCAATTGTATGAGTAATATATCATTCACGGGAGTATCTGGTCGCCTCTCATTCAGAAATAGTTCAGATCCAGATAGAAGTGTAGACATAGAACGTATACAAGGTAACCTTTAAATGAACTCAACCGATCCTTTGTTAAATTCCAATATTTTATAAAATATGCAGCTATCTGAAATATATTTTATCTTATTTCTTTTGTTGTTCTTGATTTCTATCTTTCACAAATTGATATTATTTCCTAGAAAAGTCTTTTGTTTGTCCAAAAACATTTTAGTTTCTATTTTGTTTTACCCATTTTGATGTCAAAATCAGTAATTCATTCAGAAAAATCCATAACTTATGATTGAGTTTATTGTAATACCTTTGTGAAGTAAATGTTCCTATAACGATATATAGAATGAAATAAGAATATAATGCAAGATATCATGATGTAATTACAAGTTATGAAGTAACATATAATTAGAATGACACATCTTTTATGTTACGTGTATCTTGAATTAAATGTGTTTCTCAAAGTAAAATTGTCACTACTTCACATTTTTAACTTACTTGCAAAATCATACTTTCATATCATTTCTATGTATCCAAGAATACATTAAAAGCAAAACTATATGATTAAATGACTTATGTGTTTATATATGTAGATGGTGATCGTATAAAGATTGCCTTGTACAGACAAGACGTGGCCGACAAACACTTTGAATGGGTGCCCGGTGCACTGAGATGGACAAGTAAATCAATTTGTACTTCTAATTACTGATAGATTTTAATCAGTTTATTATAGATAAGAAAATATAGAGATATCTTATACACTATTGAAATAATTTTTATTTGCGACGTACTAACGGAAATGTTAAAAGAAGAAAATAATGTTTTCTTTCAATACCTTCAGACATACATAAATCATATTAAATCTAACAGTATTAAAACATTGGTTGTGAAGAAATATCAAATAGAAACATGTATATTGGAGAGGCCAAAACAGATATTTCTTTAAAGGTTAGTGTATCCATTACGACAGTGACAATTCATTATGAAGCATTCATGTTGACTTATGCAGATTAAGCGTTTGGCTACTGTAGACTGCGCTAGAAACAGAATTTGAAAATTTCAGATGGAATTGTTCCTCTTGATAGCTCTTACATTAATTACGAGGAGGTGGAGATATCAACATACTTATATATGATGATGACGTCATTGTCTAGCGTCGGAATTTGTCTCGCACTCGTGTTCTTTACAATAAATGTAAAGTACAGAAATAATAGGTACATTTAAACGTTATTAAATGTTTTACTTACTTACTTAATTCTGAGATTGTCAGTTTTTTATTTTGTTGTTTTATTCTTTAGTCACTTGCTTTTTGATACTTTAATATCGAAATTTGAACTGTTTTAATTACACAATATATACTTTATATGTTATAGCTGCTGGCTTCTTTTTGCCATGCCAGTTTTTGGCAAATTCGACCCATATTTTTACGCGCTTTAAAAATAAAAACTATCTTACATTGTTACATTACTGAATTGCTTTAAAAGTTAATGTGTTTTTTTTTTATCTTTACTAGTTGTTTTGTAAAAATCCATGCATAGTAGGCATTTGCCAAGGAAGGACTTTGCCATGGATTGTCAATAATTTGCCATTACAAATTGCTTTCCCATGGCAAATTGGTTAACCATGGCAACTTTTTTCGTAACTGTGTATAATAAATTGCCTTCCTATAATAATAATAATAATAATAATAATAATAATAATAATATAATAATAATAATAATGATAATAATAATAATAATAATAATAATAATGATAATAGTAATGATGATGATGATGATGATGAAGTTTATTATTATTATAAAAATAACTAACTTGCTCAAATGAATAATAATTATGGTTTGTTTTAACAGATATGTCAAGCTTTCATCACCGAATATAAACAATATGGTGCTCCTCGGATGTACTTTATGTTACTGCACCGTGTTCTTCAAATCAATGAAAACAAACAGCAATTTGGTTTGTAAGGTAAGTATTTAATATATATTGGATGAAAACACGAATATGTATTAGAATTAAGATAAAATTCAATTTGACTACAATTCAGATCTACTGAGTAATTTCTTACATGTAGCGTTAAATACATGCAGATTTCAATCAGAATGGATGAAATACATATAGATTTGTTTGTAATTGTCTAAGCGGGAACTTTTTTCTCATATTTAAAGTTATAAATTTGTTTAGCCCTTACTCTGCTGAACCCTAAAGTAACCAGCGCTCTAATCTGGCTTTATACTGATGGCTAACCAATTCCAAAATCGATTATATGTTAGTTGGTGAAGTCCATTTTAAGACATTTAGCTGCATAAAGGTCAGATAACATTGCTTTTATAATGGTCATCAGAACATATATCTAGGATAGATATCTAACATATTTCAGGCTAGAATATACAGCTTTTGCCTTGGATTCACTATAACTTTCGGAGCATTGTTTTCCAAGACATGGAGAGTTTACCGTATCTTTACTAATAAGAAACCGATTCGAATGGTAAAAACATGAAACTTACTAGATTAAATTATTCGGATGGTAAAAACATGAAACTTACTAGATTAAATGACTCATTCGTTAAATTATGTCATAAATATGTAAATCTCACCGAGAAGTAAATAGGTAATAGATATATAATTGCTGTTTTGCTTATGTAAACTGTGCCATCATAACGTGACCTTTCTAACCCTTTCTTTGTATATATAATTCTTTTTATATAACAATATCATTTCGAAATGCAATACATTGTATAACGTATTTTTTTTCAGCGAATTAAAGACCAACAACTCTTTGCAGTCAATGGTCTTCTTGTTTGTGTAATTCTAGCTGTACTTATAGTGTGGGAATTTATTGGTGCAGAAACGGTACACGTGAAACTCTTGGAGAAGGAGGTGTTTTTTTATATTTATCTTATATTATTGTTTTATCATATTTTGATTATTTACTTTTGAAAAAAATATTTACACTTAGAATTTTCTATAAAAGGGTTTCCTTGAAAATGTATTGAAACAATGCACTTATTATCTATGAAAAGTAGCGAAATATGACTTTTGCTGTAATGTTTACTTGAAAAGTGAAGGAAACCATTGTTGTTGGTATTTCGCATACTCACATCTTTCTTAGAAGTCTTATCTGTGTCTTTATAGGAAAGTTTTGGCAATTACGGTGCGTTATTATTAAAGTGACATTATACTCATATTTTTCAAAGTCAAGTTGAGCTGAATTTACTTTATATTTCTAAAGATTGACTGTCAAAATGGTGTTTGACCAACAGTTGATATTGGAAAATGTTTAGGATAAAATTATAAATCTACCTAAAATTTAAAAAAGACTGCCCCACTCTTTTTATAACCTAAGCGTTATACGTAAATTCTAACGGATATATTTACAGAAATTTCATTTGGATCTGTATGCTATCTATTGTTTATGTGAACTTAATTATTAAATTAAAAGGGATTATGGCAAAATGAAAACATATTTTGATCTTCACCCGTTCACTCACTATATACCCTTGGATGGGCATAATGTCACTTTTACTTGTTTCATAAATTATTAGAAAAGCAATATAAAGGCTATTATTATTAGAAATGCAAAATTGTATTTTCAAAATTAGATATATCATACGTCCGACGGGACAAGTATTCAACCTTTTGTACGGGTATGTCATTCTGAGAAGTCGCAGTATTTTAATTGGACATTACGTGTTATACAAGGAACATTACTGACATTCGGGGCTTTTCTTGCATGGGAAACAAGACGTGTAAGTATTTCTCTGTTCAGTTTTAGTGTTTTGTTGATGTGTTTTTCTGAGGCATTTTAGGTGATATATTGCTTGTTTGTTTGTTTTCAAAGCCTAGAAATGGTAATAAATGTTTCGGTATCAGTTTTGCTTCAGTGATGTTCTACATACTATCTGGTAATTTGATACAAAAGTTTATTTTGATTTACACTTGTATCTGATCATAAGTTTATTTTCACACTTCACTCAAAAAATTGAAAACTTTATCAAAACTTTGGGATTTGTTACAAGAGACGATATTCTAAAGCGTAATATTTAACTATGCGTTAATCTAGTTGTATTCTATTTAAAACAGACCTATTTCTTATTTTACCAACTGAAGAAATACTTGTCTTATACAATGAGTTATTATACAATTTTGTACAGATATGAAAATAGTGATAAGGCCTTAGAATCCGGTAAGAATAAGACAGCAGCATGATCAATGTTTGTAGATGTATATTGTAGATACGACTTGAAGCATTGAACGACTCTCAGAGGATAGGTCTATGTCTCTACAATGTTGTCGTTCTAAGCGCTGTTGGTGTGACATTGACCTTGCTTTTAGAGGACCAGGAAGTACTATTGTACGGTATTACATCCGGGTTTCTAATATTTGGCACCACTACAACACAGCTGATTATTTTTATACCAAAAGTATGTTGTCAGTTAAGTACTTCGTTATGCCATAATGATATTTATAATTATTCTATCCATACTTTTCCCTTACAAAACAGACATTGGCAATCAAATGCATTATGACACAATACATGCTGAATTTTGAAAAGGTCACATGACTTCAAATGTTTCGTCAATAAACCTATTAACGCCATTTTATTTACTTTACTTAATTAAATAGACTTCCAAGCGCATTTGCTTAAAAATGTCTGTCCCAAGATATATATGTTATTATATTTTAAGATCAAAGTTAAAATAAATTCTATTCCGTAGATTACAATCTGCTATATGTACATGTATGTATGTATGTAACATACGCCTTTCAGCAGATATATTGACTGGAAATAATTTGTACTGAATGAACCACACGTGTTTTTAACATAAAGGAATTGTCAATATATTTTATAGATATGACTCTAGGTAAAATTACTAAATAGCTTCGCTTTCTTTTGCTATATGTAAATACTGACGAAGTGTTTCTTTTTCAATATTTTTTTCTTTTAGATCCAAGCAATTGCGAACAAAGTTGAGGTAAGGACTGTATCAACTGTTGCTGCCAGGAATGCTATCCGTGTACAACCCTCAATTTCTGCCTGGAATAACACAATAGATTCATAGAGACCTTCATTGTACCAAGATGACATTTAAATAATCGAAGAATAAAATGATCGATATGATTAAGCAAGATTGCATGTTTACAGCATAGATTTACCAGAGTCAGATCGAATATACTATAATGAGATTGTTATGAACGCATTAACAACCAACTTTTAATGTTATTTATATGTTTACCACCTTATGTTTGTATTATTTGACCTGTAATGAAAGGGTTTCTTAAATCTTACTAATTGTAGTTGTAAATGCTTAAATATTCCATTCTTGATAATTTTGTTCTATAATACAAACAATAAGAATATTTATACACTTTATACCCTGAAAACTAGGCAAGAAATGGGAGGATACCTGGCTGAAGGTTAGGCAATTAATTAATAGTAATCTTGTCTTTCCAGAAATGGAAAACGAACAGATCGAAAGGGCTTATCGAGTAGACAGATAAATGCCCGATTGTTATTCAATTCGATTAATTTAAGGATCGTGAAAACATAATCCAAAATATTGAGACAAAATTTGAAAAGAGGGTCGCATTTCCAGTACGAGGAGATTACACATAACGTGTCCAGTTACAAATGTATGAACTTGGTAAAAAACTAGTACTGGCTAGAAATCATAGACAATATCTGAAACTATTCACAGGGCTTTGACATGTTTGGTTTAATAGAAACTTTGAATGATTTTGAATATAAATTCGCAAACATTCTGGATTGGTATATGTGTTTTGATAATACACGTTTAAATTCTGCTGGCTCTTTACTTAACAGTGGTGCTGTTTTAGTGTATATTAAATCGCACCTGATAAAAACACGAATATGCACCGATTTTACAATTTGTATTGTTTAATATATTAAAAGTGCTTTGTATAGATACATGCAGGATATTACATGCATTTTATACATTGTTTACGTTTCTTCTGAATGGTCATCTATGACAAAAAAATCAGAAAAGAATGGAATTAAATCAATTCAAAGAATATATTGAAATATTACATGACATAATATGTATCCAATGTATCTCATATTTAGGTGGCGATTTCAATGCACGTACGAATAGCACATGATTATTTAGGTGTAATGTTTAATCCCTACAGAAATTAATTATGAATCGAAATTTTTAGAAATCACAAAAATATTGAGAGATAAAAATGCTTTGACTTTAATCGCACCTGTCTTTTGTAAATTGTTAAACTGTTTGCCCAGAAATTGAGAGGGATAGGTTTAGTTCCGGTGCAGGAAGATGATAATTTAAATTATAGGGGAATTTCTTTAATCAAGGTTATCCATAAGATATTTTCTAATATTATATATATTTAGAAAATGGGCAAAGAAGTTTGATAAAGTAGACAGATTTCTAGTCGGAATCAGCTCCGGTTACTCAAGAATTGATTATATTTTTATATTACAAAGTATGATGAAGAAATATATCAAATAACCAGGTGCAAGATTTTATGTTCGTAATGAATATTTAAAAAAAACAAGAATAGATGTGTCAGTACAGAAAATTTATTACATGTTCTTTTATCAATGTAATCAAATTTCCATGAATGTATACAAGTTAGTACTATTTTTTTTAATGTACGAAGCAAGGGGAAGTAACGAGTACGAGCATGTTTAATTTGTATATAAATGAATTATCTCCCTTGCTAAGTAATAAGGGACATCGCGACTATTTCCGATATTATATATATATAATTTTCGCTGTGAAATTTTCTGTTTCTGACTTAAATTCAATTTCAGAATTCTGTACTTATATCGGTATGTCTGTAAATGAGAATAAAAATAATTATTGTATTTATAAATGGCAGTTTATGGAAGTAAAATCTCTGAAAGTCCAAACACAATATTGTGAAGAGTTTATAAGTATACACTGTTCTGTAAACAAACTTTTTGCAAAATGATAACACTTTTATTATTGTAGAAAAATTTTATGTATTTTTTAATTCATAACAGATTTCCCAACCAAAGCAACGTTAAATATTATCACGGTACAGTCAGATTTATACATTGTATAATTTTTGCAACTTGATTAAAACTCAAAATGTGGAAAAAATAAAGAATATTGCTATTTTTGTTCATGACATTACTGATAATTAATATAAATATAAACCATATCAAAGATAAAAATGTGAATTGTAGAAACAGCTTAAATTTATATTACTGCATTGATTATATCGTGTATTTTGGACCTGGGGCATTTATTTACAAAATAGAATTAATGTTGTGGTTGTTTTTGCCTTGTTCATATTTCGTGCACCTTGATTTATCATTTATAAAATTCATACTATTTATGTTTATACATCTTTTAAATGATAATATAAATAATCCAAATAACAAAACAATGTCGGAATCAATCACGTGGTTTTGTGTTCTAAAATAAAGTGATCATTTCTAATACCATTATTCAAAATGTCTTGTAGACGTAATTTGCATGAATAAACTGATCTGCAATCATCACAGATTCCCTGATTAACCTAACATATGTGTTTCAGTTTTAGAAATAATGTAAATCAATGTTTCAGAACACTCTAAATAACAACATATCAGGCCATCATATTGTAGTTTTACAATAAACATGTTTATTATATAATCTATAAATAGCTTTGAAATGCCTCTCCCTGATTGGCTAACAAGCAACTTTTTGTAAAAAATAACAGGTCAATATCAGAGTATATTCACTGTTTTTTTTCCTAAAAATAGATTTTCAGAGTATATTCACCGGTTTTTCTTCTAAAAATAGATTTTCTTGAAATCCCTAAAAGACGCGAGACTTTGACATGGTGTCACGCCAAGTTTGTTGTTATTATTCTGATGGGTGTACATAAGAGTCAAATTAGTCTATTTTAGTTACCGCTTTTCATTTTTAAGAAAAGTAGGGATTAGCATGCCAATGGAAAGGGCCAAATTATGGAAACAGTAGACAAGCTAAAAAATAATGATTTCCGTCGTATGCAATGGCAGATGTGATAAGCCATATAAAAGCTATTTATAGATTATATAATAAAACAGATATGAACTTTTTAGCTGTTGAATATGATGTGATATGTACTGAAAAATTAATTTTTCCAGTACATATCACATCATATTCAACAGCTAAAAAGTCCATATTTGTATAATATTAAAACATTGTGATAATAATGTTTTGTATATATTTACATAACAATATACACTATACGTTATCATGTAAATTTGCTGTTATTATGTCATCATGCGGTTATAAGCTGTATTGTATTTGAATAAAATGAATTATATAGTTATGCACGTTTTTGTTTCAGTTTCTGATTCTTTTTATATCAAAAGAATCGACCCTGAGAATGTATTTCAGCCATCAAAAACTATCGAATTATCAACAGAAAAAGTATACATACGTTATTAAAAATATTTATTTCAGAGTTTTGTTTCGATATGTACGTAAACACGACTTTGTATAGTAATTAAAACGAATAATGGCGACTGCTTAGCTTCAATAAGTTCATGATTAAGACGTGCATTGATTACAAAATTTAGGTAACCAGCAAAATATACTGGCGTTAAACAAAGAATATTCACGTAAACTAATTTTAAAACTGTAATGTTTGCACATAATGAAACAATTCACAATATGTAAATGATGAAGATATTGTCATTTTTCCAGTGATGTAGAACACACTGCTTTAGATTCAGTTCTAACAGTTCCTATTGTCATGTTGTTCAGTCCTGTTGTAACCTGGTCACTGCTAGATATCTTGTTTCTCACAGCTTGAATCTGTTAAATTCAAAATTACAATCGTTTCTTAGAAAAAGATACTCATGCAAGTAATAATACAATACATGAACAACAGTTTAGCACAAGGTACGTGATGTTGTACATGAAACAAAATAAGATCATATAATAATTGTATCAATTGTTTGCTTTGCTTTAGAATGGAACTGTGATCGTAATGACTAAAATATATATCTTTTTAGTCATACTTGCATTGAAATATAAATCTGGTCTTTTTAACTATAATTCAGTAATGCTTTGAAGTAAAGAAAACATTCACGTTAAGTTAGATAATAAATAAAAGACATATGATGATTAGTAAACTTGAGTAAATGAAGATCATTATGTAAAATATAGCATTAAATGAAGGATAAGGCAACTAGTATTTAAATAAAATGTAATACTATAAATATTTTACATATAGATAGAAACGAATCAATTTCTAATAATATAAATCCATAAAGAACGCTCAAAAAAATGAAATGGTGCAGACTCTGTTTAACTGAGCCTGTTCGTGTATGGTACTTATTTCGGCCGGTGATATATTACCTTTGGTATAAAGATAACAAGCTGTGTAAGAGTTGTTCCGAGGATGAGGCACCCTGATGTAACACCATACAATACAACTTCTTTGTCTTCTAACACCAATGACAACATTACACCGACAGCACTTAGAACAACAACATTGTACACACAAAGTCCTATTTGGTGGGAATCATTGAGTGCTTGTATTTTTACCTGAGAAGTGTATATAATAATTACTTCATAAAACAATACAGTCTTTTTACTGTGCACATGTGATGTGGTCGAATTGCCAAAAACATTTTGTCATGTTATTCCTGACATTGGTTTACAAAGAAGATACGTGGTATTGTTAAATGAAATGTTACAAGAAAAATCATACATTTTGACGGATCAGATCACTTAAAATATTTATCAAGTTAAATCACCTAATACTTGCAATGACTTTAATGTCAAAATAATCTCAAAAGAACTGCGCTACATTTTACATCATTGAATGAAGAAACAACACACACTAACATGTCTGGTCTCCCATGCTAAAAACGCTCCGAACGTCAACAAAACTCCCTCGATTATGTATAGTGTCCATCCAAAGTACATGGAGTAATCCGATTTACAAGTGCGTACGTACGGACGAACTTCGGCATCGTTACCGTTCAAATATATCTACAAGGTACAATTTCTACTTAGATAAATCATATATGGTCTTAAAACTTAATTTATCACATGAGGTTCTGCAATTTTGAAGTATTTTGAATAATATATTCGAGGTGAAATAATTCCTGCATATTGTCGTTTGAAAATGAAAACTATTGACACAATTTTTATGGTGATATGTGAGATGAGATATGCAGAGATAATTAATGTAGGTATCAAGTTCTACACACACACACTAGTAAAATATAATTTTTGATTTGCATCAATAAGTTTCATTAAGCAGAAAGGATATGTGTTCATAAGTCTTAAAATTTTACCTGTTGCAGCAGAAATAGATAGAGAATGCATGCAAGGCAATCATCATTTAAATGTTACAGAAGCAGAAGAAATGTTTGTACAATACTATTGTTAAACTGTAAAGATTTTAAGTGAAATATTCATTTTTTTGTAATTGATAAATCTTTGGGATTTGTTTCTATAAACCCTTACATTTACTATCGTAATATTTACCTCTTTCTCCAAGTATTTTGTTTCTATTGTATATGGTCCTACAGCTTCACAAACAGCTATAACAACAACTACTGTCATCACCATAGCAACGACAATAGCGTAAAGTTGACTGTCTTTGATTGTCTATATCAATGATAAATACAGTGTTATAGTTAGACATATATATAACACATAGGATTTTTTCATGGAATGCCAATTTATAAAATGTTTATATCTTTCGTAAGATTACAATACATTGAATATTTTGAATTGTAAATAGAAAATATACATGTGTGGTGTACTAGTATTGTCATAAATTTAATAAACCTATCTTCATAATGTATGGATATCAAGCTTTTGTTATGTGAGTTTTATTTGATGAAGTCTTCATTATTAAGTCATAATCATTATTTATAATAATTTTGTATAATCATAACAGTTAATGTATATAGTTTTACAATACGGTAATTTTCTATAAGATTAATTCAAAAATTGGAATTTACCATTTTATATGTATATACATGTATTTTACATTTAAACCTTCTTTATGTGGCACGATTATTTATAGAGCAAAAATGTTAGAAATATTTTTTTATTTAATTCCTTACTTACAAATCTTAAAAGTTTTTTATTTGTAAATATTCTGTATACTCTCCATGTCTTTGAAAACATTGCACCAAATGATGTCGTGAAACCCATGCCGAAGAAAAATATTCGAATCTGTAACAAAAATAGGAAAACATGACGTATATATGTACGTAATTATTTTATGATATTGTTTGATTAAATGTGACAAAGAAATACACAACACCGAGGGCCTCCTAGCGTTACATCTACATACTCGTATCTGTCAGTCCGCAAACACATCGAGGACCGAAGCCAGTTACTTCTGAAGTACTTCCATTTTTTTCAGCTGACTTGGAAGTAACTATAATGCTATGTGGTCTCTAAGTTGTGTGTATAATTTCTATTATTACCCTTCCAGATTTTTTCCGCCTTTTTGATTGGATATTGATCACCCGAAAGAAATTGATATAACCGAGCCAGACGGGTAATATACACACTAAATTTCCCCGTTTGGTACCCAACGTTGTAAACAACATGCGCTGAGGTGATGCGCGCACGGTTCGATTTTACGCGGTGTAAATTCCGATTTAAAAACACTTTTTAACTGTCAAATGATCAATATTTACCAAAGTAGAGTAATGATACATATAACCATCAGTATCGAAAACAAATATGACCTTGTGAAAGCTTGATATTAATTACAAAAAAGTGCGTTCAATAGACTACTCCTTTTCTATTGTTTACTTTCGTAAGATACGGGAAAAATACGTCATGTATTTCTGCCAAGATAAAATATCACCCTCGCCTGACGGCTCGGGTGATATAAAATCTTACAGTATATATCCACATATATCACTACAAACCAAAATAACATAATATATTATACGGCACAAATCAGGGTCATATAAACTTTTCTTTGCGGTTATACCTTTCAAAATTGTAGCAGTTCAATCATTATACCTTTATTTGTCGGATTAGTAACGTCGTCGTGAATATTATTAAAATGCTCACTGACATTTATATCAGTTGAGCTTCGTTTACATTGTGATCCTGTTGTTATTCCTAGGACAGTTGGAGCGATTAAGCGGTTCCACCAAGGTGGACTTAGGTCAGTAATGTAGTATGTTGCTTCCAGTTACGATACGTTATGATGGGACCTCTTACATTGTTTATTCAGGTAGGGTGAGTTTTTCTAATGTTCTGTCAATGCCTACTATATGTGCAAACGGTAGCAATTTAGAATCCCTCAATCAATTGCAGTTATCAAAATAATAAAGATACAACGGCGACAGAATATGATAGGACAGTATGTAAGCACTTTTTGATGTAGCGAAAGTAAGCATGGAGGAGAACTTTGACATTGCTTCACAACTGATAATACTGTTCAAACACCGGACGGAGTGGTATAGGAAAAATTTAATTTAAATTTTGTTTTAAATTGGTAAGAGAAAATAACAATTTCAATCATCGAAGAATGTTGGCGTTTGGTTCTATTATGAAATGATGTGGCCAGAACAGTCTTTTTAACAACTTACCTTACATATGACGTCATTCGTTACTTCAATAGTTCTAAAGAAAACGGTACTGTAGCACAGCAAACATCCGAATAAAAGAACATTGTTGATATTCGGTGACGAGAGTTTAACATAACTGCAGATAAAAAGGCAAATATATCCTGTGTTATTTCATGAATTAGTGAGTGGATAATCAAGCTAAAAGCAACGATCAAATAGAAGAGAGATGTTCGTTGCCGCAAAGAAGGTTATTTACTGTAGCCGAACAATTTATATAAGTGCAAAATCCTTGTCAAATATTTCTGCATTTAGCAAAAAAAAGTAGACACTTTTCTTAGTCCGTATGTGCATGCTGGGCTATCCACAATAGACATTCTGAACAGATCCTCATTCAATGAACTACATTCTAATCTTGAGATTCTTACAGAATAACATGAGTTTTTGAATCCTTTATTGTTTCTATGTCTGTTGTAACTGAAGTGTTGTATTTCTTATAGCATGAAATACCACGGTCTGTCAACAAATTACATTTGTTTCTACTACATCAATTAAACTCATCAATTAAATGTATAAACCATTTAAAGAATAAAACTTGGTTCATTATATTCGAAGCTAATTCTTGATGATACGCATTAAAAAAAATATACCTATTCTTTTTGTGGATGATATTGAACACAAAGAAACCCAAAGTCAGACAATTACCACACACAGCCAACGCAGTCATAGAATAGTAAAGAACAGACGGGATTCGGATTTCTTCGTACGTTACCAAAGTAGAGTCACGTGGAACTTCGCCGTCTGCAGCATATAAATGTATTATAAAATAAATAAATAAATATCTATTATCTAGCAAAATGCTGTGAAATATTATGTTATCAATTTTATTGAAACTGTCAGGAAGGGGAAGGAAATCAGTTAAATACATTAGATGTTACAAAGTAAAGACTACATAATTATGAATACCAGGCAAACAATCTTATAATAACGTTTCTGCACTGATGAGATACAAATTCTCTGTTACATGTTATCTGTCAGTGATCACATTGTATGCATGAATGACACATGAAATGTCTATCTATTTCTGCCAATGTTTTCAAAGATTTTGAATTAAAACTTAAAAATCATGATGGTTGAAAAAGCAAGCAAAATATACATTGATTGATGCATGCTTTCTTATTTTTTTTATATTTCTTACATTTTTTATTTAAATAGTTATAAATCGTAACTGTTGCTATGCAACCACTACAGAATTTTCATCATTAAATGGAATTCAATAATAAGGATAAAATGTGATGTAGATTTCTCCACATGTTCTATCATCTATACACTTTATTTTTACAAATTGATTGAAGTTTTATGTGTTATTTTTATTTATAATAGTTTGTGGAGTCAGATGTAGCAATCTGTCAAACATCAATGAAATGAGAAGATTGATATATGTTACTAATTATGAGGTTACACAAGGGAAATACGTAATAATTATCGCTCGAAAAGTCTCAATTTTTTAAGTTAGTGTCATGCGTAAATTTGCTAAGTTCACGAAATCCGACATGAAGTCAATTACGTACAATAAATTGTCGTTTATATCGACGTGCATTACACAACCGCAAGTGATGTTGTAAAACTCGCCATGTGCACATATTATAACATAGTATTATAGATCTATATAATATATGAAATGGCAACATATGTCAGGTCATACATGTACAACATATCATGTCTTTTAATACACTTCTCACCTTTCCATTTTAAATAATCTGGATATATATCTATCAACTCTTGATCAGCTTTACGTCTATATAATCCAACATGTGCTCGTTTGCCGTCTGTAATATGATATGAAAATTGTATGTAAAAAGCGGGTTAGATTTCTTAGCTATAAATTGTATGGTAATACTGAATGAATGTAAACAATTATTTTCTGAAACAAAATAACACGTTTAAGTATCATCTTTTTTTTTTGATATCACCAAGAAAACAAGTCGAACTTAAAAAATAAAGAACACTTACGATCTAAACTTTATTCATATCTTATACAGACTATCAAATTCAATTAATGATAGAATAATATTCTTATAAAAAGATCCGTGTCGAAGAAAGTTTCAAAGCTAACACTCAGATCTCATGTACTTTATTGGTCAGAAATCGACAAACATGTACACCAGCTGATAAAAAGTCTGAGATTTGAGACAGAGTTTAGAACAAATGTAAAGTATAGCCTCCAGGCCTTGTGGTGACTCATTTTGAACGCTGTTGTGCGTCGTGTTGTGGCTAGCGACAGCACGACAAAGTACCAAACGGCGCCTGGTCACACGGTCCTCTTGTCGTCCTGCCGCTAACGATACATGCCAAACGGCCCGTTAACGTGCGGCGTGTTATCGAGATGTCACTTTGTCTTTCGGTTTATAAACCAAGCAACAGGGTGACATCGCCATAACGTGCCGCACGACAACGCGCTGACAAGACGAAAAGGCGATAACAATATAACGCGCAAAGTGTACCAGATCAGCCACTATTAGCCTGGTGTTATCCTGAATGTTATTACCTTGAATGCGATCAATTCTTATAAGTCTGTCTGGATCTCCCATTCTAAAAACGACATCTCCACTTACACCAGTATATACTGTATGTTCCATACAATCAAGTATCTTGTCATTTATATATCCATCAGCGTATGTGAAATTTTCTAGAGATTTAGACATCCCTGTTTGATCAAAAATTGAATTTAAATGTAACAAAATGTAACAAAAACTTTTAAGAGACACACATTTGACAGTTTCTCTCAGGAACAGAAATATAAGGGTTAAAATCTTGATGATTTAATTTAGATATCATCTGCTAATATTCCTTGTAAATTTCACGATTATCTAGTGTAAAACAATTTGTCTGACGATGATATTTATTATTATATGAATTGTAAGAAACGATTCTACTTTTATTATTCTTACTTGTTAATATGAAATATGACTTAGAATATCCTAAGAATTTCCAGACAGGCATATTTGAAAACTTGTTGATTGAGCTCGTTCAAAGAAAGTTGGAAGGTGCAAGGTACAGTCCACGCCCCTTAGCACCGGCTTAAGCAAAATATTTGTTTTCCAATCCAGTCTAAATTACTGTGTAGTGAAGTATTTCCAAATGTTATTTTATGTACAATTCATTGAATAAGTGAAGTTTAAACTAAGCAGAATACAACATGAAACATCAAATGGTAAATCTTTGAATTTAGAAGCATCCAAAGATTATTTTTATGGATAAATCAAGACAAGTATATTTCCCTCTACGTATTTACATACCACTTTTGATCATATTCTGGTCCGCACAATGTAAAGCCGAAGCAGCTACCCAAATGGTATCATAACAGAGCGGGGCTATAACATCATACATTTGTGTTTCCCTGCTATATTCTGTACTGTTGATATAAGCATTATCAAATTCGCTCACTGAATAATTGAAGTATCAGTTAATTAAAAAGGTTTAATTCATTGTAATTTTAACATCATAATTTTTCATAGGAGTTCAGTATAATGTAAAATATCCAAGAGTATTAACATTTGACCAATATTACCAGTCCTCATTACACGCAAAATAGTAATTTTTGAACTCCGTTAGTTTTACAATTTACAAACAAATACATGAAGTTTCATGTTAAACGTGTTTTTGACATTTTGTTATTTGCTCACCTTTACTTCATGTCTTATTAAGTGAAGGTATCTTAACTGTAATTAATACTGTCTCTTAATTTTTATTGATAACATTCACCGTCGAAATTGGATAACTGGGAAAGTAATATCGAAAGAAGAGAAAAATTTATGTGAAGAAATCTGAGAACTGGTATTCTAAGATTGTTCCATATCAAATTTTAATGGGAATCCAGAGAAATGATCGTGCTCTTTAACCAGATAATTATACCAAAAATCATTACGCAAATTCAATATATCTCAAATGAAGTTTTAAAGAATACAATTAATAAGAAAGATCAACATGAATAAAATAAAATAGAATTAAAGTAAACCTGTGATGTTTGCGATGCCACGAATATCAACCGGGTTTCTGTTCACATTTACCGTTAAAAATATTCCTTCAACAACAAGTTTCATTTGACTTTCTGTGCAACCATGCCTGTCAAGTTTCTGTTTCCAAAACGTGCTTGTAAAAAAACTTGGAAACATCCAAACAATCTTTGGTCCATACAAACCAATCTTGTACGCCTTTGATGGACAATGGCATAATAACATTGAATATTCTTTTAAAAAATTAATATAAAACTCAAATTTCAAGTACATTGTAGCGATTATTATATATTTTTTAAGTTACTTTATCGCTTATACATAAATTTATGATATTGCACAGTTATGTTTTATCTTTTATACGCGTTCATTTTCAGAACATATATAAGTGATATACGTGTATTAAGAAAGGTCGATGTAAAATATTTCGAGTGCCTAATAGTATAATAAGTCTTGAATTAGACAAAAGATAAAGATTTACAATATATGAAAATAGATATATATTAAAGCATTGGAGCAAGTATATATCTGGTATTATAATAAGAAAGATATATCGTTCAATATTATAAAATAGATATTTCTTGCATATCAGACAGGATTATCTACCGTTTACACCGGTGCTAGAAAACTCTATCTTACACCCCCATGTAAGACAAGTCGCGTGTTATAAATGACGTCATTGACGCGAGCCTTTTATGAATGAATTGCGTTCTTAGGATGACGTCACTTAACCGTTATGAATGAACTACTATCAGTAAAAAGTGCGTTATTAAAATATCCGTTTTTGTAATTTCTGTTTGAAAATAATTGATATGTTATATGCAAGAAAAAGAATCAAACACCGGCTGTCGGTACAGACAGGAATATCTAGCTCTCGGGTGACTGTTTACGGCGGAAACTCGGCAGAGCCTCGTTACCGCCGTAAACAGTCGCCCTCGAGCTAGATATTCCGGTCTGTACCGGCAGCCAGTGTAAGATTCTTATAATCTTACACTTCTAGTGGGGAAAATAGATATATTTGACATATAAATAGAGAAATAGATATATCTTACACTCTTAGAAAATAGATGTATCTTACACTTTTAGTAAATGATGCAAATAAATATATCTTACACTAAATAAATATATCTTACACTAAATAGATATATCTTTCACTTTTAGAAAATAAAGAAAATAGATATATCTTACACTTTTAAAAAGTAATGCAAATAAATAAATCTTACACTTAAAAAAATATATCTTACACTTAAAAAATAAAGAAAATAGATATATCTTACACTTCTAAAAAAAGCAAATAAATATACCTTACACTGAATAAATATATCTTAAACTTGAAAAAATAAAGAAAATAAATATATCTTACACTTAGAAAAATAAAGAAAATAGATATATCTTACAGCACAGAGTACATCCCTAGCTTTGTCCTCATACATTGCTCCAATAATAATTCTTGCATCTCGATCCTTCAGGTAAAGAAGGTAGTCTAAACTTTACAACTTTTAAAATGGATTGGTCTACAATTGGCATATTTTCAAAACTATTTCAATGATAAAAACTAAAAAATGTATCATTTGGATATTTTCATTAAAATGTTTTTCAAACAAAATGTCGATGAATTCAGAGTGATTTTGTATGAACATTAATATGACGATTAATTCTTTTTTTGTTCGGTGAAACTAAAAATATATATACTCTGATTTTGTATAAATGCCAAAATTGATCTACATCATCTGTAATAAATAAATTTCATTTATTCACATCATACACATATGATTAAACATACAAAGCACAGCTGTATGGTAAAAATGCACAGACAACTTGAACTATTTACGTTTACTACCGATCATTGATTGTTGCATTAAAATATTTTTGGATTACAATAGTTTACCTTTAAATTTTTTACACGTGCGGTTGGATCTGCTGTAAATATTTCTTGCGACAGAATAGTTATATCCGTGTCAATAATTCGTTTAACAAAGTCATCAATAATCTAAAATTAGAAATTAAAACAGGAGGTCTATAACACTAAGCATTTTGTAATACAAATTTATACAGAAAATATCTTTAGGTACTTCGTCAGCAGATCTTAGCAATTGAAAAACGGGATCCCGAAAGACACCCGAAACGTCAAAATTTTGGTTCGATTGAGCTTGTTCATGGACGGTTGTAGTAAATGCAAAAGTACAAGAACAGAACAAATACTTTATTCTTGACTTTTACAATACTACATAATCATTTTACATATGCCTAAAGAGTACAAATCATTATTTAGAATTACTATCGAAAAATCAAGCACATTATTACTAATTCATATTTTTAGAGAATGAAAAGTAATAGTAGTTCTATGAGAGAGTGCAAATTTAAAATAATTAGCAAGTTATTGTTTTTTCTTGAGAATATTTTATACCGTATTTGTATCTAACATTCTTTTAATTAAATTACACGAGGTTTAAACGAAATAGTAACTTTAATTTATTTTTGTATATATTAGTATTAGAACATGAACACATCACATAAATATGAAATGATATTCATCTTCTAGGTAACGTGTATTACAAAACGTACTCTTAACTTAATAACAAAAAAGAATTCAACATCTGCAGATGTGTTCAAAATCATTGAAATCCTAACACCATACATTTTAGTTTTGATCTGGGCATTGTTTAATTAATCAAAATTACGATTTTGCAGTTATCATATTGAATTGTAAATATAATGCAAATGTCAATCTGAATAATTTATAGCAGAAATATTTGTATGTAGTTTTCTACCATAATGCAACATTGAAGCAATTTTAATTTCCTTAAAAGCTCGTTTCCTATCAAAGAAATGTTTTACTAAATTTAAGTAAAGTGATATATATCTAAGAAAAAAAATTGCCTAATTGCCTAAAGGGAACGGATGAGAATAAAAGACTCTTAAAGAAGAATGGGTGAGCAATATGGTTGTCTGCAATACATTATAGTTTAAGATTTACTTAGTAAGAGAATAAATATTATACTGATAAAAGTGATAAAATGAAAGACCAAAATAAATTTTGAAATCCGCAAAAGTGTCCATATCATGGTGGTCATAGAACCTTCAAGGTGACACAATTTGACATTCCATGACTTACCAAGTAAAATAATGTATGTGTCCGAAATGAGAAAACAATGGGCGTCGGGTCTGAATAAAAAGGAATTTTGAAAGACGATCAGAGTTTGTGAAGAAATGATAGGCAGTTTCAATTTGACCACAATGAAAAAGAGGGTTTAGATAATCGTTATTGATGAGATGGTGAATGACCTTTAGAATTTACTACATTAAAATAAATTTGTGATTGAGTCTTGTTGTTGGTGATGCAATTTTGTTAATTTTGGACTGACAGATGATAACTGTATCAGAAATACTCTTTCTGTTCAATAACATAAATATTTAAATGCAAAAAAGAGGTTATGTTGAATACAGGTATGATCATAAGAGTTCTGATGGAATGGAAGTCAATGATTTTGATGAAATTGAAGAGGTAGTTAAGTTGCATCTGTTTGGTGAATGTCTTCATTGGAAACCTCATAGGTTTGAGGCTAATTAACTGATACAAGACACGATTTTCGCAAAGAAATTATAGGTCCTTATTTAATAATTATGGAATAATGTTGTGTCTCATGGTACTCAGTTCATATGACAATGCTTTGATGGTAATTAAAAATATCAATTAAAATAAAAGCACGATTCTTTACGAAAACGTGCATTATTTCAAATGAACTTCATTTGAGGACGTGCGTAAATAAGCTGAAAAATAAAATAGATATATTCAGATCGAAGATTCAGATGTAACATAATTTGATCTCCTTCAATTGCCTGAAATAATGACATATAGCCTGATCTCTTTCAATTAATTTTATCTCGTACATACTTTTATATCTATCAGGAAGCAAATGCAAGAATAATTGTAACCAATGTACACTTACTGAGGAAACAAAGTGTAATCTATGTACATGTAATGAGACAAACAGATTGTAATCTATGACACTTACTGAGTAGATAAGTTTTATTTTTGTAATCTTTTCACACTTACTGAGGAGAAAAATTGTAATGCTTGATTTATAGTTGCCACTTTCTTCCAGTTAAATTGTCTCATCAGTGCAATCCTGACTGGGTTGTGTTTATGATCGGGAACGGTCAGGCGGTAAAAGTTTGGAAACTGTGTGCGATCAGCTAGTACAGGTGACACTGATCCATATGATAACTAATATAAATAGAAATGATACTATCTATAATAGTTTAGAAATTATAAAAATACAAAATACAACTGGAAACAACAATAACAATTATTATTATAAGGGAGTCTTATTTTTGGTTTAAAATTATTTTATAATACCTCACCCAATACTGCAATCAACAAAGTTTGATTTGGTTAAAAGACAAAAATGTTTCCAAACATGTTCACATAATATTACACAAAAAGCAGCAATCTACTAAAATAACCATAAATGTGACAAATTACTTACATAAGATTCTAAACTTATTTCATAAAACTGAAAAAAATGACAATTGTTTCTCATCGTACCTGTGTAAGATTCCAGAGATGTGTCATCTGTGCGGTTGCTTCAGAAACAATGGAGCAACCGTCGCCGATTAGCAGTATATACGGATTTTGACTGCATATTTTACCATATAACTGGTAAAGAGCTATACCAGGGTTACACTGTAAAAATGCCATACTGTACGTCATTTATAACGTGAATGAGATTTTTGTTTTAAACAAATTTGAATAAATAATTTCACATATGAGTTCTAAATTAATAGGCCTATTTTAAAGTCATAACATACGTTTTGAAAAACAATGAACAGAAGGAAGCAATATCACTCATTATAATTTGTCAGCTAACTACCTTTACAAGACACAATGCCATTTATCATCTCTTTTTAAAAGGATATCTTACTCTGTTGCTTCAATAAGGTAGTTTAATACCAATTAATTTGGAACATTCATTTAAATTAGATAAAAATGTTTATCAAGCTCAATTTAACACTATGAGCTGACAAAATTGATTAATCATTATTTATAATTTAATATGTTTACTTTAAATGTTAAAAGGTACATCACTATTAAAATCATAACATGAATAAATAAATAAATGATCGTATGACGTTCAGGTTTATTTTGTAATTATTAAGTCACACCGAATCTAGGAACCTATTTAATTCAATCATCATAAGTCTAACAATCAAATCTTTGTCTTTGAAGATCTATTTGAAGTACGAGATATTCCTATTCGTATGAAAAAATCATGATTGAAGTCTTAAAGGTTACCAAAATCGGAAAAAAGTAAATATTGAAGACTAGGTCTGATCACTGTTCATGGCGGTTGTATCTAGAAGATTGCCGGTCCCACATTCAGCACCAGTTTAATCAGATTTAATTGGTTTAGTTAAAAAATGTTATCAATTGAGAATTAAAAAACATTTTATCGGCAAAACAAATGTTGATATAAATTGCTAACTTTTGAAATTGGTTAATGAACTGTTATATCTTATTTTAATTAAAATCTTACCTTTGTGTCTATGTAATCAAAGTCTATCTCGTAATTTTGAAGAATATCTTCACGCGCATTGACATGTTTGACTGCCATGTTGATTGCCTGAAGACACGGTCTACCGCCGCTCCATCCACCGGACATTGGCAACAATCCTAGAAATCTCAGTTCCTTTGATTCTGTATACTTCATTGAATTATCTATTGTATACAGTATTATTCCAATAATTAAAACCGATCTTATTGCAAATGCATCAGTCGAAAACACAACCATTGTTGTTGGTAATCACTTCATCATATAATTCACATAAAATTCTTGTTTCATCTATTTTATTGAAGACTCATTTTTCATCATGTACTTACAAGTTGACAGTAGTAAAGAATGAATAAAGCCTCGGTCAGATTATTGAAAATTTCCATAGGAACAAAAACAAAATATACGAGTTTCGTCTACAGATAACAACAATAATTGAGCTCTGAAACAGGGAAATTTGATTCGTAATGTGAGAAAAACACTAATATTAGAGGTATCTCTTATGTATAATAAACGGCCAACAGTTATTGATTCTTTTAAGGAATATATCCCTATGAGATATTGTCATTTTAGATTATCAGTGAAATGACATCCTATAGGGGTTAACGATTATAAAATGTTCACGCATCACTTAGTATAATTAAAGAAAAAATAACTGATTAAAGGTAACGTTATATTAACAAAAGTTCTTGTATAAAATCAGTTCACTGTATTTATGCATTAAAGGAGTAAACGCCATTGATGTATGTTTGACCAATGGTCTCCACGGATTCCGTCGTTATAGCTTACATTGTTACAACAATGATGACAATATAATGTATATAATATTAAAAAAAATGATTTGAAAGACTATCCACTTCTCAATTTACGGAAACTCTGATTAAGGTAAATGTATATATTAATGTTCTATGAATAAACAGTAAACAATTATGATTTTCATTGGTCTCTATATATGATAACAACAATAATGTTTTTTTTTTGTATTGGTTTCAATATATATGATTACAATATAATACAATCTACTAAACCTGATCAACTTCCTGTCTTTATGGCAGCTTGGAAAATGAACATTAATATTATGAAACGTATATGTATTATGACGTTGAATATTAATAATGATCAAACATTATATTACCGGAGAATTACAGTAGAAATTAACAAAATACATCATTAAAATACGAAAATCTTGAACATTTTAGATCATTCATCGTAAAAAAACATTTATCGGATAACAGATAAACAGATTTTAACTGGAAAATATCAATTTTAAGCTGACTGAGTCTGTACTTAAGGGATAATGAGAAATTTGCAACATACCTTATGCCCCGTAGCACCGCTTTTAGCAGTACTCCATTTTACAAACAATTTAAAAAGAACAGATTTTAACAAAGATCCTGAAGGACCAGAAAAAACATAACAACAGAAGTTAAGTTAGGAGCAACAGTTTAAAGCAACCACACGGCACTTGTAACCTGATTTTGTGATGCATAAAAATCTGGAGAAAGACTAATAACTAAAAGTCCCAAAATGGGGATTATACTTTAGACGGTTATGATCTTGTAATATCAAAGGAAGTAATCTTGTACAATGTTGAAATTTGTTAAAACTGATTATACTAAAAAATATGACTGATAAATTGTTAACACTGACTTCACAAAATATGACAGATAAATTGTTTACACTGACTTCACAAAATATGACAGATAAATTGTTTACACTGACTTCACAAAATATGACAGATAAATTGTTAACGCTGATTTTACAAAATATGTCAGATAAATTGTTAACACTGACTTCACAAAAAATGACAGATAAAATGTTTACACTGACTTTACAAAATATGACAGATAAAATGTTACACTGATTAGACTACAAAACATGAAAGTAAAATTGTTTACACTGACTTCACAAAATATGACAGATAAATTGTTAACACTGACTTTACAAAATATGACAAATAAAACGTATAAACTGACTTTACAAAATATGACAGATAAAATGTTAACACTGGTTATACTACAAAATTGGACAGAAATATGTTTACACTGATTATACAAATAATGACAGACAAATTGTTTACACTGACTGTACCAAAAAAAGACTGACAAATTGTTTACACTGACTGTACAAAATAGTACAGACAAATTGTTTACACTGACTGTACAAAATAGTACAGGCAAATTGTTTACACTGACTGTACAAAATAGTACAGACAAATTGTTTACACTGACTGTACAAAATAGTACAGGCAAATTGTTTACACTGACTGTACAAAATAGTACAGACAAATTGTTTGCACTGACTGTACAAAATATGACAGGCAAATTATTTACACTGACTGTACAAAATAGTACAGACAAATTGTTTGCACGGACTGTACAAAATATGACAGACAAATTATTTACACTGACTGTACAAAATAGTATAGACAAATTGTTCAATATACTGACATAATGACATATTACGGATAAGTTGTTTAAAATGACTATATGAGATGTGATAGACAATACTTTAAGATATACAATAGACTTCTTGTACATGTTATAAACGTAATTTGTCTTATTACAACAGTCCGTTACGATCTTGTGATGTCAGAGAAAGGTTGACACTTTAATAAAAACATTAACAAGTCAGTGATAGCCGTAAATACAACATTAGTTCATCGCGAAATAAACAAACAAAACGTAAGAGGACATTTATCTTTTGTCATCCACTTTTCAAGAACGGATTTCCCCTATTATCATTAAATGTAATGATAATTCGAGAATAAAGCCTGTAATTACGTTTACAGTCTCCTGTAATTTTGTAATTATAGTATTAAACTTAATTGGCAGAAGCAAAAAATTAAAGCTGAAAACAAACCTGAGTACAGATGTTCTTAATGTAAGGATTATATAGCTCCTAATTATTGTATATTTTACATACTATTATTTGTTTTAATGGTGCTTAATTAGAGAGTGTAAGTTCCTGATTGTTATAAGTTCCATGAAGGGTTATCTGTGGTTTAATCAGAGACAACCCTGGCTTTTATTTGTAAGTTTCATGTAAGACAAACTTTAATGGATACTTTGTGTGGTCTTAATGATGGTGCTGTTATAGACGCAAGCCTTTAATTAGTCGATCCCAATTCTTTCATGGTTTGAAGAGAACTGGACCTCTAAGTCAGCCATTATTGGAAGGTCGGCGTTTACAATTTAACAACGCAGTAGATATGCATGCCACTTGACAAGAATGGTTTGCCTGATCGCAAGACGAAATCTGTCATTGATAACTTTGATTGGTGTAGTAAATAAACTCATTTAATATATGTAGCGCTGTTTGCATCCTGTAGGCATCTTGTCGATTAACATCCTGGTGTTCTCTACGGCAAAATGTAACGTAGAATAATGATAACGCTTTCTCAACATTTATGATTTGGTTGTTAGAACGTCTCTATACTGTCGCGATTATATATGGCAATCGTTTCATTAGCAAAATGGTAGTTTTAATCTTTATACAATTTTCTCCAGCATAGTTTGTGACTGTACGTTGCGAATGGGAATTAAAAATTAATATAAAATCGAATTCACGATGTAAGATCATGCAAACTAGCAACTTACATGTTTCATTGTGACACCTCTGGGAAATCTATTTAATAGATTAATTCATTGATAAAAACTGAAACTGAAATTTCTGATATATATTTTTAAGAACTTTTCCTGTGCCGATCGATCATCATTTTATCTCTTGTTAAAATAAGTTTATTTTAAAGGCACACTATGATATCCATTTTTTTAATTCATTAGAAATGTCAAACATGTGATTCATAATGTTTAAATAATGGGTGATATTCAGCAACTGGAAAAGTAGCACTAAACATGCAGTTATGTGTCGTAGAGGTAGTAAAATGTAAATAAAGTACAGTATTTTGACTTCCATACAAAAAACTAAATTCACTATATATGCAAGTAGCCAAAAGAGCAAAATAAGTAAATATATACTGTTTCTGTTAATTGCAAATTGATTTAAACTGTGACAAGATACCAAAAATAAAAAGTTTTTGAGAATTTTTTTTTAAACATTTCCTAGGCATAATGAGTGAAGTTAATTATAACAATAATTATAAAATTCCAAATGTTTAACTATTTGGTATCTTGAAGGCATTTCGATACAGAAAAAGGTTACATAAGTTAGTCTACATAACAAAGCGCGTTGAACAATTCTGACCATGCAGTTAGAATAATTACACAGCAACTACGACTTAATTTTGTCTTGATTGTCATTTCTAAAATTCTTTGTTTCATTGTGTTACAATTAAGCTGTCATGCGGCTGAACAAAGCCGTTAAAACATTATTTTACTGTCACTTTACTAACATAGCTATCTGTAATGAATACTGTTAAGTTATTTTTTTTAAAGCAAGAAGACATTTTATCTGATAATAAAAATATTGTTGTTTTAAAGAAAATTAGTGAAAATCCGTGAAAATACTTTGAATTGTTCAAATATATCTGTGAGAATTATTGTATTACACCAGCCAATAGCCTATGTAAACGTTTGACAATACCCACATACTTTATCTAGTAACCCCTCAGTGATCTCCCTTTTTCGCGTATGGCGGACATAGGTACCCTCATATCATTCCAATATTGTCTTCGTTTTCATTATGTATCGGCATATTTCCCAACAATTATGTATGTTCGTTGCTGTATGTCACACCCTATATTGGGTAATTTTAAACAGACCATCAAAAATGGAACTTTATCCGGCGAATTGGTTAACCGTGTTCAAAACAATAGTATAAATGTTGACAACGGAAACCAAAAACTTAGGTTAAATCATTACATTAAATTACTGAGAAGCTTATAGTATCGATGCCTTCCAGGTGTCAAACTGTAAATATAGCTGAATTTGTTGTTGTATTCTTTTTCATTTTACTGAGCATATCTATCCGAAAAGGAACATCGATTATTCCTAATATGGCTCCTCATCAACTTCTGGAGTGAAAAAAATATGACAGATCTCCCCGACAACCATTATACTACAACTACTTCACACAGAGCAATGGCTAAAAGATGGTGTTTGGTCGTCGATGTGAATGGTCATAGGTGTTTGATTGTATGCTTTGTTCCATATTGAATACAATAGGTTATATTGCCTGCTTTTATTTGAATTCAGCTTAAGTCGGTGTAAGGGGTAAATGGGCGGTAAATTACAATTACCACTACCGTCAGTGAACAGGCTCAATAAAACCGAGTCTGCACCATATTCAATTGGTATTTTTGGCGTTATTTAAGAATACTGCATTTCTCTTTGCCATTACGATGTCATCTTTCCCTGCAGAGTTTTCATGATACCATTGATACGGCTTTTTATTATAATCTGTAATTCTGAAGATTTACTAAAGCATTCCGAGATTGGAAAGAGGAGAGATTTGATACTGATCTTCATTATACAGCGTGAAATAAACAAGTAAATTATACAACAAATTTATTATTTTAAAATGCATTTACATGTTTCGGCGTAATGATTTAACTTAAACATTGTTGTTCATTTAATTTACCAATACTTCAAAACCACAAATAACTGAAATAAGAAATATGAACCATATATATACTTTAAAGAGATCAACTAATTGTTATCAAGGCACATATATACATCAAGAAATGCTAATGTTGCTGTTTCTCAAGCTTTATATATGATATATGTTCGGGGTTTTGTTTCTTCAGATACATGACATATTGATCACATTCAAAGTCTGATGAAAAAACTGGTAAACAACATATCTCTCTTTTCAATGTGTCTTATATTTATAGATTGTCTATTATATCATTCACTAGTTATTCAAGTGGTAGCACTTCTTAAGTTAGAGTTTTTTTACATTAAACATTTATTTTGTAAGTAAGTTATTTATACATATATCATTTCAGAGAAAATGGATTAGATAAGATTGACATGTTGGACATAAACCGACACTGGTTTGACTAAAAGCACTACTATTTAACACGTAAATTATATTATGCAAATACAAACTGTTTCTATGAATATGCATGAAAAATAAATAAATATTAATGATTATCATGATATAAAACAATGACACTCCACACATGTCTTTGTCCACCATTTGGTATTTTGCACATCTTACAAAATATGTATATAACACAAATGAGCAAATCCTTTATTTTATTTGCCATTTTTTTCTCGGAATTTCAAAGAACCATGAAATATAATTGGAGCATAATTTATTCATTTATAATGTAACTCTCCACTGACATCGTTGTGTGTTATTCGGCACCATGTTGATGTGATGAAGATGGGTTAAATCCTGTATTTATCCCAGTAGCCACTGCCCCATTTGTCCCGCTTACTTTGTGTCGAACTGCATGTACCTGATTATAGAAAAATAATAACAATAGGGATAACAAGTTGACGGGCATTTGAAATATGCTTCATGTGAACTCTTGCTAAGTTTTCTGTTCAGTGTTTAACAGTTAATTTAAATACTCTAACATTTATAAAGTATTGCATAGACATTTATATCTTAAAACTTGATTAAAACCTAATAGTATTAAATCAGTTTTTGACATGTTAAAAAGTTTTTAATTGTGACCAGGAAACAATTCTATGTTTCATAATTCCCTGTGTTTTAAAAATTGTTTGTTAAATGTCAAGTAGTTCGAAATAAGTGACCTAAACGGCTTGTCAACAGAGGCTTCTTCTATTCATTATTGTATAAAATCACACTGTTTAGAACAAATAAACTACAATGTATGTAGGGAAGACACAAAATTAAATGAGGTATTTTAAATTTTTTGCTTTACAACATTGAACTTTATAATACTATTGAACAATATACCTTCGGTACAAAGATTACAGCTTGGGTAAGGAATGTTCCTATGATGAGGAAGCCTGATGTAATTCCATACATTAAAACTTCTTGGTCCTTTAGAAGTAATGATAACGTCAAACCAACGGCACTTAAGATGACTACGTTGTATATACATAATCCAATCTCGTGTGAGTCATTGAGAGCTTGAATTTTTACCTTTTGTTATAGAAATTTTTTAATATACAAATATATGGATATGTCAAATTGATTTGGTTTGCATTTCACTTTTCCTACGACCGCTTTAAAATTTAAAAATAATATAAATAAATATACAAACCAAGCCATTTAAATAAAAACAAATATTAAAGTAAAAAAGCAACATCTGATATTGATAATTTTTATTGCTATTCATGAAAACAATGTGAGTTTATCTTGGATGCTTGATTTAATTTTTAATTGTTTTAGATTATCATTTTTCTTGACATATTCCACTGTGTATATTCTATATACTATTTGTACTGTTGAATTTATATTGACGTATTCTGGTATTACCAAAAGTGTATCAAGATGTTTATTTCATAATAATTAGGCATCAGTACTTGACTGAATTAGAAACTTACATTTCTTGTTTCCCAAGCCAGGAATGCACCAAAGGTTAATAATCCACCCTCAACAACGTATAATGGCCATTGAAAATAGTCCGAGTATTCCGAATGGCACACACGAACAAATGGTCTTACCTCGGCATCGTTGCCTATCATATATACCTAAATAATACAAACATTCTTACATCGTTGCCTATCATATATACCTAAATAAAACAAACATTCTTACATCGTTGCCTATCATATATACCTAAATAAAACAAACATTCTTACATCGTTGCCTATCATATATACCTAAATAATACAAACATTCTTACATCGTTGCCTATCATATATACCTAAATAATACAAACATTCTTACATCGTTGCCTATCATATATACCTAAATAATACAAACATTCTTACATCGTTGCCTATCATATATAGCTAAATAATACAAACATTCTTACATCGTTGCCTATCATATATACCTAAATAATACAAACATTCTTACATCGTTGCCTATCATATATACCTAAATAAAACAAACATTCTTACATCGTTGCCTATCATATATACCTAAATAATACAAACATTCTAACATCGTTGCCTATCATATATACCTAAATAATACAAACATTCTTACATCGTTGCCTATCATATATACCTAAATAATACAGACACTAGTACAAATGATCAATCTAAACATTCTTAGGTATTAATAAATAACTTGTTTTGAAGGCGGTGAATCTTAAGGCATTTTATTCGCACTATCTTTTTATTAAATTAAATTATTGACTCTCAAGAAAAATATAAGCAACTTTAAATCAAATTAGATTAAATCAAAGTACACGTTGCATTTATACCTTAAATTTCTTTCTACCATTTTTCATTTATTATGATAAACAATAACTGCCTAGAAACCAGACCTGGGGATGATTACAATGATCAGTAATTGATTTAATTACAATTACTTTCAGATTTTATTGTAATTGATTAAGATTGATTACTCACACTTGCCTCTGTAATCAATTAAATTACAATTATTTTAAGAGAGTAATTGATTGATAATTGATTACAAGTAGAATCCCTACTTAAGACCACCCCTGAATTAAGACCACCCCGTTAATAAGACTATTTTTACAACTTGTTCTTTATGACAATGGTTACATGATACAGAATTAAGAACAACTGCTTATCCACTTTTAAGACCACCTGATTCAGTCCAACAGGGCATCCACTAAGTTTCAAAATTTGGAAGTCAGAGACTGCAAAATCTCTGGACCCACTGTTGAAAGTAACGCTTTATATGTAAAGAAGGAAAAACATTAAATTTTGGAAGTCAAAAGTCAAAAGCAAGGAGTAAATGACTCCCAAACTCCCATTAACGGAAGCCCTGGTCCAAATTCTTTGCTTTATTCTTAATTTGACCCAACTATTGAGACCACTAATATCAAAGTCAACACCTATCTAGATATTAAATTTGTTGTTATGATCTGCTTGAATGCTGAAATGCATGACGCTTAAATTCAGGTGTGAAAAACTGTTATTATTGGGCCATTTTATGAAATAAGGTGACAAGGTTAATTTTAGAGTGGTTTAATGTTGCTTTCAGCAAATTATTTTGTGAAGAATTAAGTTTTATTTGATAGGTGACTTATGTACATCATATAATAATTGATATTGAAATCTAGCGAAAGAGTATTGTATGTTAAATTTCTTCAGAAATATCCTTTCCTCTCATCAAATATCAAAGCATACTTTTATAGTGTCTTATATTGTATTCGTAGCTTAAGATACATGCTGTTAAATGACTAAAATAGTTCATGGTCATAAAGTATGTAAGCAATGATGAGAATATTCACAATTAAGACCACCCACAATTTAGACCACTTTGGTCCAGCCCAGATGATGGTCTTAATTAAGGGCTTTTACTTTAAAAATGTAATACAAAAGATAAACTGTATCATGTAAAATAAAGGCATCCTTTGAATCAAAATAGTTTCCTGTTAAATCTGAAAGTAATCAATGTCAATCAAATTGTAATCATAATTACTGACTGAATTTTAGCTGTAATTGATTAATTACAATTAATGTAATCAATTTTGGGCAAGGTAATCAATTACATGATGATTACAGTGTAATCATGTAATCAATTAAAAATCAATGATTACAATTAATGATTACCCCAGGTCTGCTAGAAACTGTAATTTATTTATTTTTATAAAAAATACAATAAATCTCTGCCTAGAAACTGTTTAACTATTTTTTATTTATTATAATAACAATACCTCTTTGCTAGAAACTTTCTAATATATTTTATTTATTATGATAGACAAAACAATAACCGTCTTGAAATTGTAACTTAATTATTATAATATAAATACAATACCTCTCTGTCTAGAAACTGTGTAACAACTTTATGAGGTTCAATATATTCCCATATTATCAACACGACCGACACAAGTACGACGAATATGCCAATAATTACTAATAGTTGATAGTCTTTAATTGTCTGTAACATATAAATATATGACCAAAATAAACAGATAGTTTTTGACATATTACTTTAGTTTTTTCGAACACCCACAATTAAATGATTCAACGATTATTAAAATCAGCTTAAACACACACATATTGTTGTCCAATATTTCATTTATTAAGGACATAAGAAATATGAACTTGTTTTAATTACCTTAAAAAGTTATAGAAAGTTTGAGGATTTGATATATTCTACGAATCTCACTATTTTATATGTTTTATAGATCCTTAACCAAGACTGTATTTCTTTGTGTAGAAACAGTGTCACTATTTATCCTATGGATTATAACACTAAAACGTTTAAAAGATGTTGTTAAATAAAATATACATTAGGTTTTCATACTCTGGTTCCGAATTTACGCCATTTTAAATAGACGTTGTAACATGATTTTTAGAACATAATATGTAAACAAGTTTTGATGCAAGTTTCCTATGTAGTAAATTATACAACCTTTATATCATGTCAGAATAATGTATTGTTTCGTTAAGTTCTATATCTATTTTAACAGTATTCCAATTTTGAAAGAACCGAACAATATTTCAACTTTAAGTTTTTGAAAAAGTATGTTCTCATTATCAAGTTTATATAACAGATAAAAAATAATAAACATACACGTTTTAAAAGTTGTTTGTTAGTGAAGATCCGATATATCCTCCAAGTTTTAGAAAACAAAGCTCCAAATGTTATAGTAAATCCAATACTAAAACATACTAAACGTATCTGCGAAAACATAAAATATAACAGTTGAAGTTTAAATATCAATACATTAAATTAATTAATTTATTATTTTGTGCTTAGAGTAATTTAGAATGTTGCAACAACAAAAATAAAAAAATTCTACTACTATAATAACGGTACTGTCCTTTTTTTCTAAATATCGAAATAGACATAACACATGTGAAGGTAAAAGATAGTATTACTGGATTTAACTCCCTTGAAAAAGAAACACTTCCTCGAATGTGCTGGAACCGGAAACGGTTAGCCGTGCAGTCTGATCAAACTCAATACTGTTGGTAACTAAATTTTTGTATTTTGTTATTGAAATACAAGATATTCGAATTTTATTAAATTGACTTAGTTTTATTTCTAAAATTAACATTTCTTGTTTGTAAATCAACTTCAAGCATTACGCCATATGTTCAAAATCTGTCATGAACATTTGAATTTCATTTACCTACAGTTTATTCTCATGACTTTTAAAAAAAGCTATATTTATTCAACTTCTTGCTCAGATTGCAATTTAAATTATTATCAAAACATACAAAACGGCTAGATATTCGAAAACATCAGCTTTATGGTTACCTTGCAGTTTATCTCGTTTTCCACATAAACCGTTTTGAAGAAAACTGTCGAATAACATAAGATGCAGCCAAACAAGAGTACGTTGTTGATATTTGGTGACGACATTTTTACATAACTGAAATGTCAAATAATGTGATTAAATGCTACTTTTATCATTTCTTTACGGAAATACAAAAAAAAACATGTTTGGAAATTCTTTAATTACTTTGATGAAAATTGGAATATAAAGATAATGTAAAGTATACAGGTACAACATTTGTGCATTTACATCATATTTGTATATATCTGCTTTTAAGAGCATAAATGTTATTGGTTTTAGAGATACGTTTCTTCGACGTGCTCATAATCTCACATTTAGATATAATTGATGACTTATTTTCATGATAAATGTTTAAATGTTATTTGATTGAATGTAATTTAAGTAAGACATAATCTTGAATCTTTAATGTTTTCTCCAGTAGCCTAACTTCATGTATAACGAACAGAACATATTAAGAATGTGCGTGTATATGTCAATGTATGCTGTAAATCATGGGGAATGTCGGAAGCGGCTCATTTCCTTTAAATATTCTTTAGTTTACAGTGTATGTAAAAATGTGGCACGACTTTGACTTCTTTAAATAAAAATGACCTCGGATAACCTTAATGTTCTATAAATTTGTAAAAAAAAATATTAACTGATACAAAAAATTAGAATGTTTTTAGTAATAAAATAGCAAAAGGAGGTTAATTTAGCTGTATTTTGCAAAGCATGTAAAAAATAAGTAGGTTAATCAAAATTTGAAATAGAAAAGTTGCACGAATCAAAATTAGTTACCTGTTATGACGATACATTATGTTAAAAATAAAGAACGTTATTGCGAGACATATCCCGAGACTTGCTAGTGACGTCATAGTTATATATAGCCCCATTGGTATCTCCTTCTCCTCAAATGTTATATATGTTGAATCTCTAGGTATGACGCCATCTAAAATTATCAACATATTATATATGTATATATATGTTTACTAAAAATGTTGTCTTGACAGCATTTTTTTCTTCTTCAACAGACAGTTTTAAATTTACAATAACACCGATTTTATATCACCTCAAATTATGTGTGACATGCAAAATCTTTACAACCCGTCTATCTGTACTACTTAATTAGTTTTATCATGATTAACTTACTTTTATCAGAAATAACAGTGAATTAATAGTGGCTCGGATTATATAAGAAAATAACCTTTAAGGCCATATAACCTTTCAAATATCTTTATAACTAATGATATGTGAATATATTTATACATGTAAGTCCTTAAAGGTTATTGTAATATTTGCACTAATACTTTCACATATTTAGCAAAATTGTTTTTTTCATACTCTTTTCCAAGGAAATTTGATGAAATGTTTACAATTTGTCAAAAAAGGAAACCTTCATACATCATGTAAAGAAAGTTTCATTTGAGACCAAGTGAAATGACTGTTTCATGTAAAATACCTTTCCATTTTATAGCTCCTTCAATCCACTCAAAATATTTCGGATTTTTATCCTGCCTGTATAGACCAACAGTTTGTCTTGCTCCGTCTAGATATAATATAAACATTTCAATAAATAATAACCTGCCTGTAGAGACCAACAGTTTGTCTTGTTCCGTCTAGATATAATATAAACATTTCAATATATAATAACCTGCCTGTAAAGACCAACAGTTTGTCTTGCTCCGTCTAGATATAATATAAACATTTCTAAACATTTCTAGATATAATATAAACATTTCAATAGATAATAAATACCACAATATGCAATGTTGTTTAATTAAAACTATTACATAATAATTGTAATTTATCTAAAGGTAGAATTAAAATATAGATCTAAAATTATATTTATCTAAGAACATGACATTGTTTTCAATGAAAACGTCTAACAGAATATTTTGTATTTAAGAGGGCATTATAATTATGTTCACAACATATATTTCATTTACAATTTCGCATTTGAGAGAAATGATGTCAAATAAACTCTCGACATGTGATGGCTGTTGTGACGAAGAACTAAGAGCTAAAAAATTAAATAAAGTTCCTTGCAATGAAAAAAATTCAACAACTCATATAAGTAACAATACAATGATCACAGTTTCCTGTACGAGGGTTGATCAATATATTCGTGGACAAACTCAATCAATTGTTATTTTGGGGAAAGAAAGTTAATAAAATTATATTTGACATTTATTCAATCATTTATCAATTTGATGTGTAAGTTTCAGATATATATTCCGTATATTTTATCCAAAATAGCAGTTTTCAAAAATGCATGTTAAGCTGATCGCCGCAGCTCATTCGCAACTTACGTTACGTCGACGTTACATCTTCTAAAAAAATGCAGCACCAACTTCTACATATCGTTCATGCCTGTGTACCAACTGACTGAAAATGTTCTTTTTAAATGAAGTATCAAATGAATGCAACACAGACAATGCCATGGACTGTAAATCATGGAACCTTGTTAACTTGTGTCCCTTTATCTCTGCCTTCAATTTCACTCGCATAACGTTCTCATTGCAACAAGTTTCGATTGGCCTGCCGCATCTCTTATTATCCTAAAGTTCTTCTCTACCCTCATGGAAGCGTGTGTGCCACTTATAAACAAACGAATAAGACACTTTCTTGTTTAAGATACACTTTCCAAGTTTTCTTTAGTCTGTTGTGGCGTGATACCAAGATTTACACAGACTTAATAACTGCCCTCTGCTCCAACAACGTTGTGCTCCTCTCTGGTGACACACCCCTGTCTCCATTAACATGTCAAACAAACACAAAACTACAAAAGAAATCGTAGCGAAGCTTGTTTTTGTTTTAAATGTTCTATAAACAATATGAAAGAATGTTGCCGTCATTTTCATATTTTAAAGAAGCGGGCCAAAATAAGGCCAATTTTTAAGTATTTTAAAATGGTTAATATAACTTTTTAAGCTGCGGCGTTCGTACGGCATAGGGTTGCTATGGCGATACATATAATCAACAAAATCAGATTTTTTTTTAAAAAAATCACAATATATTTGTAATACTATTAAAATCTTCTCCTAAATAGCGAAAATCCTTTATAATATCTTGATTAATTATTAAGTTATTGATAGCGTCCATGAATATATTGATCAACCCTCGTACCTGCATGTAAGAAGATAAAAAATAACCACTACGTAAGATAGACATTGTAAAGGATCCTAAACAGGAGCTGAGCATGTCAAATGTGTGAGACATAACATAAATTTAGATAATTTCTCGACATGGGAAAAGTGAGATGAACACAGAGAATATTGTTGTTTCTTTTTTTTTGTTGTTCTTTTTTATTTTTTATTACTTGTTTGTCTCCGTCTTAAGAACACTAAAAGCTCAGGACTACTATAGACGTTAGTTTAAGTTAGAAAGATTGATTTAATTTGATTAGCGTGTGTTCTCTCGTTGTTTTCACTGAGTGCTCGAGAGTGTGTGTATCGGAGTGTGTATTATAATGTATTAGAGTATTTGTAAGTGTATAAGTTCGCACGGAAATCACCGATTATCTTAATTGATTCAATACCTTAATGCGTGTTTATAACAGTAAAAAACTCAAGATACATTAATGTCGTTAAATTCTCATCAAACTTAAAGTTAATATCACTGAAATAAAATAGATAAACACGATAATAACAAAACAAACTGTCATTATAAGAATTATATAATAATGACGAATCTTAGCAGAATTTACAAGCAAAATAGTAGGAAATTAGAGTAAATCTTTTTTTATTTAAATATTCAATTTGATTAAAATATCGGTTGGATGAGGGCATACTTTTGTACTTTTAGTAAAGAAAACAATAACCGATATCACATGAAATATGATATAGAAAAAGCAAAATGATTTTGAAACAATTTTTTTCAAAGCTTCAATATACACAACAACTTTATTTCACCTTGGCAGAAAATGTATGTTGGATAATCTTTCACATAAAACACCTTAGGCATACTTAGATTGTTTTCAGAAGAACAAGAAAATAAAATGAAATTAAATAGACAAACAAAGATTGTGTGGGTTTATGGCTTTTATGACTTTTATGGCTTTTAAGGTCAATGCGTGTGTTGTATTAATTGGTTTTTATATAGCTGATACATCAATACCTAGTTATTCTTGTTGTCAGCAAGGAACTATAACAATAACATCAACAATGATACATACAGATATTGATGATTTAGAACATCATTAAATTCAATACATTACTTAATATATTATGGTTTACCTTGAATTCTTTCTATTTTGACGATTCTATTTGGATCAGCACCGGAAGTAAAGAACACCCGACCTGAGACACCGGTTAATGACGTGTTTCCCATACATTGAAAAATGATCTCATTAATATCATGATCTTCATACTCAAACATATCCAAGGATTTGGTATAACCTAAAAACAAATATGAATCAATAAAACTCCAGTAAACATATCCAAGGATTTGGAGTAACCTAAAAACAGATATGAATCAATAAAACTCCAGTAAACATATCCAAGGATTTGGAGTAACCTTAAAACAGATATGAAGCGGTAAAATCCCAGTAAACATAGCCAAGGTTTGGAGTAACCTGAAAACAGATATGAATCAATAAAACTTCAGTAAACATATCCAAGGATTTGGAGTAACCTAAAAACAGATATGAATCAATAAAACTCCAGTAAACATAGCCAAGGATTTGGAGTAACCTTAAAACAGATATGAATCAATAAAACTCCAGTAAACATATCCAAAGATTTGGAGTAACCTTAAAACAGATATGAATCAATAAAACTCCAGTAAACATATCCAAGGATTTGGAGTAACCTAAAAACAGATATGAATCAATAAAACTCCAGTAAACATAGCCAAGGATTTGGAGTAACCTTAAAACAGATATGAATCAATAAAACTACACTAAACATATCCAAAGATTTGGAGTAACCTGAAAACAGATATGAAGCGGTAAAATCCCAGTAAACATAGCCAAGGTTTGGTGTAACCTGAAAACAGATATGAAGCAATAGAGCTCCAGTTCTTGTAAGATTGTTTAGAATTAGATGGTTTAAACAAATATTAATATAAGTATACCCTTAGGTAGTGATTAAGTGTGATTACGTGCTCAAAAGCACATCTAGATATTTGGGTAATAGTTTTGACGCCAGAATTACAGTAGATAAACGAAACACTGTACCTTGGCTTGCCAGTCTATACAATACAATGTGCATCCTGTATTGCGGTTACAAGCACCTGTTTCTACCAATCGCATTTCTTGCAATGATAAGGAGTAGACTTATATAAATGTTTAAACACTGTGAAAATCTCTGAGTTACTATCTATCTATTTAGCCCCATGATACACGATTCGTGTGTACCTATAGGGTGTTATAATATCGTGCAATAATATTCTTCATTTTTAAACTTTTAGATGTCCATGTTGTTGAAATCAATTATTGGTCATAGGAAAATAAGAGATGTAATCTTGTCATGCCATCTTGCGATCGAGAAAAAAGTTTTGAAAAGGAACACATACTAACCTAGTTCTTGGAGTCGTTTATCAGCGCAGTCAAGAGCCATGGCAACAACCCAAATATGGTCATAACATTGGTAGGCGAACGAGTCGTAATTCTTCGAGGCTTCATTATAACCTGGTTGAATGTAATAACGCTTGGCAAATTCTGACGCTAAAATAGAGACAATGTATGAACTAATAAACGGTACTATAGTATGCATATCTAAAACGAAACGACATGAAATCAATCAAAAATATCACGAAACGTTTTGGTTCTCCATAACGCATTTAAGTTAGTGCATTAATATTGCAAATAAAGTTGATAAAATCATCGTAAAACAGAATGATTACAAAATGAGAAATAAAATTCAAATCAAAACTGCAGAACTCACAAAATCCTTAAGGAATTGATACATATTTGATGCAGAATTATTTTAAAAATAAAATTTAATTCGTATATTATCTCAGAAAGGTTTACAAAATCGATGTTGCAACTATTTTATATCATGATCAGAACATTAAGTCACAACGGTATTGATATATTTGTAACTGTAAAATATATTTCTAATCCAACTATATTAAAATGCACAAGTTGTGAACAATTCAGACGTTGAACGAAAACGTTCAGTATTTTGTTCTCTTTAAAACAACATAAAATATATTTCTCCTCTTCGTACACTCTATTGCAGTGCCAACATACCCTAACACTATACAAGGTGATTTAATACCTACCTGTCAAATTTGCTATTCCTCTTTCTTCTACAGGATTGGAATAAACAGGTCCTGTTATAAAAGAACCTTCCGCTGCTTTAATCATTTCTGCCTCCGTACAATCCAAGCCTTCAAGGTCTACCTTCCAGAAGGTCGTAGAAAACCAACCGACAAATACCCACACAATCTTTGGACCATATAACCCTACTTTGTATGCCTGATAAAAACAGAACAAAATTTTCAGCATGAAAAATGTTAGCGTGAAATAAATGTAAAAAACACAACAACACAGCACATTATAAAAGTTTAGAACTGACGTTTTGAAAATTGTTTTTATCACTGTTGTTGTTTTTGTTGTTGTTTCTAAATAATGAAACTCGACATTTCGTTGTACATATTTCATTATTTAGATAATTTTAGTTTTATATCAATTATTGGTTTACCATTAACCCTTACCCTTTAACACTGAAAAAAGTCCTCTTTCATCACGAGATATATTGTCGTCTGTTAAGATATAATACCAATAAAGACATATTAATCTTTTAAATCAAATTAAAGTTATACTAACAGCACATAGGGTTTCCCGTGCTTTGTCTTCATACATCGCAGTCATAATAATTCGTGCGTCATGATTCTGAAAAACATAACTCTACATATCTCTTTCAAAGACATTTTTAATTTGTGACATTAGACCTGAATTGTTATACAAAATTGTGATACTGATCTTTTGAATGACAATATAGGAATTATAATTTAAGAGACACATATGGCCTAAAATATATCCAATAGAAATCCAGCATTTACATTCCGTGATGTTCTATTATATATTGTTTTGGACCCTTTCTATCGATTTAGCCTCATTTTCAATTGCCGAGTCTAAAAATTTTATATATCAAATTCATATTGTACTCAAAGTAACTGTAACTTTATTGAATGAGTTTTCTCCTTTAAAGTTGGTGGTGTAAAATAGAGTTGAAAATACACAGTTGAAGACCATACTATTCTATTGAACTCGTACAATGCTACACTCCGTGTATGAACAGCTCTGTGCCCGTTCAACTGAATTCCGTATAGTAATCAACAGTGTATGATAACCTTCCATAATTGTATATCATATATAGTAATCAACAGTGTATGATAACCTTCCATAATTGTATATCATATATATTATTATCTGTTAATATTGTATATCATATATATCAAACTGTTAATATTGTATATCATATATATCATACTGTTAGTATTGTATATATACATTATCCTCTAAAGTTCTATTTATAGTCCGAAAGATCTTCAAGTGCCAGAATAAAGCAGGACTTGTCAGTAATTAAAAGACATTGATGTTGTCGTCAAACAAAGTTTGAAATATATAAATACCTTTAAGTTTCGCACTCTCGTCAATGGACTGCTTGTAAATATTTCCTGTGATATAATTGTTATATTAGTTTGTTGAACTCTCTTCACAAAATCGTCCATTACCTGTGAAACAAAAATCTTAGTCAATTAATAAATGTGTTTTGAGAATATTTAAAGGAAGTAATATTGCGATAGATGTATGTGAAAAGCCTGCTTTAATTCACCTGATATCTTGTTTTGATATACCTTTAATCTTGTTTTAAATTACCTAATGTCTTGGTTTATTATATCTAATATATTGGTTTGATATATCAAACATCTTGTTTCTGTATTTCTAATATCTTGTTTAAGTTTACGTTATATCCTGTTTGAATATACCTAATTTCTTGATTTAATGTACATTTTTGTTTGAAGCATCCATATAAAGCTGAAAAAAAAAGAAATTCTAAGCTTCTCCTGTCAGATCTTTAAAAACGACTCAATTACATGCAATATAAAACTCACTGAAGAAAAAAATTCTAAAGCTTGGTTGATAGTTGCTACTTTCTTCCACTTAAATTCCTTCATCAAATCTATCCTGGCCGGATTATGTTTCTGATCCGGAAGTGAAAGTCGGAAAAACTTTGGAAAACGTTTTCTGTCCGAGAGGATAGGAGAGGACGAGCCGTAAGAAAACTGTGTATGAAATAAGTGGAAAATAAAACATGTTAAAACAACAACAGCAATGAAACAACAACAACAACAATAGACATGATTGAATGAATCAGTCCATGAACTGTATATTGTATGACCCAGTTTTCAGGCAACTCTTGCCTGAAGGATCATTAAAATATAATATCTCTGAGACTAATTTACGTGCACGGACTGCACTGAAATCCCGCTCTCGTGAGTTTACATTCTGAAAAAAAGATTATTCCATTATAATGCATCAATGCAACACATAAAAACGTAAAGTCGGTGTCATTCAGTCTAATAATGAGGAAAATTAATTCCTGCAATATCTATTAAGGGGGAATTAAGCCGAAGGTAGTTTTTCAATTTTGGAAACAAAAGATATTGGAATTGATGATTTTGAAGGACTAACCATATAAAAAGATTTTTAACATTAACTTGATGATAAATGTCAAAGGTTTTCAATTAATATATATGTTTTATTACTTTCGAGCAATTTCAACACTTTAAGATTTCCTACACATAGCATATTGAATGAATTACGTTAATTTATATAAACTGAATAATTCTTGCTGGTGGTCTTCGTCCGATTTTGACATTTTAATTAAGCAGGAGAACTGATCTTGGACTATTGAAACTAAATTCTTATTGCAAATGCTTTCTGTTCTGATTCGGTAGAAAGTGATTTATCCATCTGATTGCAGTAACTATTTTGTCAATGGTAATCTGTCGGGGTTTTCTTGAGAAAAAGAAACACTCTGAAACAACGTGACTATATATCAACAAAACACACAACAAATGTTAACCTGTTTTATATAACTCCTGGCCTACCTGAGTGAGATTCCAGAGATGGGAAACTTGCGAAGTCGCTTCAGACTCGACTGAACAGCCAGCACCAAGAACCATGTGGTACGTTGGATCGTTGTGCAGAGATTCAAACAGTTTATAGACAGACAATCCCTCATTACACTGTAACGATACAAGTGGTATAATACATGTTCCGAAACTTAATTCAAACGCTTTCTAGTAGGCGACAGTGACTGTGCGACTTTCGTTTGTACATGTAGATTATATTAACGTATATTTTATATTGACTTATGATGGTACACTAAGACAAATGGTGTTCAATTAGAAAACATTGCTCTTTACATGTGATTCCTTGATACAAAGATGGCGATCAAACGTTTTTAGATTACAACATTACTTTTAAAATGAAAGGCTAATTTAGTGGTTAATAAAACAGATATAAAGTAGCATTTTTTTTTCTTTTTAACGTATAAATTATCTTCAGAAGTACATATCATAAAGCACTTATACGAGCTAAAACTTGTGATATGGGGCTTACGTTATAATTAGACATGAAGTAAATCATTAAATCAAAGGTTATTATAAGGTGTGAGGATTTCGTTAATGATAAATTACGACTGTACAAGCTTCCTGTTGTTATAGAAGGACAGATTGATCTTCAATGTTACACGGTGACTTCTCCAATCGTGGACATGACATACTGGTTCATTAAGCTCAGGTCAGAGACATTGTGTAATCATAATGATGATTAAATAGCTTATTGACAATTATTTATCAAGTGTTCACAGCTTAAATCTTACAAATAAAGCATGCAACTGTTTTTTCCTCTAATGATTTAGTTTACTTGATTAACCTTACGATACACTTAACGACCATAATTTCGCAACATTTTGTTATTTTGTACATAATATGAAAAGAGTAATAATTATGTGACAATTTTCTATTTCAACTCTCAAAGTCTTCTCCTTCAGAAATACAAAATTTTCAGACGTTTAATCTAATTTTTAAATGCTTTAACATAGTCCTCTATGTAAACCTTTCAATAACTAAAAAATGACAGATCCAAATCCATTTTTACTCTTGTAGCGATGACCTGCAAGATGAATTGTAAGTCTTTGAAAGAGAAAAAAGTCACAGGGTACCAAATTTGAAGAAACTGATTTTTAGTAGCTTCTTTGTGTGCAGGAGCGTTGTCACGAAGAAGATACACGCCTTTCATACAAGTCGAATGTCGAATTTTATATAAGTGTTTTTCAAATTTTCTTAACACGACATCTTTATAATACTTGGATGTGACAGAAAGGCCTCTAGAAACAGAAATATGGACAACAATTTTACGTTATTATTGACAAAAATAACGTACACGACTTTCTTGACACTTGTCAATTGCTTGGTAATACATGGTCGACGAACATTTTGGTAACCCAAATCTAAATGTTACACTTGTGTAATGTCGTAAAATAGTAGAATCAACTTTCATTACCAGTCACAATTAGAAAAATGGCGGTTGTCATATTAAGGAAGATTTTTCAGTAATTTTAGGCTTCTTTTTCCGGCCAAATGTCAGGAAATTGTGTATCCATCTGCCAGTTGTTCGCCCTACTTTCTAGTGATTCTTCAGAATCGTATGATGTTCCTGAGATATGGAACGTGAAAGTTTTGCATTTTTGCCAATGATAAGTGCTTTTGTCGGTAACTATGGAGCGTTTTCTACCAGACTTACAGCCATCTTTTATTCCCTCGTGCCCATTCTTAAATTTATACATTCAACTCGTTACAGTTGCATAAGATACTTCAATGTTGCCATAAATATTATAAAGATAATTATAAACATTTATTTTATGCTTTTCAGTGGATTACTGATTTATCCGTGAAAATTATATTTGGTAATTTCACAGTGAAAATTATCAAAATATAATTTCACTCTTTTCAATGACGAAACTACTTTTTAAAGATTTTCCCCATGTGGTACCTCAATTTTATTTTTGCTGACAATTCTCAAAGGTTATTATAAGGTGTGAGGATTTCGTTAATGATAAATTACGACTGTACAAGCTTCCTGTTGTTATAGAAGGACAGATTGATTCTTCAATGTTACACGGTGACTTCTCCAATCGTGGACATGACATACTGGTTCATTAAGCTCAGGTCAGAGACATTGTGTAATCATAATGATGATTAAATAGCTTATTGCCAATTATTTATCAAGTGTTCACAGCTTAAATCTTACAAATAAATCACGCAACCGTTTTTTACTCTAATGATTTAGTTTACTTGATTAACCTTACGATACACTTAACGACCATAATTTCGCAACATTTTGTTATTTTGTACATAATATGAAAAAAAAGAAAAGAGTAATAATTATGTGACAATTTTCTATTTCAACTCTCAAAATTTTCTTCAGAAATACAAATTTTCAGGCGTTTAATCCAATTTTTAATGGCTTTTACATTGTCATGTATGCATACCTTTCAATAACTGAAAAATGACTGTCCCAAATCCATTTTACCTGCAAGATGTATTGTAAGTTTTGAAAAGATGAATAAGTCACAGAGTACCAAATTTAATGAAATTGATTTTTAGTAGCTTCTTTGTGTGCTGGAGCGTTGTCATGCAGAAACTACATGCCTTTCATACAAGTCGAAGGTCGAATTTTATATAAGTGTTTTTCGAATTTTCTTAACACGACATCTATAATACTTGATTGTGACAGAAAGGCCTCTAGAAACAGGGCCTCTAGAACAGAAATATGGACAACAATTTCACGTTATTATTGACAAAATAACGTACACGACATTCTTGACACTTGTCATTTGCTTGGTAATAATGGTCGACGAACATTTTAGTAACTCGAATCTTAATGTTACACTTGTGTAATGTCGTAAAATAGTAGAATCAACTTTCATTACCAGTCACAATTAGAAAAAAATGGCGTTTGTTATATTAAGGAAGCCTTTTCGGTAATTTTAGGCTTCTTTTCCCGGCCAAATGTCAGGAAATTGTGTATCCATCTGCCAGTTGTTCGCCCTGCTTTCTAGTGATTCTTCAGAATCGTATGATGTTCCTGAGATATAGAACGTGAAAGTCTGGCATTTTTGCCAATGATCAGTGCTTTTGTCGGTAACTATGGAGCGTTTTCTACCAGACTTACAGCCATCTTTTAATCCCTCGTGCTTATTCTTAAATTTATACATTCAACTCGTTACTGTTGCATAAGATACTTTAATGTTGCCATAAATATTACAAAGATAATAATAAACATATAAAGCTATATCTAATAAAAAAAATATGTGTAAACAGTTAAATTAATTTGATTCCATCACAATCATTTATTAGCTCCAGTGTTTGAAACAATTTTTGTCTAAAAGGATTGCAATATTTTTTAAATGAATCGTTACTCGTTTACTTTAGTAAATCGTTTAACTATTAATCAACCCTAACCCGACAGTAAATAAAACATATTTTCAGAAACTAAATTGGTTAGTGTTCATTTGTAAGCAAAATTAATTAGGTCGAACGGCGCAGTCGTTCTGTAAAGTTAGTGAAAGTAATATTCTGCTGAGGTGACAAGGTGACAGTGTTGTACAGATTTAAACAATTGTTTGTAGATCGATTACTGCTGATCGTCCACGACTTGTGATTATTGTGTTGACATTGCGTTAAATACGTAAATAAAGTGGCTTCATTTGCATAATTATTTGACTAGTGTAATATTGCTTTTGTTAAATAGCCATGCTAAACTTCTGTAGTTTTATGTGATACAAATGTAAACTGCGTTGCAGTTGACTTTGACCGTGTCTATGATATCAGAAGTGATAAATGTCAATTATAGGCCCATGTAGAAATGTTAGAACAGTGTCACGAGCATTCATTATTACTTGATGTGTCTATGAGTGCAGTCTTCTGTAATTAAGTCCACTAATCAAAGGAACGTACCGATAGAACAATAATGGCGGATAAAAATCCCGAAGACACGCTAAAGTATCTGAAATATAACCAAGACCTTTTAGGAAATGTCCTATAGTTCTGCTTTTGTACCTGGATAATGTTTATCATATCTAAAAAGGTTTTTAATGATATATGTTAAACATAGAACTTTATTTACATTATATAAATTGCATCTAAGTAATAGAAAGAGCATCGAAACACGAGGCTATCTGATTTGTACGAGGGGGCGTAGCCCCTGCGTATTATTCAGATTGCCGAGTGTTTTGATGTTCTTTCTTTTTTGTATCATATTAAAACATAAAAACAAGTTCCCTGTTGTCACAATATGAAACCCCGGGAAAAAGTAACCAATGGACGAGCATCTGAATATGAATTTCGGTCGCTTTCCCTTTCTCTTCCGTCATAATAAGTAAACCCCAGCAAAAATGAGCCAATCAATGGGTATGCTCTGGAGTGCGGGTAACTTATACCTGCACTGAAGTTAACACTTTGTGCATGTATATGTATACGATTTAACTCTGACATATTTTCAAAAGAAAGGTGCCCAAACTATGATACAACTTGTGACATATAGAAAAGAGGTCTTACGCTGATCTTCACATATCGATTTTCATATCAAAATATTTTAGCAAGAAACTTGTGACATAAAATACCTGATAATGTATCATAGGTAAATATTATAGATAAATATCAGTGATTTATTTATGAAGATGATTTATCATTCTCAGAGATCTTAATAGCAAAACCATGTATAGAAATAAAACTATTGAATTTAGTTATATATAGTTAGGTGATATACATTTATTTCACCTAATCAACTATGATTTCCGTTATTAACATAGATGCTTATTTGCAATTAAGGGAAGTTTTCAGACATGTTTAAAATTATAGTTATATACAACGTAGTTTATATATAGATTTTAGATCATGGCAGAGTAGGGTCGGAAGGTAATAATAAGCCCCTTATAACCAGAGGAGTTCTACCGGAGGAACATGGTTTATTCAGGTTCACTTTTAGGTTCGTCACTGGCGTGAATTAATTTCCTTCCTAATTAATAAAAGTATAAACAATTAATTTTTTTTCGAATGTGATTGTTCCATTTTCAAATGATTTGGTATATCTAATTCATTTTATAGGTGCTAATTGATGATTAAATACTTCCCTGTTAAAATCAGTGTATCCCACCAACACGGTGTAAACAATCCAAACA